TTCGAATTACTCAACTCATTAGATTAAAATATTTAACATACTCTAAGATGAAATATAATATATATGCGACAATTCTTCTACACTATAAAGTCGCATATAAAGATGACTTAACATGTTCCACAACTTTGTCAAAGCTTGGCCCATATTCAAAGCCATGTTTTATTGATCATAGTTTAAGTTATATTTTAATAAGGCGTTTAAATATGAAAACCCAATTTTCTGTCTAAATTCTACTTTAAGAAATCGAAAAATTTTCCACTGTGAATAATTGGCTGAACCCGTATTAATTATTCAGTGTAATGACTTTTTTACCAATAAATTTTTACAAAATTCTGATTTATTTAAAATGTTAAGATTTAATGAGCCATATTGATAGCAATTTAAGGCAATTAAGCAATTGATATTAAAATTAAAGTGCATAATGCACGGTCATAAAGTCGAAAATCGAATAAGTTATAAATCTCGTCTCATAAAAAACGATGTATTTTATTGTCGACGTTTCTGTGAATGTCAAATCGAAAGACTTAGGCAACGAACGCGCTGCAGTCATCGGCATCGGCCCAAAAGAGCAAATAACATAAATTAAAGTGATTTTAACACGCTAATGCCATAGCCAATGCAAATGAAATCAGTCTGACCAGTCTGTAAGTCTATATACTTATATAAAACTTAGAAATTGTGAGGCAAAGACACGTTCAACTCTGTGTAAATATCAAGGCTGTAACATCAAGCAGCCAAGTATAAACAAATTGTTAAGAAGGTGACGACGAAGAAGCTCATCTTAAAACCAGTTTGCTACCAAAGAGACTTGAGGCTTCTCAATGATGATGAGGTGTCTGAAGAAGCCGGCGTATCTAATAGAGTTGCCCAAAACAAAAAAAAAATAAAAAACACCGCGAAACCGTGTCCAAAATGGCAACGGACTATGGCTGTTGTCGTTTCAGCTACCAAATAATTGTTCTGGCTTGTTGATTGTGTTTTGTTGCTATTTACAATTGTGCCTGCTGTTGCTATTTGATCAAATGGCATAAATAGCCAGTGCACACACATATTTTGATCTTTAGCGCTGCACTCACCAAATGCCAAAGTGACTGCAAAGGGCAAAGCCAAAGGCGAAGCTAAACGGCTGCTGTAAAAGGCGGTGGCTTCGAATATCAGTTGGCAATAGATGCACACCCAGCGGTATTTGTGATATTTTGGTTTTCTATACAATACTTTTGTGATATAATTATCCGTATCTGATTATAGCTGTGTTGAAGATACACTAAACTATTGGGGCCGCAAAAGTATTTTAAAGTCGCCAAAACATGAGAGTGGCATTTTCAAAACATAAACTCAATCCTAGTACAATTGTCAGATACCTTGCTAAGGGCTTGTTAATAAGTCGATGAGCATTAAAAAAAGATGAACAACCAACCTGTTGCGGAGTTTTGGCTTCTCGACCTTTTGGCCAATTTATTTAAACAAAACAAAAAAAGAATGTCTGTTTGGCCTGACATTTGGCGCGATTAGCATTAATCAAGCTTGGTGCTTATTTGTGCAGTTGGCCCCAAAAATGCTATATATATCTGCCAAATAGCACCGGCCATTTGTTAAGATCTATGCGACCATTAAAGTCTGGGTAGGCAGAAAAAATTATGATTACGCTTTTGGTTTGATGTTTGCTTAAATGTTGATTGACGTCTTGTTGTACTGGGCGTTTGACCTTGAACTCGTTTCATCTTAAGTTACTCGCTGATACATTTCGACGCACTTTACCACAACATACAGTGCAATGCACTCCATAATTGTATTAAGCAATTAACACAGGCGCCAAAATTATTGTCATCAATTTTGTATATTTGCGCAACAAATTGCCTCAAATATGTACAACAACAATAAGAAATGGAAATGAAATTAACGCCAAATGATGTTGGGGCGGGGACTGAACTTAATTAGCCATGACTATTATTTTGGTCTTTGCATGTAGACGATGTGTCTTGTTGCCTTTGGAATATGACCATGTTGCTTATTGTTGGGGATTCAGCCGAGCGAATATTTTGAATGTCGAAATATTCAATGCCAAATTGATTAGCGTATGTAACCATACAATGACGATGAATGACAGCCAATTACATTATATGGGGGCATAATAAACTACCCCTATAAATAGCATGTGTCTCAGTTTGAGTTATAGGTAAAACTGTGACGCATTGGCAGGTTTATAAATAACAAATATTCAAACATTTTCTTTTAACACTCTTAGTTTCCTTATGCAATTTCAACACTGCAAAATAAAGCGCGTAAAGCGTTAAAGGTAGCACCAATAAATATATAGTTTGTTTGCGTACTCTCGCACTCAGCAAGTTGGCCTAGACCAAAATTGGGGCGTTACCGATACCCCGTTTCTCTTTCAACTGTGCCCAACCCAGCGAGTAACTTAACGCACCAACTTGCTGTCCATTTGAAATGGTTTGACTACAACTTCAAATGCCAGAGGGGCAGGGCGGCAAACACTTCTGTGACTATTTAGGTAATCAAGTCACAAAACCAACAACAACAACAACAACAGCAAACAGCGCGTTCCAATTCGTGTGCTGAGCGATAATTAAAAAGGCCTACGGTGCAACAACAATAGCAACAACAATCACATCAACAACAACATCAAAAGAAGTGAGCAAATTTTTGGCGCAAACTTGTGAAACTCACAGTTAGCCAGTTTGTGTCTTAAGTCTTTTGTTTTGCATTGTGCTTCAAGTGCTTAAAGTGCAGTTGAATTCTTTCCAAGAATTACTGATGATCTGCGATTTGAGTATAGAGTTAAGAAATAATTTGACGTCAAAGCAAAGCGTCTACAAAATATTTCATTCAACGCATTGCAGTCCAATAATTACAAGTGCGGCTTAAGTCAGACGCACATTTTATGGTACCAACTATTCGGTTGGGTCTAATTAACTAACTATAAAATGGCCAAAGAGTCATCACAGCGGTAGACTTCATTTGCCGAGTCTAGAGATTGTTGCACAACACTTTGGCCGCCTTTATAAATCTTCTGTTTTTTGTCTTTTTTTTTTGTTTTTAATTATAAGTCGGTGTCTTGATATTTTCATGCCGTTTAAGGTCAAAGCTAAGCCGGAAGACGGGCAGCCAACTGGGCAGCCAGATCGATCGACCAACTGGCCGTTGAAGCAGCTGCATTCGGGATTGCGAAATTTTCGCCAGCTTTGCACTTCAAAATGTCAGCGAGCGCACATTTTCTACATATTATTTATGAATTGTAAAATTTTTGGTTTTTTTTTCTTTTTATTTTATGCCTGGCAACGCGCACTTGGCCATAACAAGTCGGTCAAGACGGCCAAGTCGGGCCAGACATTGCTGTTTGACCTTTTATTAGCTGTGGCTCTTTGTGATTTGCTGGCCAACTTGTCTGTGTAATTATTATCTAAAATACATTTTCGACTTTTGATTAACAAATGAAATCTGCCAAAAAAAATTTATTTATATATATATATATATATATTATATATATATTGTTATAAAGAAGCAGCCGAAAAGAGTTGAAGCCTGGCTTATTGGCCGTTTGACGCTGATTGTTAATGGTTGATTGGTTTGATTGACCCTATTACCATGTATGCATAAATATATATTTGGCCAACTTGATTCATTATTGATTATAATTTTCTGTGGTATTGTGACATTTGCTATGGTCTTCAATACAAAATCTCAATTCACTCATTTATTTGCATTAACAATCGAGTGGGTTTAAGTCTTTGGACACGCTGCAAAAATTGGCACTTATGTCAGCATTGTTATCAGAATTTCCCAACCCAATTAAAGTCGACTTCCTTTTGCTCATTTTTTTTCTCTTCTGCGAAACAAAAGTTTGCACTTAGTGCCGAATATTTAAGCACTATTTTTTGAGTTCAATTTCCGCTACAGGTTAAATGTTAATTGCCAATTGTGTTTGGAATTAAAAGCTGAAGCAATTTATCAGCTTCTTATTATCTGCAATAAGACTAAAGCTGTTAATAAAAATACAAGAGTCGACCTTCAAACAATGGAGCTGATGTTAGGAAGCAAAAATAACATTTCCAGCTTTGTTTTTATTTTTGTTGTATTATACAACAAATATGTATAATATGCAAAATACAATTTCCTGACTGCTTAATAATTTAATACACTGGAACTATTACAAATGGATGAAAAAGTAATGAAGTGGTGCAAAAAGAATGTAACAGGCAGAAGAAAGCATCTCTGACCTTATAAATTATATATATTCCTCAACGGGATCAATAGCCAACTAGATTAAGCAATATCCGCCGACCAGTCTATCAGTCTGTATGAACGAACGCATCTGAGAGAATATACATAGGAGCTAAATAATTCATATATCTCAAATCAAGTTTATTTTGATATCGTTTCTTTAACACTGCCATTAATTTGTATCGTAAATTGCTATTAATGATATTAGTTTTTTTTGCCTATTATAATACTTATGGCTATATCTAAGCATATCGCCCATAAGCCAGAGTTTTCACTTTAGCAAATTGGTCAAGGTGCTTGATTTGGTTTTGACGACAACTCGTGAGTGTTTGTATTTCGTTATGGTTGTTGCGTTTGTTGCAGCTGGGGCCATTTGACAATGTCTAATGTCGATCGACATGCAATTCACATTACGGCTGCCGTTTCATAGCGCTGCGCGTTATTGTCGATCTAAATTAATGCTTAATCAGCAGAAATTGTCTAAGTCTGCAAATTATTCGCAAGTGGCAGGCGTTTAATTGTAACTGCCCCCAAGTGCTGCCCACAGTGGACCAAACAGCAAACCGCATTTTGGTGGCAAACACAGCCAAGTTTGACCATAACAATGGACTCAGCTTGTCAGAACAACCACAGCAATAAAACTCTTACAAGCGGATCGACAAAGGAGGGGCGTATTTATTGAAATTCTTGTTGCACATTTTTATTGATTGTGTTGACCTTCACAGATGCCTAGTTGGTTATGTGAATTGAGCACTTACCATTATCAAATCACCCGTCTCCATGTGACGTCGCATCAAGATTGCTGCCATATTTTGTTCATCTTGGAATACCTCGCCAATCTCATGCTTGTGATGCTGCAAAGAGGAGAATACAAGTTTATTAATTACAAATTCAATAAAACATGAGCTGCAGCATAAATAAATATTTAAATTAAAACAATTCTCAAAGCAAGGTTGATCTTATACTGATTAAATTCATAATGCATTTAAATTATACAAAAAAAAACGGCTTACAATTTCTAAGCAATATCTATTATACTCAGCTAATCGGTCAGGATATTAGCTCAATTTACTTAGCCGACCGCCGGCTTTCAATTAATAAGTAAATTAATTTTTATAGTCGCATTCCAAGCATACCAAAAATTAACAACAACAACCAAACTAAACGTAAAGCAATTTTTTATGTATATATGTAAATAAAATAAAAAAATAATGCTGGCCTGCAATTCTGTTTGCCGGCCCGCAAGACAAAGCTAAAGCGTGGTGGTCAGGCAGCTGTACATTAATTAAATGCACCAGCAGCAGCAGCAGCAGACAGAGACAAAGTCTGAAACACATGGACACAAAGATTAAGAGGCACTCTTTGGGGTGAGATGAAACCCGGAGATCGGAGACCAGAGACCAGGGTACCTAGAGTTGGTTGGCTAGATGCGTGGGTTATAGCTGCGGCGCATTGATTTATGCACTTGGTCAGTAAATGTGACGCCTCAACATGCACGTCACTCATTCGCCGTGTGTGTCGAGTGCTGTTTTTTTTTTTTTTTTTGTTATTGTTGTTGTCTTCTGAGCCTGACCATGAATATGTGGATAGAAACTAAAGCGTAAGCTTTTGACATTTGGCCAACTGGCGGCTAGCTGATCTGGTTTCAGCTGCACCATTCTGGCAATCCTTTGACATCGACATTCGTGTAAATATATTTTTTTTTGCCAGCTTGTGTCTTTTGCATTTCAAGGCAACTGTTTGTGGTTGATCAGCTAAAGGCCTAGAGGATATAAGCACTTATAAGCGAATTTGTTTTGAATTGGCATACTATTTGAATTACTCGCTGGACAGTTGAAAATCACATGTGCAGCTAATTAAATTAATTGCCGCTCCGCCCGCCCATTAATTCTGTAATAAATATCGAAATAAATGTAATCTGACACTTGACATCAGCATTTGGCATTGACTGCGTATCGGACTTAGGCCGCCAAATCCCAAATCTAAGCCACCAAACTTGTCCGCGGCGCTCTATCGAATTACAAGCATAAATCATTTTCATAACTGGCCTCAGTCAAGATATACTATAACATATTGCATGTGAAAAATGCCATAAAACTAAGCAAAGTGCCAAAATCAAAGTCAACTGCAAATTGACCAAATAGCCATAGGCAAAAAAGGCAACAAAAAAATACGTGTAATGAAAGCAGCCCGAGAAACCGCATTGACCATAAATCAGCTGGGGGTTAACTGAACAATGCGCCAGCAAACGGAAGATGTGATTTTCAAAATTGAAAATGAAACTAGTCATAATGTATAATTGAATATATACTTTATACGCGTTATGTTCATAAAAATGTTAATGTTCAAAATAAGTGCTCAAATTAGAGAGAGAGAGAGAGAGAGAGAGAGAGAGAGTGAGAGATTGAGGGAAACAGAGAGAGCGAGAGAAAGTGCAACATATAAGACGGATCGTGTTTCTATTTGCATTTATAACACAAAAATTAATAAATGCTTTTAAATCTATTTTTATTTTTAAGCTGAAGCTTCTAGAGTCTACGAAATGAAAACTTCTTTATAAAGAGTAAAACACCGAAAGGAGAAGCACCAATTTCACATTCAAAGAAGAATCCAAAAAATTAAACATATTTTTTTTTACAAAATTATGTGCAAAATGGTGTCTAGAATCCGCAAAAGTCGTGATGTATTTTACAAATTGCCTGGTGGATGATCGAATCACTGAGCCTGTCTGGTATGCGAGTGAAGACAGGGGGGCGTGTCCAAATGGGGTGGTTTGCTGTTGACCGCGAAACGTGTTGACACGCAAACGCACCACCACAGCCAATAAATATCAATTTTCATGTGCAACAGGCATTTATAGCTTAATTTGTTGTTGTTAACGGGGCTGGCTGACATGTCTTGGCTAACGACCTTGTGAAAATAAGTTCAAAGCAACAAGAGCGACCCCCACACCAAATGGCTCACGTATTTCAGTATTTGCTGTACTTGCTGTATTTCTAATTCAGCTGCCAACTGGCAAGAATCAAGGCACTTGTTATCCACGTTTTTTTGTTTTGTTTATTTTTTGTTTTTGTGGCTGCTGCTTTTGTCACCGTTGCAGCAGCCATGTGGCCAAGTGTTTTGGCCATATTTATAAACGCTTAGTGTCCGGTGGCCACTTAGCCTACCAAAGACTCGTTTGCAGCACACATATTTTTTTCATCCAATTTTTATTATTCCTATTTCTGTTTTTTAACATTTGTGTTTTTAGTTTTTTCTTTATTTTTTTGGTTTTCTAAGTGCTCTTGAGCTGACATTACATGCCGCTGGACCAATGTCCTTTGCTCGTTGACAATTGTGTGCCCATTTTGGCTGATTCTGTATTGTTGCTATTTTAATTAGCCAACTCGATGCATGAATTGTTAGCTGTGAATTGTAAATTGCTGAGTGTTGTTTCTGATTCTATTTCTATCTCTGTTGCTGTCGCTGTCTCGCATTTGGTGTCTATTTTTGTATTTCTTTTATTAACGACGTCGTAAATTTTAATTACAAAATGCTACAAGACATTATGCAAATCGCTGCCCACAGATATGGGCGATATGCCATCTAAAAATTGTTGTGCAATTTCAGTTGGGCGCTTATGTAAATCACACTTCTCACATCGGCTAACTCGGCTACTTCAGTAACTTCAGTTTGAGTTTGAGCTTGAGTGTCCGACTGGCCCCAAGGGCTTTCAACTAATTTGGCGCCATACAATTTGTTGCCTTTCTACAAGTATTTCGCATATTATTTTTATAAATTGCTCCTCATTATCTGTATCTGGCGGCTGTGAGAGAGCGAAATACGCTCACAGTAATTAAATGAAAAAAAAAATAATAAAAATAATAAAATGAACAGAGCATTTAAAGTGTAGCTTTCTAACTCTGAGAGATGTGTGGGCGTCATAAAAAGGGAATAATTTGATAAGTGAACTACATCTCTACTCTCTAAAAAACTCCCTCAAAAACGAAAGTAAAGACAGGTGAAATACTCTATCCAAAAAATAAGATACTGCTGCTGACAGACGTCATCCAAAAAGTGCTATATCTCCATTAAGTGTAAAAACTGGGCAAAGGAAAGTAAAAGCTGCTCTCCACACAACTATCAACTTCCGGGCAACGCTCTTTATTTAACATTTTGGCATGCAAATTGGTTCAAAAGAGAAAGAAAAACAAGGCTGCCAAACAAATGACTTAGGCAACGAACTTGACGAAGTGAAAATTAGCCTTTGAACTATTATGCGAATAATATCGTTAGCGGAACGATGATTTATCATGTGCATTGTAGCCTTAAGCCTAATCGTTGTATTTAATTTACCATTGTTGTCGTTTGTTTATCTTTTGGCTGATTTTTGTTAAATACACCTACACTTCAATAATCCCAATCCAAGAGTTTTTTTTTACATTTTTTTTTCGGTGAGCTACTATATTCGTAGGTCCACCAGCCATTTAACCACGCTAACTGACAATTAACGCATTAGCCGCGACATCGACAGCGACATCTACTTGTGAGCCATGTGGGCGTTTTGGTGTCGTTTCGTTTCTGTTTCTTTGATGGTTACGCATACGACGCGTTGGCTGCCCGCCTCGACACGCGCATAATGATTTCCATTTATCGGTGTGTGTCAGACTTGATTTGCTGTGCGCGTTTATTACGCACCATTATGCACCGTACTGTGCGCATACAATGTCGGACACATTCACAAGCACACACACTCGCACACACACGCACAGGCACAATAGACCGCACAGTTGACTTGATTTTGAGTGCAGGCTGTTTGTTTGTTTTGGTCACTTCTGGCCGTCACAATGCCAAGGCTTTTTATTTCTTTTTGGATCTAGACAACCTAGGCACAACACTCACAGACCGAAGCTTATTGTTTGTCTATTATTTGGCTAATTACACACACATTTCATTTCGTTCAGCGATGATCAATGTTATGATTAAGTTCGGAATTTATTCAATTGTGTGTCCAAGATTAACGGATCAGCTTAAACTGATCGAGAGAATTCATTCGAATGAAGGTAAATGATTGAATTGTCATTTTTGTTATTGAAAATCTTATATATTGATAGCTATAAATCAAAAGAGTATTAGGTATCAGCTGCTTATGAAAATACGTTGATGCTGTAATAAATATTTACTAAAATCGAATATCTTAGATGTGTAGGTCGTTGTTTTATAAGTGTGTATGTAAGTGTTTATGGTATAAATATATTCCCTTGGCTTACATTTGTTTGAATTATCATATTTATTTAATATATATAACGATTGCTTTCCACTTTTGATCTTTACATTGATCGTATGTCTTTCCAGAGTATTTATCTCTTTTATTTTGATTTAGATACAGTTCTTGAACATATATTTTTCTGTGCCTTTAATAATTTGTAGGAAATAGCTTTAAATTGCATTCTTCAACAGTCCATAATCATAAGTGCTGCGAATTATGTTTAAGCTATTACTTTTTTCAAACAAAATTACTTAAAATGCAAAAGCTTCCGCGCTTTCATAAAAGTTTTTCGTATATGGCCGCCGGGTAAGCAAATTTCCCAAAAAAGCAGAAATCTCCATCAGCAAAATCAAAAAGCAAAAAATGCTTGCCAAAAATAAAGTACTCGTTACTGGTGCTCCAAAGACGTATTCGTACTTTTATAGTGCAAAATTTGGCCACAAAAAAATCAAATTAAATAAAAAGGGAATGAGCAACCTCGACTGCTGTGAGATCGACTTTGTCGGTTTGCTGATTATTGTTGTTGTTGTTGTTATTGTTCGGCTACAAAGCAGCAAGCCGCACAGCGCTAACAATAACTGCAACATGAGCACAGCAAACATTACAATAACAACAACAACAGCAACAAAAGGCTGTCTGACAACAACACGGGAGCATTATGCAACCGATTGCAGCGCCGCAGACTCGAGAAAAAAAAAGCTAGCGAAATGCCGCCAACGGGTCGGCGATTTCAGCTGCTTTCTATGCGGCCGTCGCTGACTTTTTTTCCAGAGTGGGAGACAGTGCGACAGTGAGCTAATTTCAAATTCATTCAGCTGCCAAACGTTAGCCATAGTCAGCAGCTCATTAATCAAGCATCGCTTCATCCAAATGTAAATGGCCAGCAAAGTTGGAAGTCGTTTTGCAACGACAGGGTACTCCAGTTAGTTGCACACATATCCGACTATATGCATATCGTCGAGGGAAGTGGGGGACTGTTTGTGAAATGTGCACCAATTGCTTCAACAGCATTTTAATTATGCACCTCGGCACTCGCGGCATCTATCAAAAATGCATTTTTAATGCTTTTTTTGTTTCCTTTTGAAAACTCAATCAGTTTGACTTTCAGTTCGCTGCGGCATTTTGGGGTATGGCTTGGAGAATGAAGCGACTTTGTTAAAGTCGAGAAGTGGTGCACATTCATTAACCGATTCTTTTGTTTTTACGCTTGCCCCATATAAGGCAGCTGGTGCCAATTGCAGTGGCTTATTTTTTAGGTCTATTTATATATTTGTACATATATTTTTCACATAGGTGCCATATATTCCCCAATGCCAAGCCAATACGTAAGGCGTTTTTTCGTTTGTACTAATCGGAATCTGAACTTATATAACTGTCAGTTTAATGTGAATTTATTAAAGACTTTCATGATCAAGCAATAGGTTCACGACTCCAAAATAATTCGTAAAATACGATCAATGCCTTCCAACTTTTTATGCTGGCATGAATATTTTCCTGTTTGCAAAAAACAAAAACAAATTCGTTATGCCCGTTTAGACGGCTACTATTGTGTGGCAGGCCGAGGAAACCTGCACCTTTATTTATACTATAGCCGAGTGTTTTATTTAATTTTTTGCGCCTGACCTTTGTGCGGGGCCTATCGATTGAATGCGGCAGTTGGGTGTGCCCAGCGACGCCTTGTGTTTGCCTTTATTTTTGTGGCAGCAACACAAATAAATTGCAAAGAAAACTTTAGGGCGTTGCCAAGTGAACCAAACGACGCCTTCATTGTTTGTCCAGATATTGAACACAAAATTTCACTGCACGAATCTTATTTTCATCAGCAACAGCAAAAAAGGTGAGTGCACCCACAAAAAATGTGCAATTAAAGTTCAGCTAGCTATAATTTTGAAAGTTCACTATTGACACCAAGAAAATCGACGAAAAATGCACAGTAATTTCGATTAAATTTGCGGCTAGCAAATGAATTTCCCTGGGCAAGTTTGTGTCTTAAGTCTTTTGTTTTACGTGTGAAACGAGGTCGATTTTTTTAAATCATTTAGAATATTTTTCGCATGCGGTTTTAAAATTATTGCAAATAATTTCAAATAATACAGACGAAAAGAAAAAATACAAAAATTGCCAAAAAAAAAAAATCCAATTCATGCCACAAATTAGAATAAATGTTTTTTGATGGAAGGTCTCTGACAAAGTGCCGTCATTACCAAACAAAAATCATGTACAGCAAATATAAAATTCAATTGTTATTGTTGGCGTCCACAACTGGAGGCCATTTGGTGTGTGCAGCTATTTGTGGCATGAGTCAAAAGATTTTACTGGCACCCAAAAAAAAAATAATTGCCAAATTGCGGAGACTTGGAAAATGTCGTGTGTAGGTCTGTTGCAACCGTGTTGCATAAAATGCATTCAGCGCATTTCATATTAATTAAAACTAAGTCCAAATCTTCCAATAAAAAGATACTCGCATAAATCTTTCCGCATTTTGCATGAGCCGCAACAGTTGAATTATCACACATAAATCACGGAGCAGCCAAAGACCATGTCGTAAAAATTTAAAGTCAGAGACAGACAGAGAGAGAGAGAGAGAGATAGAGAGCGCAAGTTTTATTTGACATGACATTTCACTTTCATTTCCGAAGTTTGTGTCTTGCATTAAAATCAGTTTTATTTTATGCACAACTGACTCAACCCTCAGTTTGGCAATATGCGATCAATCGACTTTGCCTGAAGTTTGGCATCATAACAAAAAAACCAAAAAAAAAAAACAGCCCAGTAAGTAATAACAATAAAAATTCACTTGCACCTGCGGTAACAACGCCCCCTTTTCATTGTGGCTGTACAATTATATTGGTATTGTGTATGTAAACAAATGCTACTCTACCTTATATATATATTTATATAGAAGCGAGGCAAAAGAAAGTGAACGCTCATAATTGAAATAAGTCACGTTCATGTTCATGGCAGAGAGTCACAGACACCCAACGTTTTTTTATGTGTGGGTTTTATATGAAATGAAATAGATTTTTCCTATTTAAGGCGTGTGAAAGAGATCATTCAATTAGACTATGCAAAATTACTGTAAAACTATTTGGCTGCCAATCAAATGCAATGCAAATATGACTCTAAAAATCTACAAATGTTTTGAGCTGCAAAAAAAGGTGCAGCTTAGTCAACAAATTTGTCAACCGAAATTAAATAACTATTAATAATAATTACTTTGCATATTTCTGTTGACTTTACACATAATGAGTGTCGCATGCTATTAAGACGATCAATTGTCGTTTTAGTGCCAACAACTGTCAAGTGCTTATCTCCAGCTACCAACTTTATATAAGCTGATTTCCGCACGTCCTTGACTTTAAAATAAATGTGTTGCGTTTATTTGTGGCAGATAATTGCATAACAAGAAATGTAATTAAGCTCAGGCTCCAACAGTAGTCTGGTGGAGCCCCAGACACAGATACATAGCGTCTAATCTCTTTATCACATGGCCAATTAATTTTGATTAGATTCAGGTAACAAAAATGTTAACACATACAATAACAATAACAAAGTGGCAAACGAAGCGCAACTAAAGCGAATGCTGATAAGAAGCAAAATAAGTTGCAAACTCTGTTTACTCAAAGCGGAAGACGAAGCCACACAGATACAATGAATAAAGAAATACAAAAAGGAAAACATCCATGCACGAACAATATAAACAAAAAGCAACAAATGTTACAAATCATGATGTAACAATGAAAGTGCAACAAAACCAATCAAAAAAGGTAGCCACAGAAACGTGGTAAATAATAATGACACAAACAATAATGGCAAATAACATAAAATTTATCGAATTCCATATTTACTCTGGAGGAGTGCCAGAAGATTGTTTATTTAACTATAGCAGAATGCAAAGAAATAACTATTTTGGCTTCAATTGAACACTTTTGAAATCTATGAGAATTGTTGTGGAATGTATTTGATTATTGAGATTGTAGTTGTGTTTGTGTTTGGGTTCAGTTTAACAGCTTCTTGTAGATTGAACATAAAAATTCTAAAAATTATTCTATTATTTTGAGATTAAAGTAAGATTTAGAGCATGATACTATTTCCTCAAATCCTATACAGTAGACTTAGACTTAGACTTACCTCCTCGTTGAGCACCTCCTGCAGATCTAGGCCATGTGTGGCATTTGGTTCACTGCCCACCGACCACATACGCAGCTCGTGTGGCGCTCCCTTGAAGAGACCCTGCGTGGCGCGCAACGTGAGATTCATGTGGCGTCCAAAGGCACTGAAGGACACATTGTGCGACTTGATCGAGCTCACATCACTGTCAAACAGATGATTACCGTTGCCAGCTTCCGCTGCGGCCGCCTTCAGCTCACTGTAGTAGGCATTTTTGCTCAGATCCTTCTTCACATGATGTGCCTTGCCCAGGGATTCGCCGATGCTGCGACGCTTGCGCTGATGATCACCTTGGGGCGTGTGGTGCAACAGCTGGACGAGCTCATAGTGTGGCACAGCGTCATGTGTGTCCACATGAAAAACTGAATTCAGTTGCTCTGGCGACATATGTTTGTGCAGCTACAAAGAGAAACAAAGAGAGATAAAGAAATATAGTTAATGAATTATATGGATAATTTTATAGCCGCTGGCAGCTACAAATTGTGGCAATTGTTTAAATATTAATTGAAAAATTATCAAATAATTCAATAATGCAATAAAAGCACGCCACATACGGCACAAGTGTTTATACGGTTATAGTTTTATATACGGTTTGTTTACTGTTTGCATGGGCACTCAAGTGCTGGTCTAGAGATTAACAAGCTGAGCTAAGCAGATCCGAGCCAAACTGAACTCAGTCGAGGTTTGTCGGTCGCAAGTATCTTCAGCAAGTGGGTCAGGGTCAGATGGTCGCATGCCGCCGCTTGGGGTTTCTACAACACACACACACACATATGCATATGTATGGGGCTGCTGAAGAAATCCAGCGGCAAGCAAACAAAACGGTTAAAGCCGTTTGCGTGTACTCTTATCGGCAATATGCGTGTATACGAAACTTGTGTATTGAGCGCACAATAATTGCATATTTTAATTAATAACAAATTCGGAATTATTGTTATTAATGAGATTTTAATTTGCACGCCATTGTTTTTGCTTGTTTAGTTTTTTGTTTGCCAACAATAGTTAATTTTGAAAGATTTGTTTTAACCCAAAAAAATATCGGCACACTTAAGTCAAGTGTGTAATTCGCCCAGTTTCCTATTTGAGTGTAACTGCCCCAGTTCCAATTTGGCCGGCAACATTTTAATTATATTTTTCCTTTACTCCATTTTCCCACTCCAACTCGATTCTCAACTTAAAGACCGCATTTCCGTTTTAAATACACATTTTTTTTTAGCAAAAATATTTACCGTATGTTTGCATTCCAAGCGTCAGCAACAAATCGGCAATTCACAAAATTTGTTACAGGGTCAAAGCAGACTAGAATTTCCTTTACCAACAACTGGACACAGGTCGTCTGGCAAATACAAAAGACTTAGGCAACGAACTTGCGCGCGATCAACAAATAATAATAAAAAAAAGTCTGCGTAACAATTTAGTCAAATTTCTTGAATTTCAAGCAACCATAAATGGTGCGCCGCACCGAAAAGAGTCGAAATTGTACCGCAAATGACGACAAAAAACGAGAAAAAAGAGAACTGAAAAGCCAGAAGAAGACAAGGTAAACAACATAATGTCTGACAGCATAGACAACCAATACTTTTTTATTTGTCTTTTTGCGCTTTGATAACATTTATGATTTTGTTTTGTTTGTTTTTTAATTGAGTATGTGTGTTGTATAATAGTTTGCGTGTTAATTCTATTTTCATTAAAATGCATGCGACTGGCCGGCGAAATGAGTTGGTCGAACGAATCTAATGTAGCAGGTGAACAAACGCGCTGATGAAAACCAGGCGCAGACAATGCCGAAGAGTTTTTACTTTCATTTGAAACGTGTTTCGACCAGGCTAGGAGCCACTGCAGCTCATTGGGTTCGACTCTTGGCCGAGTCTGTGGACTGCGCAACATTTTGCTGCATTGAAAGTGAAACTGCAGCCAAACCAAGTTTCGTCTCGAGTCTCGAGTGCGAGTCTGAGTTTGAGTGTTGAATGTTGAATGTGCATTAAGTACAATCGCTAAGCTCTGTGTGCGTTTGTGTGTGTGCGTGTGTGTGTGTGTGTGCATACGGAACGATGCTGCTGCTTGTGATTGTCTTAGGGCTTCCTGACTATAAAAGCGAACATTTGGAAAGCTGGTGCACCTGCAGCAATTTACAATATATGCAAATGCCAAATGACGGCCACACCCCACAAACACCAAACACCAATCAACACTTGACCGCTTAGCCATTTAGTTAAAGCAGCGAGATAAGATGCAGGGGGGCAGCCCTTGCTGCCAATTAACTGCAATTAATGGAAACCAACAGAAAATTATGCAAAAAAAAAAAATATAAAAAAATAGCTAGCCATTTGATGAACAAGATCAGCGCCAATGGTTACGATTTGCAAATCAGGGCTGCAAAACGGCGCATTATAAATGCAGCTCAAATGAACTACTTGTTTCGACTGACCCAATCATGTATGATTTTTTATAAAATAAATAAATAATACTGCGAATTAAAGTTTCAGGGCTATATCCCAGGCAATCATTTACTTAAATTAGCTGTCATTTAATTTGGATGTCACAGCTCAAAAAAAAAAAAAAGAAAAAGAAAAAAGAACCGTGAACCAGTGATCTGAATCCCAGTTTGAATCATTCATCGATGTCTCGACTGGCAATCGGCTGCTGCTGGCGATTTGTCCAAGCGGCGTGCGCTTTAATTTTCGACGGGGTGCAATGACGGATATTGTGAAATTTGTGTTTGTAATTTGTATAGCTGGCCGCTGCTGCTGTTGTTTTTGTTGTTGTTGTTGTTGGTTGTCCGTTTGTCCAGTTGTCCGGTTGTTGCTGCTGTTTTGTGCGCGCAATTACTGAAATTGTGTGATTACTCATACGCCCGATATAACCGGCATGGTGACTGCGACTACAACTACAACTATGACTACTTAAGTGCAAAAACAACAATAATAACAACAATAACAACAGCAAAGCAGCATTCAAAGTAAAAGGTGTAGCCGCCATATTAGCGCAAAAAGTGTGCTTCAAATTGTCTGCGGGGAGGCCAATACTCTGTTTATGGCATCGTCCATACACTTATCGTGCTCACTGTCATTGTGCAATTTTCTTGTCTTGCGCCGGTCAAAGTCAACATCGAAATTCGACGCTCGGAAGAGTGTCACTCGACCTTTTGCTTTAAAGCCATAATACAAAGAAATTATTCACTTGTACAATACGAACAAGCGAAACACAGAGAGAAAAACAGAATAATAACACACACAAGACACAAGTAATGTTCAACTAGGCACAGAAATCATAAAAAATAATATAACAAGTGCTGTTTCTTTTTTTCTGGGTGTGTTGACCTTGCCTCTCGTTTGACAAGCGCCGGAAATTAACAAATGCTTCTGTTGGCGCCAGTGTTTTTTTTTCTGTTGTTGCTGCTTTTCTCTCTCCCTCTCTCCCTCTCTCTGTTTGTGCGAAAAATTAGCAAAGTGTGAAAAGTTCAGAGTGCTATAAGACCTGTGACTGTAGCCGAGCCTAATGGAAAACCATTTCGTTGTAAATTTAATTGTTTGCCTTTCCTGGAAGCACTTTTCAATAGAGGCTTTGAAATGGATTTTAATGAAACGAATTTTTTTTAACGATAGCTGTCCATAGTGCGTATTGAGTGCTTTTGTAGCTGGGGTTAATGAAAGTTTAAAGTGCGTTTTGAGTTTAAAGAGGTTCTGTGACCTGAAAAACAGACATAAGAAATTCGAAATGATTGTGTTTTGTTAAACAAAAACCGTCAAGGAATTTCTAATGCTTAATGCGCCCAATTTTTTTTATAGAAAGCTGGATGGAAGCAAGGACAAGAGCTATTCTCAATTCTCAAGTTGAAGTATATTTCGCAACGCAATCATTGAGATATAATAGTTATCTTTAAGTTCTTACTCACCCACCTTCACTCACATACATACACACACACACATTCGCACATACATATACACACAACACTCACTTGGTCATTGGCGGGAACGTGACCCAAAGCAAGCTAAAACTCAAAGATAAAAGCCAAGCGTGACAAGCAGCCCCAGCCACCAACTCGGACAAAGCGCAACAACGAATCGTGCCACACAAATTTCAAACGCCAAAGTTCTTGATTTCACAATTAAAATGCTTAATTTATTTGCCCGGCTAAGACTGCTATTGATATTCCCGACCAGCATCCAATGGAATCGGAAGAGGAAGAGGCAAGCAAGGTTTCATATTTTCATGCTTGCGTTTTTCTGTGACAGCACATAAAATATAAATATAGAGCAGCAACAACAACAACAGCATCAACAACAGCATCAACAACTATATCTATAACAACGGCAAGCTGCAATCGGCTGACTCATGCACCTAAAGCGAATCGATTCTTAAATTGCTGCCACATTCGCGTTGTTGTTTGTTACATGTTGTTGTTTGTTGTTGCTTGTGTTGTCTTTGCTTTGCCTTGTTGATTTCCATAATTTTTATGCTTGGTTGCGATTTGAAGGGCCTCGTCATAGTTTTTTTTTTTCTTCTTTCTGTTTTATGATGCTGCTGTTTAGTTGTTGCCGTTGTTGTTGTTGTTGTTGTTCTTGCTGCTGTTGTTTCTATAAAAAAGTCAACTTTAATTGCAGTCAGCTTTGCAATCGGATACTGTGCCTCAGTTTCAACTGTGTTGCAAGCCGCATCTCTGTTAATAACGACAAACATGAAGGAGCATTTAACCAACTAACGTTTATGTTCTCATATGGAAGTGTCAGGGAAATGACGGCCATACTTTTATAAAGCTGCAGCAAAGTTCATAAGTCTTTTAATATAAAGTACTTATCCACTTACTGAAGTATTAAGATTATGTGCGTAAGGTATATCTACTTGAGATTGACAGACATATAGGAATGCCTTTGGACAGAGTGTCTAGTAGTTAAGAGCCTGGAGAATAAATGTATCATAAGGCAGACACGAAGGAATGCTTTTGGGCAGGGTGCCTCGGGGATAAGTGTCCTAATACCATAACCAAATCTGATCTACAATAATCTATGTGATATCTCATTTAATCGATTCGAAAGTAACACGGAAAGAATAATCTGGATAAGCGTACAAATTCGATAAATACCTCTTACTTAGATCTACGTAATCAAATCTATTTTTAAATCTATTCTCTGTGTGTCAACGACTTTCAATAATTCAAAACACCACGCCCAGTTACGTTCACAACATAATCAATTATTTTAACGAGCACCATTAAATCTTTAGCTTAAGCGCTCCCAAAATAAAAGCAAATGAATTAAGACAAAGGGAGAGGAGTTAAATGTTTTAATCTGAGCATGAACTCCACAAAAACTAAAGCAGCAACAATTACAAAGCAATCAGAAAGCAAACACTGAAATTTACTTTGAAATAATTACAAGAACTTTTTACGTTTGACCTTGGCCATAATTCGTTGGCGAAGCTTTTTCTTTGAGACAAAAGCTGAGCGTGCGTTTGGTTTTTTCAATGAGAAGTCAGCACACACACTCACACACACACACACACACCCACACTATGCACATATTTATAAATAAAAATAAGCAGATAGGTGTGTAAATGTGTATGAGTTTAATAACAATGCCATTTGTCTCTTGCGGGCTTGGATGAGAGCATAAGCGAGAGAGACAGACAACGAGATACAGAAAGAGAGAGAGAGAGAGAGAGACTCGAAGACTGAATCTCTCATGTCTCATGTCTTTGCTCGCTATAAATAGTGTTGTAATTTAATTAATATACAAAAAATGTTTTTTAAATGCTAATTACGCACAATGCAAATGCGCGCCACAAAATGACAATGAAATTTACTTCCGGGCGGTCATTTGTGTCGTGTATTTGTGTCGCTCACTGTGTACTATGTATGTATTGTGTGTCAAATACAACCGTTAACTGGTATTGTCTACGGTCTTATCGAGTGCCCCCAGAAACAAAAACAAGAAAAAAGGTTTATTGCATTGAATTGATTGATGAGTTCTTCATTATAAGTCGTAAGAAACGTGATAGGTTCAGAGCCCAAGGCATTATTTGGGTTATCAGGGTTAATAATAATTACGGTACTTACATCTGGCAGTGCCTGGCATATTGTGCTGGCCAATAGAAGCGCTGTGATTAATCCAAGTATTGAGAACATTGTTTTTTGTCTGTGGTAATGTGATCTTAAGAAACTTAAACTGCAAATAAAGAGAGAATGGTAAAAAAAACAATGTTAATTAAAAGATAAATATAAAACTGAATACAAATTTACTTAAATATTATTTAAAATATTGCTATAATAATTATAAACTAAATTCCCATTCATCATTCTTTCACCATCCGCAAAATTTTGCTGATTGCAGAATGCAAATTACATTCAAAATGCAATAAACGCAGACTCCCCAATCCCCACGCCCCTCGTCCAATTGGTTACGCTCAAATGGACATTTGGCCAGTAAACAAACTCTGTTTTGTGCTGGCATCCCCTGGCAGTCGAGAAACTGTTGCAACTTTAGTTTTATTGTTGTTGTATTTGCTGTTGCTTGTACAATTAATAATTAGTATTTATTGTAGAAAACCTACATTTCTGGCCCGTTGGCTGTAATTAATTATTGCGTAAGGCCAAGAAGCTACAGGCAGTTCCAACAACAATAAGAGGTATCAGTGCTGCTGTTGTTGCTGCTATTGTTGTTGTTGCTGGTACTGCACATCCGTCCGGGCGTAAATGCCATCGAATGCGGCTAATTGTCAATAATGATTCAGCGAAGCGTGGCAAGAGACGGCAGCATCCACATCGACATGGCCAGACCTTTGACAAACCAACTAAAAAAAAAAGAAAAATCAAAAAACAAACAAAACTGCCCAATAACGACAGCAACGCCAACATAGCCAGCACGGACAACATCAACAATGACAGCTGCTGTTGCATATTTTGCAACATCGACTCTTGATACAAATTGCATGACATTTGTCTTACAACTCCCGATGCAAAAAAGCGGGGCATGCAAGCATGTTTTGGGAGACCCATTTTTAAAGAAATTTTACATGCAAATTTCGAAAAACAAAACCAAAAAACGAAAGAAATCCGACTTTTTTTCGAAATCATTTAATTGATTGAAATTTTGTAAATTTTAAGCAGAAGACTTTTCGTGCATAAAATTGATAAATAGCTTTTTATTTCATGAAAAGAAAATTTAATATGTTAACATTTTACAATCAATCAAAATTACAACAAAATATGCACATATGCCACAAAATGAGGCGTGCCCACGTCTGCAGCACTGCCCTGTAAAAAATTGCCTTTAACCAAATGCATGTGTGCCGCAGAAAGTGAAATTTGCCTAAATATTTAATTTGAAATGATTGGCTCTTATTGAAAAATGGTTGCTGTCGGCAATTTTACCACAATTTTGCCAAGATGAGGGTAGAAAAAAGAAAGAAAGAAAAAAACCTTCGTTCGTTTTTGGAGGCGTGCAGTAAACGTCAAATGCGTGAAGATTGAATGTCGGTTTCACTCGCCAACAAGCGCTTAGACGGGGAGCTTTTTTGGTTTTGGTGGCCAGCCCACAGGCTCACCCAACCTTCCAATTAGTTTAGTTGGAGAGATAAAGACATTAGTGGGTCACTTGTGGGTTAATGGCAATGTGCTGATGTAATTAGTTAACTTAGATAGCCAACAAGGGGGGCGAATACTAAAAAAGTCCAAAAAGCAAAAGGAATTAAATCTAAAGACTTAGGCAGCGAACTTGACGTGATATATGCTGTTAATACTTTTACGAACTTTAAAATTTAATTTGTAGTAATAATTACATTCAGTTAACTTATTTCCTTAACATTTTTAATAAGATTTCCTTAACATTTGTAAATAGTCATATTTATCAAAAATTTAATTAATTAGTTAAATATATGACAAAGAATTATTCCACAAGCTTAATCGTATTCTTTAGTCGTATATCACTTCCACTTCACGTCGCTGTCAAGCTTATTAAGCTTTGGCCCTAAGGGCAAACGGATTATAACCACTTTGATTGGCCCTCAATAAACACACATGTAAGTTCAAAGCCAGCGAAGTCAGCTAAACGGGCAACAAACCTCAACTCAACGGTTAAGTTCGTAAATAACCTTGGGCAGCACTTTCACCCGACAGGGGCCAAACAATAGAAAAATACATATACACCAAAAATAAAAGCGATAGCAAACAGCAAAAAATAATAGAAACAACATCAAAGCGAAATTAATTCATCAAAGTGTCAAATTATGACGAATTTGGTTTCGAATGTCAACGGCAAAGCGAAACGATAAGGAAATTAAATGCAGCTTCCGAAAAAAATTGAAATTAAATTAGAAAATGCAAAGAGAGTTGTATATAACAACTAAAAGATACCCTGCATAGAACTAACGAACAAAAGCTAATATAAAATGAGATATATTCATAATACTATAAACTCAATATTCCCCATTGCTGCACTTGCTAGCAGGGTATCCAATTATTTATTGAGTGCACTCGAAAGTGGCGTTTTTATGTCTTTGACTTCTGAATATACACATATATTTTACATAAATTTATAGTGAATACAGTTATGGGGCAAAGTGAAACAGAAATCGAAAATCATATACAAAATCAAATAAAAACGGAATATATAAAATTTTTTTTTTTTCTTTTGAGTCTTCTTGGCCATTTTGTCAATCTGACGGTTGCCGTTTGCATAATTAAGGTCGATTAGGGTTAGTTTTTTTAGGAGATGGAGATGATGAAGCTGTTGATGATCAAATGAAACTTGAGCTCAAGGTTATGGTTATGGCAATACTTAAAAGTTGCATTTACTAGAGTGCTGTCTGGGCTCTTGCACAACAGACCGATGTCATATATATATATATATATATATATATATTATATATATATATATATATCTTTTTATGCGACATCGCGTGCCTGTCGAGCTGCAAAAATTATGTAATGCACAATCAAATGGCAACAGTTTTTCACAGTTTGCACTGTTTGCCGTGGCAATTAAACTTTCTTGGGGGCCCCAATTTAAAAGCCGTCACCAAAACAGAAGCGCTAAGAAAGCCAGAAACAGTTAAAACACTTTTTGGCCACATTTCGAGCATTGTAAGTGTGGAATTATGCCAAAAAGCATTGAAAGACAGCATTTTCAAGAGAGCCGACACGCAGTAGATGAAAGAAGGGGTGAACGAGGCGGGGAAAGATACCGCCAAAAAAAAAGCAAGTTGCATTGTCAGCTTCCGCATAATTATGCCGACACAGACACTTGCCATATATTCAACAGCTCACTGAGTTGTTGTGTCTGTTGTTGTTGCTGCGGCTTGTTGCCAATGCATTTTGTTGCTGGTCTGCTTATGGGAATTTCTGATGTCTTTTGCTTTGAGCTGTTAGCTGTGGGCTTTTAGCAGTGTTTTTGGTCATTGTCTCTTTCTTTACTTATTTTTTGGCTTTCTTCAACCAATTCGCTGACACAACAACAGGGCGTCAGCGTTTTACTTTAATTGACATTGACAGTCGAATACTGCTCCAAGAAAAGACATCTGTCGTCGCCATGAAATAATTTGCTGCTGATATTATCACCGGTTTGTCTTTCTCACATCCACACCTGGGCTACTTTGTTGGCCATAGTTGTGCACTTCAGTTGATAATGAACTTATTTTGTGATAAACGCTGAGCTGTGCGAAATGCCGCCTCAAGCAAGTCGCAGACCTGCAGCAATAACGTCAGCAGCAGCAGCAACAGCAACAGTAACAACAACAATCAGAGGCGATAACTGGGCGCATGAGTAATGAACTTTTCATCAGTTTGGGGCTTGGGGTTTTGAGTTAGGTAATGTTTAATGAGTGAAGTTTTTAGTTCAACACAACATATGCCGAGCAGCTCTTTATGTTATTTTGTGTATTTTGTGTATACAACAATGGTTATATAATATGCCATCGCAATTGAATATTGTAATCATTAACTCTTTGAAACTAAGGAAGCCACACTATATATATACAATTGTAATGATGAATGATAATCCAAAATAATAGTATTTTATATAATTATTCTTCCCTTTGAATACATTTCGATGAATTGCAAACCTTTTAAAAGACCTTCAGCATACTTAGTTCAGCTTGATTAACAAACATATTTCTCATCCTTACATAACAAGTCGTATTTAAGCATATTCAGAGTTAAGTTAACAACAATAAACCCTTAATATAAATATATTTTAACTGTTTTTCCCCTTTCATACAAATTCAAATGTATGTGAGACCTTGAAGATCTTGCCAAACGCAACCTTTAACATATTTTGTTTTGTTTAACTTAATTAAGAAACACTTTTGTCATCCTTATGCAGCAAACGGCCATTTAATCCAGCTTATTGCAAAGTTATAGTTTCAAAAAAATAGATTCCCTAAAAAACTCCCACACAAATCACAATCTAATCTGCTATGGAGAAAAAGCAAAGTGACATAACAAAGTTCAAATGCGAACGTTTTGCACAGAAATCAGCGCAAAGACCGATGAACCGCACAAAAGATAATAAATTTGATTTCTCAGTTAACAAGTTGCAGGTTGCAGGTTGTGTTTTGGCCCGACAGCGACAATGATGACGGAAAGGATTACGTAAAGTGTCTGCGACCTGAACTCTTTGCATTTGCTTAACATTTCAAATCAGCTGCAATTTGTATGTATATGTGTGTGTGTATGAGTGTGTGTGTGAGTGTGTGTATAAGGGCGAGCGAATATTTTCTATTGTTTGCATTTGGAAACAATAGAGTTGGGAACTTGTACCTTGAATGTGTGTTGAAAAAAACCCGTTGACAGCTAACGAAGCTGAAAACAGCTGTGCAAATGTTTTACCAAAAAAAAAAAACAAACAAAACACAAGAAATATTTTATAATAATACTCAACTCTTGTAAGCCGATAATATTTTTAAATTTCTTTGATTGTCGTTTTGACAACTAAGAATTTATAAAAAAAAATTACTATTTAATAACTTCAAAACCAGTTTGACAAACTAAAAAATTCCATTAAGATGAAACATGTTATTTAAATGTTTATAAATATTAGTTTGGGGTAGTCTTGGTTTGTCATTATTTTGTCGTTATTTTTAGTAGCAATGTACGTATAAATAATATGCCACAAATATTGAAAAATGAACAAAGGCACGTAAATTATTAAAAAAAAGAAAAAGAAATAGCATACGTAGTAAATAATGAAAAAGACTAAGACAACAAACGAAATAAATAAATAAATATACAACGTATACGTAATGTGCCAGCTAATTAAATGAAAGATGCGCAATAAAAGAGACGCCGTTGATAATTAAGGCAGCCACACACACACGCACATACACACACACATACACACTCGCACACCCAAAAGAAATGCCAAATTGTTAAAAATATTTATTCATTTATTTATCTTGGGCCATAGAACGGGCATTACAACTCAAAACAATTGTTTACAGCTGCAATTGTTTATCCTCTTGCTATAATTTTCCAATTGTTGTTACAACATGCAACAGGCTGCACACACACACACACACACACACACCAGCATACGACTTGTGGATTGCGTGCAGCATTTGCGGTCGGCTGTCGGAAAAACTGTAAACCGCAAAATGAAAGTGAAATTGAAATTGAAATTGAAGAAGACGTCAAAAGCGCAGCGCGAATAACTTGGCAATAACAGTAAAACTTAAAGCTTTGATACTATGTCTTTTTACCTATGTATGTATGTATGTATTATGCATTTGTCTACGTTTTTCGTAATGGCCAAAACTTATTATTACTTTTATGACATTTGCATTTTTAATTTATTTGCAATATTTGTTAGCCGCTGCTGTTGCCTTTCTTCTGGCATTGCACTTATCTTTTGTATGTTCAGTGGTAATTTAATTTACTTAAATATTGCATCAAAACAGGAAGTACACGCATCTATAGAGGATGGCTTAGTGAAACTTTGCTTAACATGGTTTTATTTAAATGGATATTCATTTTTATCTGATCGTTGCTTAAAACGATTTTTGTTTATTTAGTAATTGCAAACTTTCAAATGGGGCTGCTTGTTCAAACACATATTTGAATAAAATGAATTAATTGCAAGATTTTGTAGAAATAAGCTAAGCAATTTATGGAATTGCCTGAAGCGAATTTGCATGAAACAATCGTGGCTAATAAATAGGTTTACCACCAATTCCAACTGAATGAAAAAAAATACAAATCAAACACGCATTAAAAACGCTAAACGTTGCTTAAAAACAAAAAAAAAACTATTTAATAAATGTTGGATAAAAAAATTAATTAAAAAAAATACAAATACAAAGACACGCACACACATACAAACAGAGTTGAACGGCTAGGCGACTATAGCAGACGAAGAGACAAACAAACAGGTTACTCGGGTTTCTTCTTCGGTGTCAATGAAAAAGCAAAGCAAAAAACAAAACATTTATATATAATAAATAAAATGTGTATGAAAAAAAAATAACAGATGAATTAAAAGAGTGGACACTGTCGTTGAGCTGATGAACGATGAACACACAGCACACACAGCTGGCAAGGCTTTGTGTATTTAATCGTATATCGACATAAGTAAACAAAAGTCTGGGGGTGTTCATAGAATTTCGAATGCCCATAGAAAGTTGCAAATCTACTGTTACAGTCTGGGCTGAGATTGGGTGCTCAGACTCAGATCATTATGCATACAAGTTAAAAGCTGGCTGAAAGCTTTGCAAGCTTCCCAGCTCCCCACACTTCTCCCTCTCTCTCTATCTCTCTATCTCTCTCTATCTCTGTCCCTCTGCTGTCTTTCTTTGTGGCTTTGTTGCAATACGAGCTGCAATAATTGCAACAATAACAGCGAGGAGAGCAGAGTAAAGCGTATCGAGCAATAATAACTGTAGCAATATTACAAAATCGCTACAATCGAAGCTCGAAAGCGGCCCAAAACAACAGCAACAGCAACAGTAACGAAAACTAAAACAACAACAACAACAACAACAATGAGATAATAACGTGCACAACCAAAATAACCAAACAATAACAACATCAACAACAACAACAATGAAAAGGTCTGTTTTATATGCATTTATAACTGCATACACTGAAACATATAAAAATATGTGTATGTGTGTTTGTGCACATGAAAATATAATTGAATAAAATAAAATATAACCAATTACGTATTACAGATTAAGAAACAAGCCCACTTTTTGAATACAACAACGGTAAAAATCATAAACTTTACACGTTGTACTTGAATATTGGAAATTATGTATTCAGCGATTTGATAATATTGCAATTAGCAACTATTAAATGACACAACAATTAACAATTTAAGCAAACGTTGTCCAAAACGTGCAAAGGCCCTAATTTGACAAAAACTTGTCTGCAAATTAGTAAAACATAACTAAATTCATTCGTTAGCCATCTTCTTCATTTCTTGAGTATTCAACTTTATTACCATGTGTGTGAAGAGCTTAGCTTGGTTTTGATTTGAGTCAAACAAAAGAAAGAACTGCCTGAACTACCAGGCACCAGTTAGAAAGCAGAACTTCACACAAATGGATCATGTGATTGAAAACTTTTTGGTAATGCACAAATAAAATATATATTATTATAAGACTTGATCTAAGTAAAATAGTTGAATTTGTAACCATTTATTTTATAATATTTAATATATTCACAATAGCGAATGTTTCAAAAAATGTTTACTATATCCCTTCTTCAAATTATTTTTTTATTTGTAGCACAACTTGTTTTTCTTACTATCTAACTTACAATAATTATATTATGAACTTACCTAGGTCCGTATTTTTTTTTTTACTTCTGTGCGGCCAATACTGGCCCTCCAACTTTACGCGAAAATCCTTTTCAAATTTTGTAGAGCACTCTCAAACGCACTGACTGCGTTTCTATGTATTGCTTGTTTTTTATCTTTATAGAACACTGCCAATACCGTTGTTGTTGGGTAGCCAAACACCTTTGCGCCTTGTGCCCTTCTTGTGCTTCTTCTTCTGGCTCTGGCTCTGGATCTGATCAATAGATGCGACGATAGCAATAACGATAACGATAAGCAAACGCGCGGCGATTACTGATAACTGTTGAACTGTTGAGCAGAACACAAAAAGCACAGAACGCGTGAAGAACACACGGAGAGAAGAACCCACAACACACGAACAGAAAGAAAGACGAACAGCGTTTAAACTGCAGGCGGGCAGTGCGCTAAGATTAAATACGGCGTGAAATTTGCTTGGCAGACGACTTTTTTCGTCGTCGTTGTTGTTGTTGTCAACGAAATTTGTATATTTCACTCATTGTAATTGTGATTCTGATTGTATTGCTTTTATTATATCTTAACCTTCTCCGGGGCTCAGAACACGAAAAAACATAAACAATAAAAACGCGCGGCGACGTCGCAGCAGCAGCAGCAGCAACAGCAACGGAAAAAAATGGCAACTGTCTGACCGTTGGGTGAGCGAGCAAGAGTGAGAGAGAGAGAGAGAGAGATGGAAATTGAAATGGAGATTATTGAAAGGCAGATTCACTTTTTACTTTTTTGCTTTTAGCTTTTTTTGCTTTGCCCAGCACACGATTACGAAAAAAAGCGGAGAGCGAATTGAGCGTAATTCAATGGAGCTGAAGCTGCTGCCTGTTTGGGGGAGGGGGTTTGTTATGCTTGCACTTTTGAGCCACTTATTTATTAATTTTTTTTTTGCCACACTGCACACTTGGGAAGAACTTTGAGGCAGCCTTACATAAGCAACGCTCGCTTTGCGTATATCTCCAATGGGTTTCTTTTGTTTCAATTGGTTGGAATTTTGTTTTTTTTTTTTTTTTGGTAGTTTTGATGTATCGCGTCTGCGTGCCGTTTTTTTGTGGCCGTCTACGGAAACTGGTCGGCGCACACTAAAGTTAACGTTCGCTTGGGCAGCGCAGCGCAGTCCAAAAAATATAGCGCACACAATGATCGGGCCAGCCAACAACAACAACAACAATAACAACAACAACAATTAAAAGCTGACAGCGCACGCGCAAGCGAGACAGACAACAACAGCAGCAGCAGCAGCAAGAGCCAGAGCCGAGCTTTGGGCCAAACCAAAGCAAGCCGTCGTTGCCCAAAGCTATCTAGTCGACAAACTTAAAGTTTGCCTTGAAAGCTTCCAATGAAAGCGAAAACGAAAACGGCAACGAGCAAAAAACACTTGCATTTTCAGCATAGCCCAATCGTAATAGCTTTTCGAGTGGAAGTTTGAGCCAAACTTTGAGTGACTTAGGTGTGTCTCTCTCAATCTCTCACTCTCGTTCTCTCTCTCTCTCTCTCTCTCCCGTTGAATGACTTTTCGAGCGCATTTTTGTTTGCTGAAAAGCATTTGATTAATGTTGTAAAGATTTGTTTTCATTTATCTTCAATTTGCGATCTTCACAACAATAAAACATTACTCACATGCAAATTTCATTTGTAGCCACAAAACAGACATTATTTAATTGGTGAGCATATGAAAAATACAAATTAATTAAAAAAGTGTCATTAAAGCATTGACAGCAGTGCACATTGTTAACAGGAAGCGGCTGTTGCACTTTTAAACATATGTTTTCCTTGGGCGTGCTGCAAAACTAATGACAATGTCATTAAGATTAAGCTTGGGTCCTACTTAATGTATTAATTGTTATTTTAAACGAATTTCAGTTAGTCATTTACATTTCTTTTTTCCCTCTGAAAAATTATTTAAGTCTTTGTAAGTCTAACGAATTTTTTATTTAAATTCTAATAAGTAACATCATCAACAGAAAACCATATTAAACATTTAACCTATGTGGGAGTGAAATAATGAGTTAAATAAGTAGCATTGAATAAACACAAAAATAGTGACAATAGCTTCCTTGTAAATAATAATAAATAACAATAATAATCTTAAAGCGTTTAATTAGGAAATGAATTGCTTTACCAAAAATAAATAATTGCCAATAACTTAAAATTATCAATAAAAATTCTCTGTGGTATTGCTACCTAAATGCGACACCCACATTTGTTGGCAAGTTCACGGACAGTTTTTGGAAACCATATTTCAAATGTGATAAGGTGACTGTTATCCCAAAAAGCGTTCCGTTTTTGACTCATCTACGCATATTTTATGTAAATGTTTTTTTTTTTTTAATAAGTCCATTTAAAAGGTAATTGTTCTACATTGTGGCAGAACTGAATCGGAAAGTGGGGGCGGTCTGAAACGCGTGTGGATGCCAAGTACAGTGAACCCCATGAGCGCTGGACCAGCAGACAAGCGATTGGGTGAAACGGCAATGAACCAATTTACTGAACGTATAAATATTTATGAGATGCTCTGAGTCAACGCTGACGTAGGAATCGTTTTGACTCCAATATTCCAATCCACTGGGTGACCCCAATTGCCATTTTGGTTTGGAGGGGGAGGGATAAAAAAAAAAAAAACAACATGCTATGTTATATAAACCAGCCAGATGGGGATCTTCATCGGATCGGTGTCATTACACGTGTTGCTTCAAGCATTCAGCATTTCAAGCGACATTTAGCCACAGCTACGATTGAAATCTATTAATGAGCTGTGATATTTTCCTCCGAACACCGAAGCAACAGGTTTCATTTCATGGGTCTACGGCAACCGCATCAAGTCGGAATCTCAAGCTGAACTCATTACTTTTATGTGAATTTCGTGTTAATTGCATTGCATTTATTTACATTGTCTTAAATTTGTTGTGTTTATTGACACTTTTTGCGCTGCTTTCTCACAGCCTGTCTTCGGTCTAAAGGCGGGATGTCATCGCATTGGCATTACATTTAATTATTGCTCCACTTTACCCCCCCCCCCCCCCCATCCACACTCCCCTCAACCTTTAATTTGTATACCTTGTGATTTGTTCTCCACCTATCTGCGGTTTCAAAAATTATTGAAACTCAATTGGGGTTTAGTGTCAATAATTTGGCTGTTGCACAATTCTTAAAAGCCATTACCTAAAATGATCTCTGACTTGAAATTTTTTAAAGAGCTGTGGCAAATTGAAATGAATAAAAAAGGTATTTGTTGTTTATTTTCATATGCCATAAAGTAGGCAAAATTTGATTATGACAGCTCTTATCTCCCATTAATCGATGTCTTAGCAGAGGTCAAAGTCATGATTGCTCAATATCCACAACAAGCACATGGAAACACACTCAGGGATTCACAGATTACCACTGCAACGAATTTAATTGATCATCTCTTAAGCATGCAATCATCGTTTTATGGGCGTCAAAATGCAGTTGAGTCCCAAAAGTAATATTAACAACAGCTAACAAGAAATAAAAATGCATTAATGTGTTTGTCAGCGGCTGCCTAAGCTATGAATCTTTAAGTTTCTATAAAAAAGACAAAGAAAATCAATAAGCATTTGCATAATTTTCAACATTTGACGCAGCCCGATTCGGTTTTTGGGATTTGAGAAATTGGAAACAAACAAAAAACGAAAAAAAATCCGCCAACCACTTTTACGAAATTGTCAACAGCAGCAAACTTGGGTCACTTCAATGATGTAATAAATATAAACAACAACTAATCAGGTTTTAAGCCTTAAACGAAATTGTAACATAAATGAACAAATGTAAATATGAATTCCAAATGAACTAAAATTATAGCCCAACTGAAGAAATTTGAATAAATTAAGATGCAGATAAAAAAGCCAAAAAAAAAGAAACAAACAAAAATAAATATAAATTTAAATCAAAGCGGCAACAATTTGAAAATTGCAGCACTTTACGAAAAGTATTGGACCAAAGTCGATTATATTATAAGCATTATTGGCCATTATTATGTCAGGCCAACTAGCTGCCAGTTCCCAATCCCAATGGTCCAAGACCCACAGAGGCCAGAAACCGTTGTGGTTGCCACAGCAAAAACCACCAAGTGAATCTACTTCACAAACTGTGTCTCTCTCTCTCTTTTTTGCTTCTCGGCCAACTAGCTGTTAATGCAGCTCGCTGACTCCGTTGTATTTTCAAGCCAAAAGTCTATAAATATTCATGGGTTAGCACACATGTCTCTTATCGGCCTGGCTCCTGACTTGCGAAAGGAAAACGAGCTCAATATTGACCATTAAGTGACGTATCAATTTTGATTTAAGCTTGTGTGATAATTATATCTATTCAGACTGCAGTTGCATATGAAAACACACAAATTTTTATTCAACAGAAGTATTCAATTAAATATATATTATATAATACCTTTTAAGGCAAACTTAATATAGTAGTAACAATAAAATACGAGAAAAAAAAACAAAGATTAGAAAGAGAATGATTTTTGATTTTTGAAAAACCAATAAATATAATTACTCTCATTGCTTCATAATTGATATAAACAAGTGAAGCACTTAAATTTTGTGATAATTAAGTCACATTTTTTTGCTATAAATGCTGCAATTAATCTCAAAGCGCAAAGTTCAATGTCATGGCAAAGCATACGTATGGAATTAATTGATGGATCGATAATGACACATTATCGTTAAATCGAATACCGCCGATATATTCGGTAGCAACTTCCTCCAAAAAAATAAAACAAAACGAAAGGCCGCAATTAGAGAATCTCAATCAATTACAGGCTCAGGAGGTGAAAACAAATTTGTTAAGAAAGCAGTACATCACAATTTTGGCGTTAAACTAAGCGAATGATTTGTCATATGCTGAGAGGCTGATTGATTGTCCGACTGCAAAACAAAAGACTGAAGCAACGAACTTGCAACGAACGCACATTTGCAATTTCGTATTATATTCGATCGAATGTGCTCAAAGGAATGTCGGCCAAAAACAAGAAACACTCACGTATACATATTTAAATGCAATTAGCACACTATTAATCTTGATCAAAAAATCAATGCGAATATTGCAAAAAAATAGCATTTTGCAGCGAATTTGTTTAACGAGGCTTGCAAGCAATTGTAAATAGCTAAATAAATATTAGAAAAAACATTTTGTAACGAATTTGTTTAACACGGCTTGCATACAATTGTAAATTGCAAAATAAATATCAGATTAATCTTAATACTAAGGGTATTAAATACAGATTTATTTAAATTAAGCGAAATTTTACTATTCCTGAGAAAAAAGTTTTTCATTGAGTCACTTTTGTGTAGCTTCAAAAATGTATGACTAAATGCATCTTGGTGAAAAGTCAATAACTTTAAAACAAAGTTCCTTAGCCTTTGGCTGGTTTGGTTGTTTTGATGCTACACTTTATTTGAATTTGGGTTAATCAGCGATAAAGCGCTCATCGACGTCCAACAAGCCGAGTGCGAAAATGACTTATTTACATTTAACCACAAAAAAAAAACAAAAAAATAATTTATATATTACAGGCGCCGAGCGAAAACACGAACAAAAACTTATTATAAATGGGCTTTTCGTCTTAAACAGCTAATTGCTTCTCATTAATTTGCATGTGAAATTAATTGCCAAGATTTATGCATTGTTAAGCCTTTTCATCATCATTGTTGATGTTGATGTTGATGTTGCTAGTGTTATTGTTGTTGACCATAAGTATTATTACTTCCTAGGCAATAGGTTTTGACAAGGTATGAAACACATCGCCTGTCAGCATACTCAATAACACAAAGATAACATAACATTTTTGCGGGATCCCACAAAATTCACGTCCACTCGCTTATCGAGTTCAAGTTTTTGCAATTGACCTATAAATTCATTATGCATGCAAAGTTGTGGTAATTGAATTCATATTTTTGCCTTTTACATTTGACACAACGTATACGTAATTTTGTATTGTCAGGCAGAGACAGTCGAAGTGTCTAACAGTCGGACAGTCGGCCAGTCGGCCTGTCGGTATGCAATTGAGCATTTTATTTCCGTCAACATTTCAGATTATTAGACACAATTACAATTAATTTTCGTTTCAAATGTTTCAATGGGCACGATTGGCCCGATTGCCGATCTGGACATCAGATATTACTGCGTTGAAAGGTCTTTGATTTCAATTGGATTTATTGTATGTTGCGAGTATGTCTTGGACTTGATGGGTTTTTAATGCTTTGCCCAAATGTCATGACCGAGCATTTGCAGGGTCGCCCATATAGGCTAGAGGCTACAGCATGTGAAATATTATAAATATGACCTTTAAAACTTCACTAACACACTGTGTTGATTAGAACGCAATTGTGTTCCTTAATACTCATTTATTTATCACTTACATATGCATTAATAAACAACAAAAACCATAAAAAGAATTTGCAAACAATACAGACCTGATTTAGTGACCCAATTACTTAAATATTGAGAGGACACGTGGTGTGACAGTTAATGCGAAAAAGCAACATTAAAACACAAAAAACAATCAATTGCAATTTATAAATTAGTTTATTGCACTGTCATTGAATTCAATTACAATTATTCAATTCATATCTTTATTCGCACTTCAATTCAATTAATTTTGAGAGATTTTCCACTGCTAACGAGCTTTATCAGGGACTTACTAGCGGGATTCTGTGAGCGTGAAGAAGACTTTGACAATAACTCGATCGCGATTATCGATACTGAAAGTGGCATAAATTGCATATTCGCCGCCAGGAAGTGGCAGCATCTCCAACGCTTTGACAGGAAAACGAAAATGTTCCACACTAAACTCAGCCTGCAAAATGTAATAATAGATAACGACTAAAAGAAAATAGTCAATTCATACAATTACATACCGGCAGTGGACACTTGTTGATATTTGAGTGATTGAGGAAGCTATTGAACACGATATTGACAAAGGGATGATTGCGCTTCTCCAGATACTCGCATGTATCGCTATGTCGAACATCATAAAGAAAGGGCTTATATCCACTAGCCCGCTTCAGCAGCTGTATTCGCATCTACAGAAAGCAATAGAACGAAAACTATTATATCATTAAATATAAAATGCAATAAAAGAAATCAAATTATAAATAAATATAAAACTAGTCGAAGATGTCACAATTTTAAATACAGTTTTAGTCTAGTTAACAGACCATAACTAATAATGTATTCATTTTAAGTAATGGCTGTGTAAGGTTTTCAGCCATTCCACATGCCATATTTTTAAGTAGGCCTAAACTCGATGTTTCAAAAAAATATAGAAAATCGTAATTTCTTTCGAATTCCGATATAGTCAAATAAAGCTCACAATTACCGTTTTCAAAAATCTGTTCTCACGCATATATATATATATATATATTTATATGATATATGCAACGAAATTCCGAAAGGATGTGTTTCTTTAGCTTCGTCACGCGTTTTCTGGTCATCATTTTTGGCACATTGCTGCCAGCACGGAACACCCACCTTGCGCTGCAGCAAGAGAAGGAGGAACTGATCGCCTGGACCAAGTATTGGATAGTATATGCCTGTCTTATGAGCCTGGAGATTATGAGCGACACCTTCTTCACCTGGCTGCCGTTGTATGTGGAGACAAAGTTGCTAATCGTACTGTGGATGGTCATCTCGGCGCCCTCGGCCAGTGTCTGGGTCTTTGACGTGATTCTTAATCCACTGATGGGTCGCTATATGCACCGGCTCAATGACTATATTCTCTACGAGAAACGACATCTGCTTGCCGATGCATTGTCATTCTCATCGCAATTAGGCACTCGCAGCCTGCATATAGTATTGCCCATGATCTCAAGCCTGTGGAAATGGCCTACCCAAACAGCGGACGACGAGACCAATGCAACATTCCAGACGAAGAAGGCAGAAATGGAGCGTGTGTCCGATCCTCAGACCAATATTTATTACGATGCAACTGCCGACGACGAATCTCATGACGTGACATTAGCCTGTTCACACTCCCACACTCAGCTGCTGGAGTATTCGCGAAAGCCTTCGTTCCCCGAGCTGGCCATGAAAGCAATAGAAACACCAAATAGGCGTTCCTTGAATCGCCACGAGCGGAAGCCGTACGTTTACGAGCAGTTGAATGATGATGCAGCCCCGAAGTGTGACGACCCCCGCAACGGTATTGATAATTTGCTGAAAGACGAGCGGTTGACTACCGAGCTGCAACAGCATCCAATACTCCGACGTAGAGAACGCTCTCGTTATCAATAGCCTACAACTACTCTGGAACTATTTGTATAAATTCATTGTTTGCTACACCAAAAACGCAGCCAATCGAACAAAATGGCTTGCATTTGGAAACTATCTGATAGAGTAGAATATATAATATATATATACAATCAAAATATTTATTAAAACAGGTATTACTATAGCGAAGTCCTGACTTCCATTACTTATTTTATGAGGGAATAGATATTAAGCTACCAGCCTAATGAATCGAATATAAATGTATATATTAATCACATATCCAAACAATCACATATACGAGTAGGAAATACTACGTAGAGAGTTGAGCATTCAAACACAAAGGTTGCAAACACTTATATAGTTTTTAAGCCGTAACAAATGATTATAAATATCTTAAAATTAATAACATTTCTTTTAGAAAGACAAGTCCTGGTAAACAGCTATTGTATATTGAATGTTAACAAAATTTCCATATTAATTTAAAAGCATCGTAGTGTTTTTTTATATGTATAATAATGTAAAATCGCGCAGTTACCCTTAATTGTCAACACGAATAATGTATTATAAATACTATCTGTTAACGCTTTGCTGACTAAATAGATTAAATTTAAACTTCAAGCGAAATACAAGCTTAGTGCACAAAGCACGTATCGATAATGGCTTTATAATTACAGCTTATACATATATGATGTCACTTGAAACCCTTTGATTTGAACAGACTGAGAGTATTTTGTATTTAGTGCTGGAAACTTACCTCAATTGGTTTCTTGGGGAACTGGACGATTTTGACTCTTATGGTCATTTCAGCCACATCGCGCTTAACCGCATACAGGCGACATATGGTAAACACGGTAAAATTTGTATCCTTGCTAACACACTGCACATTTGTAAACTTGGCCAAGCCGCTGACCTAAGAAAGCTTTTGATTAATTAACGACATCGAGATAAACACACCACACATTCTTGCCTGCATTATATTCCAGAGCAAGATCAGCTGCACCATGGGCCAGAATATGGACATTTGTGAACTATATATATATATAAATTTATATATTAAAATAAATAACCGAATATTTTTCGGATTGCGTGCAAGCTGAAAAGCGTTCAACTCCGGCAACTGACTTTGGGTAACAATTAAATCTATTTAAAAACATTTTGGGCTATTGCTGATAACAATAATTTTACCCGCACTTGTTCGCTTCGCAATTATCCAGTCATTATATATAACATTATATTGGAAATGATGTTTAATTAAAAGAGTAAACAAATTTTTAAAACCAAGCTATATTTTTGCAGGTTTATTTGTAACACTTATCTTAGAACTAATTGCTTGTGTGTGTGTGTGAGTGTGTGGATTGTGTTATGGAAATGTATTAATTACTAGACTAATCGCTGGCCTCATCCTCATCATCATCTTCATTACTCTCGTTGGTCTCCTCATCGGTGGCTTCACTTTCGGTGTCTTTGGCCTTCTTCTTGGATGATTTGCCTTTATTTTTGTCCGTCTTACTGCCGCTCTTCTTGGCATCATCTGATCTAAAGGAATCATCTTCTTCGCTCGGTTCCACTTCACTTTCACTCTTCTTGGACTTCTTTGCATTGGCTCCGTCGGCTGATTTGCTCTTCTTTTTGGCTGGCTCACTGCCGCTCTTTTTGACATCCTCGGAACTAGTGGAATCCTCATCCGAGATGTATTCCTTGCTCTTAAAACCACTGCCTGAAGTATTTGATTTCTTCACTGGAGATGGATCGGATTTGCGTTTCTTGATCGCTTTGTTGTTGTCCAGCTGTTCATCGTCGCTAGCATCGCCCGTCACCTGGCTTATAATTGCGCATCTCATCCTGATAGCGTTGCTTGTCCTTGGATGCAGCCTCATCCCACTTGGATTTGTCCTTCAACTCCTTCCACATTTCACCACCCTTTTTGGCGATTTCGGTGACCTTTATGCCCGGATTATCGCGCTTAATCTGCTCACGGGTATCATTGAGCCACAACATAAAAGCGGTTGTTGGTCGTTTTGGTTTGTTGGAGTCCTTCTTCTTGGTTGGTTTTTTCTGGAAAGGTGAACATAAAAATCAGTTACTGTATTCCTTAGACTTTTAAGGGGATTGCTTACTGTGCGCTCTTTCTCTTTGTGCTTCTTCTCTTTCTTCTCGCGCTTCTTCTCCTTGTGCTTCTTCTTAGAAACCCCATCGCTATCACCACCACCGCCGCCGCCACCACCGCCACCACTTGCATCGCTATCTTCATCCGAATCGCTCTGGACGTTGCTGTCGTACTCCTCGGCAACATCCGATTCATTTTCGTTGGGCTTAAAGTCCTCATCCGTGGACTCCTCATCGGAATCTTCGGCATCGTCGTCATCCTCCTCCTTCTCGCGTGCCTCAGCCTTGAGCCGAGCCAAATAGGCATCCGGCTCGTTCTCATTGTCCGAGTCACCAAAATCGACATCCTTATAGCCGCTCTTATCCTTACCCATGTTGCTCACATGCAACTTTTTCTGTGTGATATAATCAAAGAGCTTGGCATACTCCTCCTTCTCGATGGAGGAGAAAATGTGCACAGTGCCATTCTTCAGCGTCACCTCAAAGTCAAAGGAACGCGTCGAACCCCCGCTGCGGGCAAAATTCACCGAGCTGATCTCTTCGAAACGGATGTGCAGCGGTGGCTTGTGAATGTAGATAAAGCCACGCTCCAGCGGATAGAGATAGCCGGCGGCTGCCTTAAATGAGCAACCGACAGCAGCTGTGCCGGAATGCCCAATGAAATTGCCCGGCCCGGTTATTTTGCGTCCAATTAGCACCTTCATTACCTTGCCCATTACCTCATAGACCGGGCCCGACAGCTCCTTCTCCAGTTTGCCCTCGTACTTGTCCCGCAACTCGGCCTCACTGAAGGGCAGCTCAATTGTGGTATCCTCATCGGGAGCGAACAGCAACACCAGATAATGATACCGTGTCTGGCCCTGTTTAATGGGGGGATCCAGTGAGAGGACGAAAAACATTTGCCGACTGTCCTTATGGGGCAACATGAACAAACGCAGCACCGAATCCATGGGTATCTTATAATCGAATGTTTTGCCGTGCAACTGGAAAAATGTCGAGAAGATCTTGATGTCGTAGCGACCACGGGGCGTCAGAATGTGTATCTCGCGGAAGATGGCAATGGACTCGCCAGAGGCCGAGATGACCGACGCCTTGTTCATCACATTCTGATGAAACTTATCCACGGGATCCTCATCCGCCGACTCCACGGTGGGTATGTGAAAGCGCATCTCCAGCAAACCCACTGGCGCATCATCGTTCTGATGAAATTCCAGCGTGACCTCATTCTTGCCGGTGACGCATTGTGAGACATGTGACAAAGGCACCTCGAAAATGGTCTTCGTATCCTTGTCGAAGCTCAGCACGGAGCCCATGAAGCGAGCGGTGCCCCAGTTCCAGCCCTTGACACACATCTCCTTCTCGACCATCTCCTGGGCATATGCATCCTTGATGTACTTGCTCAACTTCTCGTGTTCGCTGTCCCGAAATCCCGTGAACCGATGCAGCGCACCACTCTTGGTGAAGATTCGCAGTCCCCATGTGCCGACGAATTTTTGTGAATTTATCAAATCAATATCATCGGCGGCAATCTGCTCCACCTTGCCCGTCTTCGTGTTCTTGAAGATGATGTTCTGCTCGGTAAGCTTCAGGCGACCCGATGACTAACGGCAAGGAAAAGTGGTTGAAGGGCAGAACAGTTGTCAGACAAAAGTTTTGGTTGGCGAATTGCGTTCTTGAAACTCACCAAAACACCGCGCACTTCGGCATTTATGTCGTTGTACTCCAAGGCATCGACCATTGTTGACTGTGCACTGCACTAAATATGAAAACAAAATCAACTGTCAATTACACCACACCACGCAAATCTCTATAAATTTGCAATAAATTTCGCAAGAGAAAATGCCGACAGAGCCGACTGCGCGCCCAATTTTAGGTTAGACGCTAGGAGTGAGACGTTCCTATAGAGATGGTACACAAACAAGTATTTTAAGGTACCAAATCGCAATGTTAAATGATAAGAAAATATCTAAGATGTCTTTCACTACTGCTTGCAGAACTAGACTTATTATAAATAAACAATACTTTTTTTTTAGAAAACTCTTTTTGTTATAATTTCTACGTTTCCTAAAGTGTCATATTTGTAGTGACTTTTCTGATATTCAAGTCGCAGTTTATTAACAGTTGCAACAGGTCACTGTTAAATGAAGTGCTCTGTAAATATCGATATATCGATTGCCATGTGGCAGGCCGATAACTAAACAGAAAACGAATAAGCGACAAGAACTTGGATTTTTTATTTACATACGCTAGAAAGTGCAGAATTTATATTTAAACCATTACTGAGTAGAAAGAAAGCCAAGCCATGCAGCGCGGCAAGATATCGTTTGGCAAAATACAGCTAAACGTGAGCAAAACACCCGCTGAGATTAAAAAGCCCGATGAAGATGCTGGTGGCTTTAAGAAAATAAACAAGCAACAAATGATACGCCAAATTGAAGATGTGGCCGAGGATCTGGAGAGTCAGCATCTTAAGGATGTGATGGGCATCAGTGGATTTGGCCGCAAGGCAGCCAAAGTGTTTGACATCAATGAGCAGATCGCCAAGGCGCGAACAATTGCACCACCGGTTAAGGAACAGGAGGAAGAGGCTTCTGATGATGTTATAGGTCCGCTGCCACCAGCAGCAGTCACAGAGCAACAACAGCAGCAGCCGGATGATGCCACTAAGAAGCAGGCAAGTAGCAAGCAGGCAGAGGCTGATTCGGACGAAGATGACGATGATTCGGATGAGGATGAGAATAATCTGGCACGTCGCATACCCTACACACATGAGGTGCAAATGCAACACGGCTCGCGAGCTGTCTTGGCCCTGGCTGGGGATCCATCGGGCGCACGCATTGTTTCCGGCTCCATAGATTATGATATGTGCTTTTGGGACTTTGCTGGCATGGACTCGGCTATGCGCAGCTTTCGTCAGCTGCAGCCATGTGAGAATCATCCTATACGCGCTCTCCAATATTCGGTGACTGGCGACATGATTCTGGTCATATCTGGGAATGCCCAGGCCAAGGTGCTGGATCGGGATGGCTTCGAGAAGCTGGAATGCTGCAAGGGTGATCAGTACATCAGTGACATGACACGCACCAAGGGACATGTGGCGCAGCTCACCTCGGGCTGCTGGCATCCCTTCAACCGGGAGCAATTCTTGACAGCAGCGCTGGACGGCACACTGCGCATCTGGCAGGGATTGCGTGCCAAGGACCAGTTACAAGTGATCAAGACTCGAGCCCAGGGCGGTCTAAGAACCAGTGCCTCCGCGTGTAATTTCAATCGGGATGCGACACTAATCGCTGCCGGCTGTGTGGATGGCTCCATTCAAACGTGGGATACGCGCAAGATGTATGTGAACACGACGCACTGCGTCCGGGGAGCACACCAGACGGGCTCGGAAATCACCTCCATTGTGTTCTCGTACATGGGCCAGCAGCTGGCGACACGTTGCAATGATGAAACCATGAAACTCTGGGATTTGAGGAACTTCAAGCAACCGCTGCACACCTGGACGAATCTCTTCTCCCGCTATGATACCACAGACTGCTGCTTCAGTCCGGACGATCGCTTGCTGGTCACAGGTGAATCGCTGCCCAAGGGCCAAACGGAGGCCAATTTGTATTTCTATAGCACGCAAAGTTTCGAGGAAGTGCAGCGGATTCCCGTTGCCGGTTCGCATGTGATCAAGACTCTGTGGCATCCCAAATTGAATCAATTGTTCGTCAGTTGTGGCAATGGCATCATCAAGTGCTTCTACGATGAACAGCGCAGCATACGTGGCGCCAAGCTGTGCGTGGTGAAAACGCATCGCAAGAGACAACAAATGGAAATGGTTGGCGTGTCACAGATCATAACTCCTCATGCGCTGCCCCTATTCCGGCAGGAGAAGACACGATCCTCCCGCAAAAAGATGGAAAAGGCGCGCATGGATCCGGTCAAATCGAAGCGACCGGATTTGCCCATTACCAGCGGGCAGGGCGGACGTGTGGCCAGCTCCGGTGGCACACTCTCCTCGTATGTCATCCGCAATCTGGGTCTGAGCAAGCGCGTCGACGATGATCAAGATCCGCGCGAGGCTATACTCAAGTATGCCAAAGATGCGGCCGAGAATCCATATTGGATTGCACCCGCCTACAAGCAGACTCAACCGACGGCCATCTTTTCCGAGAAGCTGCCAGCGGATGAATCTGCGCCGGTGGCCAAGAAACCAAAAACCGAAACGGATGCCACATAAACTTTTAAGTAGATCTATAAACACATATAATTAATCTGATTGTTGTTCGTAGGCGCGTGATAGACTTAATAAATGCTGAATGTATTTAAACAATCCATAAACTGTTCTATTAATTGTTGGAGAGTGTTTGTTAACTCTTGTCTCCTCTTTCATCTTTCACTAGAGAAACTAATAGTTATTTTCTATTACTTCACTCGGTTTAAACTTTTATTAAACATACATACATATTACATATTACATGAGTTCTTGAATTAGCTGCTTGTTGTTGTTGTTGTTTTGTTAATGTTTTATGTATGTATTTATTTGTAATGGTATTGCGCATTTGTGTATAATACTTGTACATTTATGTATGTATATGGTATATGGTATATGGTATATGGTATATGGTATATGGTATGGTATGTGTATATTTATAGGTATATGGAGCCATTTGGTTAAATTTGTAGCTCACCAACATAACTTTAGTGCAGTTTTGCATAATTATCAATTTTAATTATGTACTCGAAAGATTCATAAAAGGTGCTGTACATAAGAGCTATAGTATAATATTAATCAGAAAATTCTTTGAAACATATCCATTAAATATTACCAACAATATCTAATACGTTTTATCGTTTATCATTAACAATAAGTAATTAATATAGTTTTTCTCTTAGGTTTGTAAGAACGTATGTATATGTATATAGATTAAAGAGTTTTTTTTTTTGTTGCTAGAATTGTTTACATAATAATATTTAATATCAAGTTAATCAAACCTGGTTAAATCTGTTTAAATCAAAATATCTCTTAGGTACATTCCTGCATATTTAACTAGACACCATTATCATTGTTTTAATTTCATTGTTGGTGCGTTCATTTCTTCTATATTAGACAAGTATGTATTTCAAAATAGCCATTTATAATATAGTTTACATAGTACAAATATGTATTATGCTATCTTTACTCGTATGTGTATAAATTAACATATTCAACAGTTGATTGTTATGAGGCGGATTTTCATAATATCATTCGTTACAGCATTTGTTTCTTTTTCTTGTTTTAATTCCCAAAAATTTGCAAATATTCATTTATTTATTTAGCTCATGATTTTTTGTATTTAATGCAACTACATTTGTATTTATATTAGATTATATTATTTTCGTGTATAAGTTAATAACTGAATATAAAGAAATCAACAATATTTTGAAACTGTTTTAACTAATATTAAAACGCCCTTAAATAGGAACTTAAATAATATACTTTTAAATTATATTTTTGGAATAACGTAAAGATATAAAAATAAACAATTTATAAAAGCTAAAATTAAGAAAATTTGTTAATCATAAATTCTTTGAAAGAATATCGCATATGTAATTCATATCGCACGAGTATTTAAGTATTTAAAATGATATTTGTTTCATTTGGTTGGTTTCATTTGCAACCATCCTTGTGGATTTTCTTGCATGTATATTATAGGTACTTTATGTGTAATTTCTTTTTAGTTTTTGTGTTTTTGTGTGCTATTCAGTTTGTTGGTTCCTCCAGGACTATGGTGTGTGGTTTCTTCAATGATCCTTCAAATATTTCCACTCATATGATATGATTGCGATGCAAATAAGATTTTAATTATTATATGCTAAGCTACTATGTCAAAAATTCGTTCGAATTGCTTTCTCAATGAAAATGAACAAAATTTGATTTATCGTTTTTTTTTTTGTTTTTCTTTTGATCTAAATAAGCTAATTTAACTTTGCAAATATGTTGTTTGTAAGAAATAAATTGCATTTCACATCTATTTGCATTTTACTAGCGCCATAAAAGCAAAATTATTGCTTTATGCATGTATATGAATCTCCAATATAAAATATATTTATTCATCTTTTTTTTTGGTTGTTACGTTATTTTATGTTATATGGCTCGTTATGTTATGTACTCGTATAAGCACCAAAAAACCATAATAAAGCAATGTATTCAGGCAATTAATATTGCAGGCCCATGTCCAAGATATGTTTTCGGTTATATACTTATATATTGTTCATTCCATGACTATGTGAGAATGTTAGTATCTATGTATCTGTATCTGTATCTGTATCTGTATTTGTATTTGTATCTGTGTTTCATTATGTATCTCTATGTTGGTGTTTTGAATGCGAGGATTGGTTTTTTATTCTCGGGGAAGTCATTAGATGGATGTGTTTACTGTGCAAACGGATTATGCGCACTGGCACCGGGTATGTCCAGATTGCCACCAGTTGTCTGATAGGTGCCATAAGGTCCTCCATTCGGATTCATCTCATTCAAACGTGTGTTGGACAGTGCTCGTGGTATCGGATTGCTGGGCACACCATGTGGTGCCAAATGTGAAGTTTCCTCGGCCACCTGTTAATTAAACAAGCAGTTAATATCATAATCTCTTCAATTTATAAATATTGGCAAGACAGAGTGCGCTAGTCGAGAGATTGGCCGACTAGGAGATATCAACATATTCGTACTCACTTTCGAAGGAACACTTTTTCTAAATGATATCATTTCATATTTCTACTCAACAAATTAATCACAAGTTGAATGACATTTAATCATTCCTGCCAGCCAAGTTCATTTTCAGACGGACATGACTACATCAACTTGGAGATGGTAGTCCTAATTAAGAATAGGCATAAATCATCTTGGGGTCAAGGATATCTTCTTCTACCTGTTAGAAATATTTGTTTTTTACAGATAATTAATGGATACTGGGCGTTAAAATAAATTGATTAATAATCTTTTGAAGTGGTGCGCCTAGAATTCTTTTACAGAATGATAAATCGTCAGCTTACCTGATGCGGATCTTCGGTGACTGGTATATCGGAGATGAAGCCCTGTTCCTTGCGATAGAAATTGATGAAGATAAACAGGCCGAGCACGAAGAGGCAGGCGATACCATACCAACGGAAGGTAGCAGTAGTACCGTAGTAGGTGACAAACATACCACCAATGATGGCGCCGCAGCCACGACCCAAGCCATGATGGATGCCCTGTAGCACGCCCTGGCCCGATGAGCGCAGATGCTTGGGCGTATTGTGTGCAATGTAGGAGCACGAGGCGGCCCAGACGGCGGCATGAGTGATGCCCTGCATCAGCTCGAAGGGCAACACCATCCACGGATTGGTCAAATACGAGATGTACAGAAAACGCAACACGTTGCCAATGAGGCCCAGGCACAGGACCTTAACATGTCCAATCTGGGTGATCAAACGGAAGCTAAAGAAGTACGCAAAGATTTCGGACACATGATTAATCACGGAGGCGACACCAAAAAGAGTGGGCGTGCCGCCATAATCTTGCAAATGCCAGAACAGGAAGGTAAAGATCAGGCCAATGCCGAAGCCCATGAACCAGGCGACAAACAGAAACGAGGCAGTCTTCAAATCCTTGAAATGTGTGAGCACCGTCATCCACTCCGGCATCTCCTTGGCCGTCTGCGCAAACACCTTAGACTCGGCGCCAATGTGCGGCTGCGCCTGATGGCCGCCAGCAATGAAGCTACTGACGCCACCGGCGCAGGCACCCGAAGCGGCGCTGCCACTACCCACTGCCAGTGATGGTAAATTGAGCTGGGCGGCCAGCTGATTCATCGAATCCTCCTCGGCTTTCTTGTTGGGATCCACAAACTGAGCCTGCATCTGCTGCTGGCTCTCATCGACAGGCTCATACTTGAAAGTAATCTTCGCCGCTGAGATTATGGCGCATGTCATCAGCACAGAGAATATCGAGAAGCATATGTTATAGTTCTTCTCCTTGTTGCCAGCGCCGCACGGATGATTTGAGAACGATGTGGAGTGATCCAGGGCAATGCCCACCAGAAACATTGATATACCCCAGCCCAAAGATCCAAACATACGCTGATGCCCATATTTATCCGCATCCTCGCCCAGCAGTGTGATGACCGCAGAATCCGCTAGAGTTATGGCCGGAGCACTAAAGAACTCACCAATCAAAATGACCAGCAGCAGCAGAAAGAATGCCTTCTGAATGTCCTGCAGAAAGAAAGGAAAAAGTAAATGAATTAGTAACGATATTCTGACTAAAGCTCAACAGGTTAAAGAGGTTGATACCCCTTTATCCTTGTCAACACTTACTGGAGTGCGATAGACCATTGAGCTAAAGATGGGCGTCACATAATCCCGATGATGCTTGTTGTCATAGTTGCTCACAAAGTTGATGTGCACCGGAGAGATGCCCGCATCAATGCGTGGCAGCAACAGTGATCTCTTGCGTCTGCTGTGCCCCTCCTCCGACTGTACCTCATCGTCGAGCATGCTGCTATCTGGATCCTGATCCAGCTGCGAAATTGGCTCATACATGGCAGAGGTGTCTCGCTTGGTGCGCGTATAGGTGAGCACAAAATCGGTGGCATTGCGACGCTCGATGCAATTGATGGCCTCCGGTCGGATGAAGCTCAATGGGATGGTGAACAGAACCCAGCAAGCGAGCGATGCCAGCAATAGCTTCTTGCCCTGGCGACAGCGATCCGCATAGGAGCCCCAGAACGGTGCGGAGAGGAACTCCACAAACGGGCGCATACCGACGAGTATGCCACACTGGCCTGGATTCATGCCCATCTGCTTGAAGTAGACGCCCATCAGCGGAAACAGCGAACCAAAAGCCGCATAGAAGAAGAAGTAGAAGCTCTTCACCGGAATTAACTCCTGCTCTGTGGCGCCAAAGAACATCTCGAGGACTCCCGAGGTGCCGCGAACCTTGTGAGTGGAATCCTTTGCTTCCGGATATCTGTTAAGGTTATATTTGATGATAACTAGGCAGAAAAAACGCGTTCTGTGCTACTCACAAATTCGGATCCACTTCGCCAGTGGCTTCGACATCAACACGTGGTCGTGCGCCTGGTGGTCCATAACCAGCCGCTTGCTGCTGCTGACCATAGCCGGCTCCTCCGCCCTGATCATAGCCAGACGTTGACTGCTCCTCGTAGCCATAACCCTGCTGCTGTTGTTGACTGTAACCAGCACTCATTGTGGGCGCACCAAAGGGATTTGCGGCACCATCACCACCACCCGCACCGCCCGTCGTATTATAGGGATTCATATTATGTCTGTATGTTTTTTAATTTACTAGTTCAGATTATACGCCCGACTGCCTGCCTTCCTTCCGGTCTCTGCTGTCGCTTCCTGTCAAGCAGCGCTTTTGTTTTCACTTGTTCCCTTTGTGCGTGTCCAACTACATCAGCATCATGCTTCTTATTATCCTTTAGCAGCTGTTCACAAAGACAACGGGACCAATTACTGCTAAGCTCTTTGTAAATTGTTTGCTGAGTGTTTTGTATTGCTTTTTTTTTGTTGCTTGTTTTGCTGTTTTGTTTTTTTTTTTTTTTTTTTTTTGTATCTATATATTTACAGCAACACCCACACTTTCCACCTGTTGAATATATATTTTGGCTATAGTAAACGGTTCGCGTGCTTTTCTGTCTTTTAACTTTTATGCTAAACAACAATAACTTGTTAATTCAAATATTAAATAGTAATATTAATAATTAACAGTAGAAATCACACCAAAAGATATAAATATTCTAAGCTAAGTCCCAGCTGGGAATGCGGCAGGCCACTCGAGACATTTCCCCATCATCTGTGGCACTTAACATTGAAAAGGGCAGATTTCGCAATAAAACAAATGACAAAAACAAAAAGAAAACCAACTAACCCAATGAGAAAATGCTTGAGCGTAATTCCAGATGCATATTGGGGGGATGATGGGGTCTAACAGGAGGCTTGAGTGAGTTTCCGAGCTTTGAGTGTGTGTGTATGTGTGTATGTGTGGCAGTCAATCGAGCGTATGAGTGAATTTTCGAGCAGTTGTTTTTTTTGTTTTCTTTTTTCTCGTAGCTTTTTTTTAACACACATACGCACAGTTGGCACGTTCTAAATGTAGGTAAGTGGGTTTTGCCTGAGCGAGTGTGGGTGTATGTGTGTATACATATATGTGTATGTATATATAGAGCAGACTTGTTGTTGTGCGAAAGCTAATACATATGTCAGAAGCTGTTCTCGAGCATTTGTGCAAAAAAAAATGTTTTAATCGTTTCATTTTACTTTGAGTAAAATGTAGATATGATTTTTCAAGAAATAAACATAATAGAAATGCAATAAAATAGAAAACTGCTTGCATTTTGGGAAATGTATGTAACAAACATTAAAATAGTCGAAAATGAAATTAAATAATGACTTCAAGGTATAAAAATATGGATTCTTAAATTACACAACATTTTTAAATGACAATCACTTTAAGCAGATAACCCACTTGGCAGAGTGTATAAATATTGGTTTGTATATATACATATATATATACATACACAGGGCCAAAACTGTGCACGCTTTGAAGGCCAACGCCAGACACATAAAATGGAAAATGGTGCACCTCAACGCGAAATTCTAAGATGTTCTTTAAAGATTTGTTTGAAGCAGTATTATTTGTATTTGCAAGAGATTTTACACACCAATATTGTTAGCACATTTATTAGTAACTTTTCACGGTAATAGCACAAAGAATGTGTTACGTGCGTAATCGATAAGCAACGTTTTTTTTTTCTTCTTTTTTTTTCAACACAGACAACTCGCGTCTTGCCTCTATACGCGCATTTGACAACTTGTCCGTGTGCGCTGAATTGCACAGAATTTTCAAAGAGTGGAAAAAGCCACTCAAGAACGAGGAAAAGCGGAAAACGGAAAAGCTCGCTCAAGCGCGCTTTTCGTGTTTAAACTTAATGAGATTTGACACCGCTGACGAAACGATATGAGCAGCACCGGTTAAGAGAGGACCAAGTAGCCCAAAAGAGAGAATTTGGATAACGGACGGCTTGGCGCCAAATTTTCGAATCATTAATGCCTTTTTTTCTTTTTGATAATATATTTATTTTAATACTGTAAATAATGTTCAAGTAAATCCCCTGGCTTTTATAGCAATTATTTTACAATTTCTTAGTAAGAATACAACTGGCAAAAGACAGAGAAAGAAATCACTTAAATTGTATAATATATATTGCTGAAATTGATGCTAGCAGCAACAATTGATGATATTCTTTTTATGACGCAATTAAGAGTTATTGGTATACTATACGTTCTATACTAATAACAAAAAAACAAGCAAACCTTTAGCTACCACAATGTTGAGCTCGCTTTGGTTTTTTTTTTTCTTTTCAAACGAGAAATTCCCCATTCAAAGATGTTGGTTTGAAAGCGTTTTGATTAAAGGTTTGCTCGCACGTTGTTCTTGTTGTCTTCGTCATTAGCTGGTGATCTCTGACTCATGACCTATGCTGATAGAGCTAAATAGCTTGTATATTAGATGATCGCTCCACTGCTCATACCCTCGGGGAATGGCTTGTTGACAATTAAATAAATATGAATAATATATATGTCTAATATGTGTTAAACAGTTGTTATCAGCGAACGCAGGCATCAATTCTAATCAAATAAATTGGCACAGTGTAAGCTTTGAGTTTCGAGTTTTGGGAAAGAGTACAACTTTCCTCTCTTGCCCTCGCCTCACATCCTTTGACTGCTCCTGCGCACAAAATTCAATTAAGCTCTGCCCAAAAACTCAACTCAAATTGAGTGGAATCCCATGCAGCGCTCTCGAGCTGTCATTCAGGTTTCTGTTTAATGTCTCTCATCTGAGTCCACTCTTAAATGAAACTTTACTTTACATGTGTGGAGGTGACAACAGACGAAGAGATGAGTAAAGTAGAAAACTTTACTTATACTAATGTTATTCTTGATCAGAACTTGTGTTTCTATGAAAACTAATCCTGTGAATATCTACAAAAATATAAATAAATAAATACGTACTGGAAAAGCTCATTTAAAAAATTGAATAATTTTGATTTACTGATTTTGCCATAAATCAGTATGAAATATTAATAAAAAATGTATTTATTTATTTGTAAAAAAGAAATAATAAATTATGGTTATCTCCTTCCCATAATTTGATAAAACGCTAAATTTGAAATGAAATATAATACTACAGTGGCCTAATAGGACTTTCAAAAATACTCAGATTCCATCTCTTCCGTTCCAGCGCTCTCCCCTGGAGCTCAAGGCTGCCTTAGATTCTGCTGATCTGTGGAGCGCAACCAAATTCAAAACCCACGCTAGGGGATTTTCCTTAGGCACAGCTGCCGCTGCTGATAAGACAAGAGCAAACAAAAAACAGGCAGCTCAATGTCAGGCATTGTGTGAATCACAATCGCAATCGAAATCAATTGCCGGCTACGGCTATAGGTGCTTCCCCAGAGCAGTCGCTTGAGGTATATAAGCGCCAGCGATGACAGCAGACAATCATCAGTAATCAACAAGAACTTTACCAAGCAACATGCAAAAGACAAGCAGCATTCTCATCCTGGCAATTGTGGCTTTCGCTGCCTGCATTGAGGCGATGCCACAAAAGTACCAGACGCTACCCTATTACCCGAAACCAACACCTCAACCTCGTCCCATTCGAGTTAGGCGCCAGGTTTTGGGCGGCTCGGTGTCTTCGGATCCCGCTGGTGGCTCAAATGCACGACTGAGTATCACCAAAGGCATTGGAACTCCCGATCACAATGTTATTGGACAAGCCTTTGCAACTGGTAATACAGCAAGAGGACCAGTTACAACTGGAGGAACCCTAGCCTACAACAAGTAAGTTAATCTTAAATGCAAATAAATAAACCGTTGAACTAATTGATGACTTTTGTTTGTTTCCACCTAGTCATGGCCATGGCATCGATCTGACCAGGACGCACACGCCAGGCGTGCAGGACAGCTTCCAGCAGTCGGCGCATGCCAATCTGTTCAACAACGGCAAACACAACCTGGACGCCAAGGTCTTTGCCTCACAGAACAAACTGGCCAATGGTTTTAAGTTCGAGCGCAATGGAGCTGGCTTGGACTACTCCCACATCAACGGTCATGGCGCTAGCTTGACACACAGCAACATTCCCGGCATTGGTCAGCAATTGGGCTTGGATACACGGGCCAATCTGTGGTCATCGCAGGATCGCAACACTCGCCTCGATCTGACCGGCAATGCATCCAGGTGGACAAGTGGTGCATTCAGTGGCAAGAACAACTTTGGAGCTGGTCTGGGATTGACCCATAGTTTCGGCTAAAATTGTCAATTGTAAATTGGCATTTTTCATATACGAATATTCCAAATAATTTATTTCTATTAATAAAACAATATACTTGAATCAGAAAATGAAACAAAGCTTATTTTTTATGGAAAATTGGGATAAAGGGATCTTTCTGTATATACAAAAAGTTCATATTTAATTAATCCAAACCCCAAAATCATTTAAGCAGATGACGTATAAAGAAAATCGTCATAATCATGGCAAGTCATATGTCAAACAATTTGTCCCAAACTGTGTTCGCCTAAAAGTATGTTTTTAAGTTGTTGCATTTCGAGAATCAGTCTTTACTACTGACTTTATTTTTCAGCCTATAAATATGCTTTCTATTTGCTGATGCAAGCAATTCCAATTTAATATTCTGGAAATTACTAAGGATTCCCCTCGTCAACTCAAAACTAGAATAATCGCTTTTGGTTTTCTTTTTTTATTATCAGTTAATTGAATAATTTTGCTTACAATATCGCGCACGCATTTATTTTTGAATAATTATGCTTAGAAATATTATATTACGTTTTACACATTATTTGTAACTGCTATTACCACCAATTATTGTTTATTTTTCCAGTTGTTAATCGTACCGAAACATAGTTTCTGATTTATGTAGTTTTTTGAAGACTCGGTGAGGGAATTTGTCGAAATGTAAGCAGAAAGAAAGTTGTCATCTAATTTCGCAGCTTTTTAATTGAAGTGGATCGCGTGGATGTGTGTTGTGTGTGGGTTTATGGTTACTTTTAGCTGCAATTACTTATGAGAGCTTCTTGGCCTTCTGATAGAGTGTATCCACCACCTTGCCCATGCTCTGTATGGTCTCCAGAACGCGCTCATATGTCTTATCAACGGGCGTCTCCTCGAACACAATGAGCACACCCTCGCCTTGATCCAAAATACCGCTAAACTTTTTATCCAATATCATTTGTGATAGCTTCTTCTCCACCTGCGGCATAAGCAGTTGAATGCTCTCCGCCACATGCGACACCTACAAAATAAAGGCATATAAAGTAATTCCGCTCAAATGAACTGTCCAAAATTACGTACCTGAACACGAGAATATGGCTCGATAATGCGGCATAGATTCTGCTCCAGCATGGTGTCGTAGAGCGTGCCCAGATGTGCTTGCACAATGACATCCTCGGCCAACTCCTTATTGTAGTCTTTTAACGCCTGCTGAAAGTCGGCCAGCGAGCGTTTGTGAGAGGCCTCTGCCACAGCTTTCATGGCATCAACATCACGGCCGGAATAGGTTATGGCCTGGCCAAAAAAATATATGTTAATAATACAATAAGGATAACTTATCTAGATAGATTTCTTACCAGCTTGCCACTAACTATCTGATTGACGTCGTCCGACTGGCCCAGCATGATCTTGCACAGCAACATGTACTTAAGTGATGTGAGCGCCTTGACGCTGTCAACGCTATCGAAGCCCTCAAATGCCTCATAGAAATAGGAGAAGGCGGTTTTAAAGTCACGCTCATCGGCAGCATGCAAAATGCCCGACTGGAGATCAAGAGCGCCCTGCACTTTCGGGGGACAGTAGATGGCATTTGCTGTGGTGCGAGCTGAGGTTAAAGCGGCGCGTGCCTTGGGTAAATTGCTTAGTGCATGATACGTTTTGCTTTCCAATAATTGCACCTCGACAAGCAGATTTTTATCATCGAGTTTTTTCAGTTCGCGCAGCAGCTGAGACCCAAGCGCAAGTGCCTCCGTATACAGAGCCGTGTCAAAGTAGAGTGCAATGAGACGCGCCTCAAGCGATTGACGCAAGAAAGTTCGCTTCTCCTGCTTGGCCCACTCGATGCAGTCTTTACATAGTTGAACCTGCCAAAAATATATTTAGAAATGTCGCTCGGAAAATTGATATAGTTGTAACATACCTCAATGCCAGTGCCTGCATCCATGTCGAGGAACATGTCGACCAGCGAACGCACCAGTTTAGCGGCTTTTGCCTTGCTGATCAGACTCAAAAACGGCCGAGTCACCTTAATCAAATCGGCCAACTCTTTGGCCTTGCCCTCCTGTTTGTAGAGCTCCCCCAGCTGCATAATGCCCTGCTCCTTGATGCGTATGAGCTCCTCATCGTTTTCAGCGACTTCCTGTTCACGCACTATTTTATTTAGCAGAGAGATGCCCTCCTCGCGATTCACGCTGGACAGCGCCTGGGCACGCTCGAAAAGTGTTGCTCCGGCCATTTTGCTACTGCTGCGGCGACGACGATTGGGAATTCAGTGAAATTTGGCAACGAATTTGCAGTTCGTGTTTAATGAATGTGTATTAACTAGTGCACAATCCAGATGCAGGTATTATTGTTTGTTTTGCGGTTGCGATAAAACCTTTCTATTTCGTATTTGCTTGCTTTTTTCACTAGTTTTTATTGTATTCTGATTTCTAGTTGTCGTTGTTATTAAGCGCCAGTCACGATTCGAGATGTGTTCCTGACGATAGCCACGTGACGATGCCTATTGCATAGTTCTCAATGCAACGCTGCGATGTTTGATTTAAGCAATCGATATGTATATATATCGATATTAAGAAATCGCAATTAGACGAATACACAAGCTGAACTGCTGACGGGCGTGAGTCTTAGGCAAAAGGATCAAGTCCTGTATAGAAAATATCAACAGGTATCGCAGTAGTCGACGTGAATTGTTTAAATAACAAAAAATGGGCGAGGAAACGAGCAACTCAACGCAAAACAAGGCGCGAGCGAAGACGACGCGACCCAAAGCCGTTTACCAGTGGACAGTGAGCGACGTACAGAAATGGTATTGTCGCCACTGCGGCGAGTACACCAAATATGTGGATCTCTTTAAAGATGTGAGTAAGCAGCAAATAGACTCACCACTGCGGCTTCTGATCCTCTTTGTTATATTGTCGAAGCACTTGTGCCATTTTTTCAATATTTCCTTTTGCTGTTCTCAGCGTTTAGTTGGAACAATGAACAAATAATTAATTTAATTTTAGAAATTTCCGAACAGTGGGCCTACTGATTGATGACAATTGCTTATTGTTTTGGTTTTTTAGCACGATATAACTGGACGAGCTCTGCTACGCATCACAGATTCCTCGCTGCAGCGAATGGGAGTCACGGACAATCGAGATCGGGAGGCCATTTGGCGTGAGATTGTCAAGCAGCGACTCAAAACGGATATAATGGAAATACGCGACATGGAACGCCTTAACGTGCACTAAGAATTATGTTGAATCTGCTGAATGCTTGAAAAGGAGCAATACTAATGATAATTGCACTGAAACACTTTGTGCAGCATTTGTTTGTCTTTCCAATCTTTCCAAAGCTATACGCAAAAATTTGCATTAATCTTTGTGCTTTCTTCATATTGAAGACAATCGACAGATGACTGCTGCGCGAATTCCCCCCAAGTATACTATTTTGGAGAATATCTGGTTGCCGAGTGTTTTTCCCACTTAAATAATTAATTGAACGTAATTTCTTGTCACAGACATTTTTTTTGTATTAGGAATAAATATTTAAATGAGAAAATTATCCGAGTATTATCTATTAGAGATCACGGCAAACAAAAAAAATACTGTGTTAATATCGAAATTGTTTCCACCTAGTTTAGCCATCCTGCTCCAGTTTGGGCGTGACTAGCTGTACATCATTGATTTGGGTGCAAATCTCCACGGGCTTTGGGGCGATAGACACACATCCCCCCGCCGCCGATGTCGATGAGGATGCGGGTGCTGCAATCACCTTGGGCAACGATGTGGCCAACGCAGTGCTGGGCGTGAGTATATGCGGCATGGTCACTGTTCCATTGCCAATATTGGCCATGGGCAAAGCCGTTGTAAAGAGCAACTTGGGTGGCTGCATCCGCTGTGCTCCCCCAGTCGCTGCGCCCGATACAATAAACTGCGGCGATTGATGCGGCGTCACTTGTTGAACGGAACACGGAGCTGGTGCTGCAGGTGCCGGCTGCAGCAGTGTCGGCAGCATGGTAAGCAAACGTTCACCCATCGACTTCTCCCAGTCGAGACGTTCCCGCTCCAGCGACAAGCGATTGTGCTGAATCTCGTTGCCCTCGTTTTGGGCATTGAGCAGCTGCCGCAACAAAATGCGCATGGCTAAAGCAGAAGAAGAAACGTTTAGAATTAGGGACAGTTGCATAAAGATAAAAGGCTACTCGAGTCGAGAGTGTCAACGAAGAACATGTACAGCGTCTCTTACGAATTAAAAACGTAATCTTGGAGAGACGGATCTCAACTTGATCTGATGCCTAATAATACTAATAATATTTAACTTGCGCTCACTTGTCATGTGTCGCTTCGACTGTTGTTCCTCTCGAGCTTTCTCCTGAGCGCGACGCTTCTCCTCCTTCTTATCCTGCTGCTGATTTTGTTGCAACTGTTGTTGCTGCTGCTGTTGTTGTTGCTGCTGCTGCTGTTGTAGTTGCTGCTGCTGCTGTTGCTGTTGCTGTTGTTGCTGCTGTTGCGGTTGCTGCTGCTGCTGTTGATTGTAGTCGGTTTGCTGGAGCAGCTTCTGTTGCTTTTGGGGCAAGGCTGCACTGGCCACAGAATTGGAAGTCGGTTTGGTTACAGCTGCAACTGCTTTGGCTGCCGCAGCGGCTGCTGCCTGGTCCGCATTGACCAAGACAAACTTGACGCCGCCGGGTCCGGTCACCAGACCTGTACTATTTGTCGCCTGCCCGGGTGGTGCACCTGCTCCGCTAATCATTAAACGGGCACCCTGATTAATTGCGCTCTGCAGCAGTTGCAATTGAGCTCCGGCTGCCGTTGCGACCGCCTTGTTGCCGGCCGGTGTTCCATTGCTGTTGGGTTGCTTAGGCTGCATGAGAAAATTCGTGGGCACCAGCGAGATCTTGCCCGATGTCAGCTTTGCATTAGATGTGCTACAAGTGGGCACGGTGCCGCCGAGTTGGGCGATGCTGTTGCTTATGCTATTCGCTGGTATGATGACATTAGCGCCACTATATGGCAACAGATTCGTCGCCTTGGGCAACTGCAGTATGTCCTGCAGTGTGGGCATCACGGGGCAGCAGGCTGCTGCTGGAGCCACTACACTGCTACTGCTTGGGGAATTGTCGCCGGCAAACTCAACGGCATCCACATCGATGGGCTCCTCTTTGGGCAGCGACAGCAGCAGGCAATCATCGTCCTCATCCAGATCCGCTGGCAGCACAGCTGCCGTTACGCTTGACTCAGACACTGACACTGATGGCTCCGGCTGATTCTTCGCCGTCTCCGGCTGAATGCTGGCTGGCTCCGTTTTGATGCGTGCCGCTGTCTCATCAATGTCCACGTCCGGTTCGGAGGTGGTCTTGCGCCGCTTGTTTTCCCCGCTGAGGGCAAAAGTCTCGTCCTCCCTCTCGTCTAGGTCCATTTGAAGCTCGGCTTCATTATCAGCCAGCGTATTCGGTTTGGATTTTCCATTGCCATTGACACTGGGCACCAGGGAGGAGAGCAACATGTCATCTTCCTCGTTATCGCTGTCGGACAGCTCTTCATTGTCCCTGTCCCGGTTCTCCCTGCGACGCTTGCGACGCTCCGCATGCTCCTCCAGTGCCTGCTCCAATTGATATTTGAGCGATGGAGCCGGCACCTCATTCGGTCTCACACTAAAGATGGGACGCGTCATGATGGCATCCATCTCAGCAAAATGCTTCCAACTGGGCCCCGATTCGCCACCCAGTCCGCATTCCTTGTCCTTCTTGAGGCGATTGTAGAAACACTTAAGATTCTTAATGCGCGTTGTGATCTCCTCCGGCGACCGATGATAGCCGTATTCCTGCATCCTCCCCGCCAGCTGACAGATGACCGCATGCTTCTTATGCGTCGTTATCAGTGTACGCTGCAGCTTTGGATCCCCCCACAGCTGGATGAGCAACTTTGTCTCGTCCGTATCGAAATTGGGATTGCGTCCAACAAAATTGTGCTTTTTACTCAGGCTTTGATTTGCATTTGAATTATTATTGCCGCTGCTGCTGCTTACTGCGCTGCTGCTGGCGGCAACTGCGCTGCTGTTACCGGTGCTGCTACTATTGTTGGTGTTGTTGTTGTTGCTGTTGTTGTTGTTGTTGCTGCTGCTGTTGTTGTTGTTGCTGTTGACTGCAAGCCGCTGACTGCTGACGGCCGTAAAGGAGGCCGTGGTGGGTGCTGCTGCCGACGCTGCTGCTGCCTCCGCGGAGCGTCGTTTCTTAATCCTTGCACTGGACTTGACACTCATCGTTTACTGTGTGAAAGCCAACATTTTGAAAATTCTAACTGTTAAACGGCACTCAAATCACACTTACTAAATCGCTGCGTCTTGCAAAAATCAATAAACGAGCTGTTTGCGTTTTTTTTCGGATTTATGTGTGGAAGGGGGGAGGGTAATTAAACCATTTGAGGTGCCTCCAAATTGCAGTCCTGGTCGAGAAGAATAACAAAAAAACGTTTGTGAACTTTACGCTCCGTGAGTCAAACGGCAAGTGAAACGAAGGAAACAAACGAAAAGTCGACTGACAGCGCAACTCAGCGGCAACAACAACCCCTAAAGAAAGGTAAGCGTGCCGCGGTCACAGACGACCACCCCCAAAACCACCCAACACCCCAAAAACAGAAAACGAAAAACGAGCTGCAGAACTAAGCCAAGTGCACCACCAACAATGCAGGGCGAACAACAACAAAACCGCCCAACTACGCAGAACATGCGCAATGCGAGCAGTTTGAAGAGCGCTCTCTCTCTCTCTCCCCCTCGAGCTGTCGTTTGTCTCTGTATCTTTCTCTCTTTCTATCTCTCTCTCTCTCTCTGTCGCACAAGTGCAAGAGACGACAAGGACGAAGTTTGTCTTGCGCAGTATGGCGACTTAGATTTATTGATTTGTAGCCAAATACAATACAAATATAATTTCCATTTCAAATTAAGAAAAGCCTAACCATACTAATAAAAAAAATGAAAACAGAAATGGAAGAAGAGCGGAAAAATGATACATCAGCTAGTGTTAAAAATTCGCAAAAAATATAAAATGCTTGTGGGAAAGGACATTGACACGAGATCTGCGCATAACGCTTTACAGGTCATGCGCAGTGACCGTTACTTCCCTTCGGCCCAGTTAGAGACAGAGAGAGAGAGAGGGAGATGGCAAGTGAGAGTAAGGAATTTGCCAGCGCAAGTGAGTGAGAGTAATAGTTGGGAATGAGTGTGCGCATAACGGTCTTCTCAGGGTGGTGGAGGCAACGAAGCAACAGACTTTATACTAAATATCCATTTCTGTAACCCAACACAATACAGCGTTCATTTTAAATTACTTTAGCTCAAGTTGACTTCTGATGCGTATAATATTTTTATGTTTTAATTTACTTATCCGAATTGTGCTTCTGCGAATTTCAAATGTAAACTTTGCTGCCCGCGCACAACATCAATTTTAAGCGATGAATGAGCGCATTACCAGCCATGCACTAGGGTTGCCATGCAGCTGTGCCTCTGTGTGTCCGTCTCGCTGTGACTAACAAAATACTCTGCTTCATGCCGTTAGCTGTCAGCTGTTAGCGCTTGCATTTGTGTTGCCGAGCACAAATTGAGTTTTGCAACAAACTAAAATGGTTTTAACAAAGGAAGAGGAGGCATTTATTCGCCGCAAGCACGAACAGACGCTTAAGCTGCGCAACGAATACCAGAAGCAGAGCTCGAATCCTTTTCGCCATGCCACCGGCGAGGGCGGCACTGTGGTATGTCTACGGATTTGCTGATTATGTCATCACTGCCCAGTTTTATTAATTGTTTAAAATATATATAATTCTATGCCCTTCCAAGTTCGATGCTGGTCTAGCTCGCTTCCAGGCCATGCGTGTGTCTAACTACGAACACTTCCGTCCCACTGGACACTCGTTCCGCGTGGGCATGTTGGCCGTCGTGCTCCCAATTGCCATTTACGCCTGGGCGCTGAAAAGCGAACGCGACGGACGCGAACAAAAATACCGCACGGGTCAAGTTGCCTATAAGGATCGCCAATTCAAGTTCATCTAAAACGATCATTCTTTTGCAGAATATATATATATATATATATGTTTCACTACGAAATTAAATGGAATATGTTAACGTACAATTTGCATGTGTATAATTATAGTTACAGATATTTATATTAGTTATTTGAAGTCTATTGCTATTTCTCCTCCATTTGTTTGTCGCGCGCAATAACAAAATCCTCGAATTTCACCATGTAGGTGGTGCCCTTGTGCCAGTGCGCCGTCACCTTGCAGGGCTGCAAAGGATGTAGATTAGCGTACATAACGAATACATAATTCAATTAAAATAATTACAAATCCGCAATGGGTTAATACGGCCTCAACGATGCCAGCCGTAAAGTTGGCACAATTCAGAGAGCTCTTATCCTTGGGCACACTGATGAATGTGTTGACCAGTGGCTCCTTCTCAATGATATAATAGGTGCGCTCATCATCGTTGGCATGCTCCAATTTCTCCGCCTCCTTGCCAAAGAGATTCTTCCACACCGTCGTCTTCACAAAGAGCAGCATTTGTGTCAGCTTCGTTTCACGTTTAAAGTTACGCTCGCGCACAAAATACAAATCAATGATGCGTGTACCCACATCCTGCCCCAGATCGTGTAATCTAAAACTCGACATCGTTAATTTAATTATATTTAAAAGCAGAATACAAAGAATAACACCTTGTTTGCAATTCGGGAACTGTGAAAACTCGACTCTGCGAGTATTGAACAATCTCGCTGAAGAGCAGCGCCACGATGCTCTGTGAGACCTCGGATTTGCCTTTTGATAGCGGGCGATCGAGAATATTGCTGCGCGGACGCATCGATGAAATTTTCAACGCCTCAAGTTTTTCCATTTTTATTTCGTTACAAAAAAAAAGAATGCAGGCAAAGAAGACTCAACAACAAATTCCCAGACAAACAGCTGTGAGGGCTGCCAGATGGTCAAAATGTCAGGCGTTTTGCCATTCACAATTGGATTGCGCCCGTTATTGCATGCAGTCACACGTCTTCGTATTATTCAAATCAAGCAGCGGCATTTTGGCCCAATAATAACGTGGCTTTTGCTGCAAGATTGTTAAATACGCTTCAAATTGTTTGAAATTGATATCGCGCGTATGCGGACAACTTATATGATGAAAATAGGGACAAGCCTCATCATGTAGCCAGCGACGCTGCTGTATATTCTTTCTGACATTGCCCAGATCTGAAATGTATCCTTGCATTTTTTGCTCATACATGTTAGAAGTAATTTTAAAAATTGACTCATTGATGATGGCATCCACAGCAGGCAGTTGGAGAAGTTCTTTGATCAGCTTATGGCTCTCTAAGCGTCGGACACACAACAAATACGACAGAGGCATTGCAGCAAATCGAATGCAACCAATCAAACTGGACACATTTGATTTACGCTTTGACCAATCGTGTCCCAGCCAACGCACAACAATAAAAAGTATCTATTGGAATGTTTACGTTATACACTGAGTATACTCTTAATTTCGACTTAATGGCAAACCTCTATTTCCGTATTAACACATATTTCATTGGAGTTGAGCAGATAGATCAGATGCTTGAGAGGCACGTTCAAAAACTCGCGCGTTGCCACAAAAGTTAGTAGAAATTTTTGTATGCGCGTCAACATTAAATTGCGCACAATATCCAATGCAGGATTTCGATTGGATTCCACATATAGAATACAAGCTGTGTCCTCATTGAAACAGTTGAGATCCTCGAATTTCTGCCAGCACTGCAGTAGCAGGAATTCAATCCTTAAATAAGTCGCGGCCACAAATACGGTCACAATATTCCGGAGCTCCAGTTGCGGATCATCGCTGATCATCCATTTGTAGATGAGCATAAATGACTTCTGGGAAACCTTCTCCTCTGGTAATGTGACAACGAGCGGAATTTCCTCAAGATCCCTGAAATACTTTGAATAGGCCTGCAGGACGATAATGTGGCAATTAAAGTACATTTTATTGATCTCGATCTGCAGGGTGGTCTTCAAATGGTTCTCCACCATATAACGTAAAACTACTTTTAGGGACTCCTTTGGCGGCTGCTCGATGCTCATCCAATCACGAACCTCTTCAAAATTGTATCCGCACTCGAATAGAGATCGATTTGTTGACAAATCCACAGATTCGCGCTTAAAAATGCTATCCAGCTCCAATTCTTCAGCTTTAGAGACTAGGCGTGTTACCGGTCCGAGTTCTTCCTCAGATGATGTACTAACGGGTAGCTTTGCGCTTTTTGGAAATACAATTTAGATCAGAAAGACTTTAATTATAAGTTTCATACTTACTGTCTGAATTGTACACTACAAGTGAGTTCATCATTTGAGAGCTCTCGGTTTTTATCAGACAAGGCTTCATGTTTTCGCATTAGCTCATTCATTCTGTCTGTCAATGTTGTAAATATATAATGTTTGAATGTTGAATTTGAATGTATTGGCTAAGGTTTGATAAATATTCATATTCATATTTACACACATGAATAAGTTACAGCTTTGACATTAAGGAAATGTTGACCTTTATCCGCGTTTTTTTCTATATTCTGGATATATTATTAACATTTATCTAAAGGTCAAACTATGACCAAAATCCATGTTTTTGTAAATTTGAGACTTGTGACAAATTTACGACAGTTTGGATATTTAGTTTTACTATCAGGGACAGACTTTAAGATCTCTTGTAAAATAACATAATTTGATGATTATATGACAAATACAAGAAGAAGAAATCTTTAAAAATATAAAAAAAAGGAGTTTGCATCGGCCGGGAATCGAACCCGGGCCGCCCGCGTGGCAGGCGAGCATTCTACCACTGAACCACCGATGCTTGTGCTTGCAAGCTGAGCTAATCGCAACATGAATAAAAAGCTGTGTTTTAAGTTGATAAATCCCATACTAACTAGTTAAACTCTGGCGCGCTGTATAATTCAACTTGTCTTTGAGCCCATGCTATTTTTAAGGCTGTTTGTTGCGAAATGAAATTGTTCGGTATTGTTTATTAAATTGTGTTTTATTTGTTTGTATTTTTCTTTTTCACATTTTCAAATACATTTATATGAATAAATATATCATTTATTTTGTTTACTTTTTAATGCCATCTTTTATATGCGGCTACTTATGCATAAATTATGTAATTTTCATTTTATGTATTGTGTTTATAAACAAAAAGTTGATTCAACAAATTGCTGGCATTAACTATTTTATCTGTAGAATATTCTGTTATGAGAAAATTTGTTAATAAACAATGTAGCGAAATTGTTGCTATTTCTTATGATTCTTAGATTGTTTTTTTATTTTATTTTTTATTATTATTTTCGCCTTGAAAGTTAAGTTTTTCTTTTTATAGTGTGTATGCACAGTTAAAATTGAAAATACATTTAATATACATATAGTACTATATATATTTTTATGTTGGCATGCTTGTGGATCATTTCATATGTTAAAATTATTGTAGCTTTAACTAAATAATAAAAAGTAATTTTAAATTATATATGTATATTTAACATTTTGTACTTTTTGTTGAGTGTTTGTTCTTTGTTCAAAGTTTTTCATCTTTTTTTTTTGTTTGTTTTGCTTGTGGTAGGTTTCTTGATCTAAACAACTTCCGTTCATTTATTTTTTAAATACTGCATTTGCATTTTTACTAACAATTGCCCGCTTTCTTAAAGGTTTCGTTTTTTTTTGTTTTCTTTTTTTAATACATATAATATTTTGTTGCTTTTATTATGTGTTTTTGCACAACCTTTGCTTATTTTTGAATAAATATGCATTTATAGTAAGAAATAAATTAATGCTTTTTTATTTATTATTAATTTCATTTTTAATACACAAAAATTACTTAGGTTTCTTGCACATAAGTATTTTATTTATGCATTTGTTTTAATACGTTTTATACACATTTATATATATAGTATAGCTGCATATATGAGATTTGTTTTATTTATTCATTTTCATTTTTCTTTCTTTTTTTTTTGGAAAACACTTAAGTATTTTATTGAAGCCCGCATTTCAAATGAGCTAATTCACACTGGCTGTAATAAACCATACAAATTGCTCATTTGCATTGGCAAAAATTACAAATTGTTTTTATTTTAAGGGTGATTCAAGCGGCACAGACGCACAATTGCAAAGGTTTTGTTTTCATAACAACAACTAATTTTTGAATTTTTCTATTATTTTACAAACATAGGCATTTGAAACAAAAAAAGTTTGCTGGTTTTTTTTGCAAAAGAAATATTTTGAATCTTAATGAGCCCTAAAAAGAGTCAAAATCATTCTTTTTTAAACGAACTAAATATTTAATTATTTTGTAAAACATATTTTGTGAATACAATGAACTCTGTTGGGCAAATGAAAACGCATTTATTGCAAATTGACGTTGTCCGCTTTACAAGGTTCAAAAACAACTTGTAGTTCTTTTGTGGGTTTTTTTGTTTGTTTGTTTTGTTTTGTTTTGTTTTTTTTCTTCTCATTTGTTATTTATTGTATTGTATTAACAATGTTCTTGTTGCATTTGCGCTTTGAGTTGCCTTTTGTGTGTAGAGATAATGCAAAATTTGCGCGCGCTACTTTCTTAGAGAGGGAAAACGCTCTGTTTTAAAACTATAAACAAATTGGAATTACGCACAGAAATTTATATATTTGCATATAAGTATAATTTTCGTGCCTTGCCTTGGCTTTAATACTGTTCTCCAATTTCAAATTGTAAACAAAAGATAAGTAGCAAAAACTTAAAAGACTAAAAACGAATTACTGCTTAAGCATTATAAATATGGTACGTATTTTAATTATATATATATATAAATATACGTATATAAATATATATATATATATATGTATACAATATAAAAAAGATAAACAAATAGCCCGGTTTTTACAAAAGTATAATTAAGTGACAGCACTAAAAATAAATTACTATTATAAAAATGATGTATTTTTGTTTAACGTATGTATGGATGTATTATGTACGTGTAAGTGCGGTTGATCTGCTCTACTGATGTATATACAAAAAATATGGCAATTCAAATGGAGTTACAAATAAACGATAAGAAAACCAAACTGGCAACTAAATAACTAAGATGGGACAACAGTTAATGACAAAAACGATCTTCTTGTTGTTGTTTTTGCCATCGGAAAAGTTCTCTTAGAACATTAGACGTCCGTAGTCATTCTGGGCGGCCTTGCTGCTGCGCGGCTGCATCAGATACAGCGGCTGCGGCGGCTCCTGCTGTGGCGCCCCGAGACTGTGTGATAGTTCCCAATTATAGAAATGCCTTTGGGGCTGCGGCTGTGACTGCGACTGGCGCTGTTTCAGTCGCAGCAGCTGGCTCTTGTAGTTGTAATTGTTGTGGCTGTGCTCGTCGGATTGTTGGTGGTGGTGTTGCTGGTGCGAATGGTGGTGCTCGTTTCTGGGCCTGGTGCTGGGGTCGTCATCGTACTGTCCTTGCAATCTAGCCTCCAAATGTCAGACATGCGGTTTATGGCGCCCGCCACAAATGCCGCAATGTACGCCCATCCAATGGCATGCACGCAGCGGCGGATAACACCACAGGCACGGCACGAACAGGGACAGCAGCGCCAGGCCCAGCCAGCGCTTGGTGCAGCCCGCCTCACCGACACTGCAATCGCACGGATGCTGCGCCGTTTCGCCCTCCGCATCGCTCATGCAGTGATAGATCATGCAGCGGGCACAGCCCAGACCGGAAATACACTCGTAGCCACTGCGAAACGGATCTGGCGCATATTCGCAGGCGCCACGTCGATTGAAATCCTCGCTGTATAGCTCGTGACAATAGCGACAACGCAGACGCGTTTCCTTTTTGAGTATGTCTGATACATTTGGCTTATTCAATGGCTTATTCGCTGATGTTGTCCCCGACGACTGGGCCGCGGCCATTTGCTGTGCCGCCTCCAGCGCATTACGCTTTTTCAGGGCACTGATTGACTCGCGACGGGCATTCAGCACCTGTGCGCCAACTGGCTGCTCCACAACCGGATAGTTATAGTCATGGTGCACCGCTGTCAGCGTCACATACGAATAGTTCTCGCTGGGCGCTATTTGACCAGATGGCGGCGGTGCCGGGGATCCACCACCATCCGTTGAACCGCCCGCCACCGTTGATGTTTTGTCCGTCGATATGTAGTGTATGGTCGCCGCTGGTAGTTTCTCCGAATCGGAATTGTTGCTGTAGCTATCCTTGTTGCGATCGCTGTTGCTTTCTGTATGAATAAAGTTGGAAGATTTAACTCAATTATACAGTTCAACAAAATGGTTAGTTATTGTTAAATATTACTATGACTTTTTTCGCTGCCTTCGGGGCTTGAATGTATCTTTTGTAAACTTTCGCTTTCCACAGGTAAGTCCAGGGTCTGTGAAAGATTTGAATTACAAAATGCTTCACGAATATATAATTATGACTTAACTCACCATGAAAACATCATCTTCACCAACCGAATCATATTTGGTTAATGGTGGGCATATTATAGTGGGATTTGATTTGGCCAGTCCTGAATATATATATATATTTATAAACAGATTAATTTTTTTCAATAATCAATTTGATTAACTGAGAACATGGCACACAGCAAATTAAATTATATAAAAAGCTTTTATAAAGCATTGAAATTTAGTTTATAGAGAGAGAGAGAGAGAGAGCATCATAAATTTGTATAGTTAATAGAGTGTGGTAGAAATTGTAGACTATTGTTAATAATACTATTAAAATGCTATGCGTCTAAAGTGTGTGTGTGCTGCACTTTTACATGTGACGAATGAAAGCAATTCAAACTAATTGATTTGAAATAAATCTTTCAGTAAAAGAACAACAAAAAAAGCAGCTCACACTCTAAAAACTAGTTAAAAGAAACCTCTTTAAACACTTACCAATTTTGTTTTAAATTATATTGTGTTCAATTTTGTATAATGTTGTGTTTTTGTAATTTTGAAACAAATTGAACAATTCCAATAAAATGTTTTAAGATTTGGCAAGATTTTTTTTTAAAAAAGAGCATAAAACATTAGTTTTGCATTAGTTAATGAAGGCAAAAAGGCTTTATGCAAAAGATCTAAGGGTGATGTGAATAGAAAAGACAAGGTAAATAGGAATATCAAAACTACAGTCGAGTAGGTAGAAACAAAGCGTGGATAGAAAACAGATTTAAGAGAGTAAGTAGAGTTTGTAAAGCGACATGCAGCTAAATGGAGGATATAAGGCAGCTAGAGATTAAATTTGAATTGGAGTGTTGGCATCTTGCATACCATCAATTAGTTCATTATAGGCGCGCAGGACACCCTTGTCAAAGGCGCGCGCATCGGCTGCCGTTTGAAAAGTTAAACCATTGCGCTGCTTTCCGGCGCGCCAATGATGAAATGTTGGCATTACTTTGTAATACTTCAAATCACGATTGATGATACAGCTTAAAATCACCTGTGAAATGAATGAGAAGCGAATCTTAGAAATATTTGTGGATTTGGATTTGTGATTTGATACTTACACTTTGATCGGAGATTCTTTGCCCATAGATGATGTAGTCATGACCCGATGCCAATGGGGATAATCTAGCACGTTTGCGTATCGAAACATTTGCTAGACCACCCCCGGCCAGCGGTAACCAGCCCTCGGTGCTCTCGTCTCTGGTCATTACCTGCGCGCGTACTGTAACTAAGAAGTCGCTGTAATGATAAGAGAGAGAGAGAGAGAGAGAGAAAGAGGAGGGATCAGACAACGAATATGAATAACTATTCAAGTTTAAATATATCGTTCGTTATCGATTATTATCGATTGGCAGCGGCACCTGCTAAACGGATGCTTTGAGCTTAATTTACGGTATGAAACTGCGGCCATTGCTGTTGCTCAGTGACTGGAGTTGCCTTTGGCATCAACTCATGTCCATATATCCTTGGTGCGATAACTTAAAAGTGTCGCTAATTGGGTTAATTTAATTTTCGGATACAAATACGAAGCCATATAAAGAGGCAACACCTGTCGCACTTATTTATGACCAAAAAGACAAAATAAACTAAAAATAACTAGTAAGTCTCAAGCTTTAAAAATATCCACACACACACACACACACTGAAACGCTTACTCATTGATGTATGCTGTGTGTGTGCTTGTTGTTATTTAAGGGTAGCAAAAATATCTGAATTAAGAAAATCTGAGTCGTCCCAGTTATCGTTTCATTCTTGAAACAGCACAGGACAAGCGAACAGAACAAAAAGCATTTCAGACGACCTGCGCACAAGTTTGAAAAGGAGTTTTTCAAGCGAACTGAAGTTACTCAATGAAAAAAGCTTTCATGGAATGAGGAGCAACTCCGACTCCAACTCCACTTGCTGATATACACACATTTGTCCTAGATAATGCACAACAAATTTTACAGAATGAACATGCACAGCAACGCAAAGGGGTCCTTGCGAAAGTAGGCACAAAACGACGTCATAGCTGTGTCAAGGACTAGGCAAGCTGCCTTTTGCTAATACGGCAACAGACATTCGAGATATGTACATACATATACATATATATAGATAAATATAAAACTGTCTGTCTGTATGTATGTACACAGTCCGCACTCAAGGTGGGACGAACACACACACACATATACACGTCAGCAAAACAGCATGTCTGGCCAAGGATATTCAGGTGGCTGCCATGCCATGAATGAATTTAACTTTGCTGCTTTGCACTCAGGGTTACCAGGGCTTCCATAGATGCAATTTGCAATTTTTTGTAAAAAGCTTGATGCGCTAGTGGCAAATTTCAATGAATCGCCGCTGTATTAGAGTTGCCACCATATATATTCATTGACATGCATACATATACACACACACACACACACACACACACACATAAGCATGCACAGTCAGCAACAACTCCGCCAAGGAGGCACAGACAGACACGACAGACAAAGCCTGCCTCAAGCAAAAATTAAAAGTCCCAAGTCAGAAGCAAAATCCTCAATTGACAAAACTCCCAACAGAGCGCATGCGTGAGAATGAGAGCGCGAGCTCGAGAGAAAGAGAGAGACTGAGTCAAAACTGAATCAGACTCCAGTTTGTGTATGTGTGCAAGTATTGTGTGCTGCTAGCTGTCAACTGCTTAAAGCATTTCTCTATGATCTGCAGATGAATGTGTGTGTGTGTGTGTATGTAAGCTACATGTGTAATTTATGTTATGTTATGCGCGACAAATGCACTTGAACGAGTTTGCATACATACATATATACATACATAGCTATGTATATGTGTGTCTACATGTGTATTTAGCAACACTTGGTATTTTGCAGCACAATTCTGGATATGGCAGCGTTGCCAGCCATCATTTACATTTCGAAGTATTGTATGAAGTATTTATGTATTTTTGGACTCACGCACAATATTGGCAACTGCAGCTAAAAATATGAATGAACACCACCAAATGCATTTCTTGATTTATTTAATTATGCATGTGGTGCGTGGGCGTGTTATTCGTTGTAATTTTAGTTGAAAACGAGTATTTAACAAAAATACCACCCACATACAAAGTGTGGCAATGCAAATGAATCAAATGAAATGTATCCGTTTTGCCCAGCAAAAACATGTATTAAATTCATTACAAGTGAAGGGCAACCAGAGGCAGAGGCATGAATGAAAACTACAAGAACCTTGGTTATGTTATTGAGTGTATGTGTGTGTGTCTATGTGTGGGTGTGTGAATTGTTTTTGTTGTGGCCGTTGCGCAGACGTTGGCCAAATGCAAATAACGAATAGCAAATAGCATAGCTAAAGTGCTTTGGCTTTAGCCACTGTCTTCCACAGTGTTGTAAATGCCTCAATATGCGACACATAAAAAACCAAACCAAGAGCAACGTGCTGGGGGCGAGTGACATCATTTTCAATGAGCGCCCGCTTTACGCTTTAAACAGCAAGAAACAAAAAAAAAGAACAGAAAAAACAATTAGAAAAACAAGATAGTTGCGCTGGCATTCCATTTCATTCATTAAAAGTGGCGACAGACAGACTATGTGGAGACGACACGGCGCTGCCAACACATACATACATGCGCATATACATATATATATATGTATTTATAAAAATATATATATATAGATATATATATATATATATATATATAAATATATGTATGTATATATGTATGCCTTGGATTGACCAGACAAATGAGTCACATTTCATTCATGCCCAACACATGCTTCTTCTGCTCGATTAGCGCTCGCTCGTCTTTCCCATTCAGAAACGTTTGTAAGTATTTTAGTTCAATTAAATAGCATTTTTTTCGCTTGTTAAATTGGCATTAATTGTTTGAATTAAATTGGGAGCGGTAGCAATTAAGGAACGTCCACTCGCATAGATCTGGCAACGCTGTAATCGCAACTTAAAGCTGTATATTTGAAAAAAGAAAACATAAACTTTTGCACTTACCTTTCATGTCCTTCTGTCATGATTTGTTATCAGAAAGATTCTAATATAGCAGCGTATAGTGTCGGTGTTGTTCTTGTTGGTGGCAAAATACACCATGATTAAAGCATAAAGACATTCAGAGCCTGCTGCTGCACAAACTGCCAACGAAAAAGAAACGACGACGGACAACAAACAACAAAAAACGGGAAGGGGTAACTGTAACTAACAGTTACAGCTACAATGCAATGGGGCTTGAAGTTGGCTGCAGAGTTTTGGAGTACACTCTCGGAGTATTATTATTATTCAGCTGACTTGTTGTTGTTGTTGGTGGTGGTGACGATGCTGCTATTGCTGCTGCTGTTGTTGTCAGTGCTGCGCTTCGTTGCGTTGTCTATTTTTTCTTTCTTTTCGTTTCTCGGTTGCTTTCTTTTTGGCACAGTAGTATTATAGACGACGCCACTGCTTGCTTTGCAACGGTTTGTGAGACGTACAATTTTTGAACTGCGTGTAGAGAGCAAAGCAAAAAACCGTTATATATTTTATAACTAGGTGCGTGTAAATGATTTGATTTTTAATTGAATTAGGGTTATTTTTTTTTTGCAATTTAACAGGAGCAGCAGACGGCGACGAACGGGCGACTTTTACTTTTTCAATACACTTGCAACACACACACACACTCTCACACACACACACTATGTGGGCGTGTAGACAAACACTGAGGAAAAACTTCATGGAGCAAATATATGTCCGAATTTTTCCAACCAAAGATGTAACAGGCATCCCAAAATGAGAAAGATAGAGCGAGAGAGAGAGTGAGAGAGCGCGCGCAAGGTTGAGCTTCTGTTAAAATTGAGAGCGCATCAGCCCCAGCTAAAAAACAACAACAATACACAGAGTATACAACATTTTAGTGTCCATTAAGCATAGTTGAATTCTCATATTTATTTATTTAACTACGCAACTAGAACTTGCACAACTTTTGGAATTTCACTTTTTTATATTTGTCAATTTAAGATAGCAAGTTTTTCGCAAAAGCCACTTTGCACTGCAAACGAAATATTCATTCATATATTTCCACATCAAGGCTACAGGCATTTTGTGTGGAGCTCTCGCTCGCTCACTTGCTCGCTTGTTCACCTACTCTTACTCTTACTCGCTCTCTCACTTGCGCACTGCGAGAGCGTGTCGCAACCAACGCACTTCGCTTGCGCATATACAAAAAAAAGGTAACACACACACATACATACATATACACACTAATACACACACGTAGAAAGTGAGGTAGAACGTTTTTTGGGCGATTTCTCCATGTATACACATAGCATATATGTATATAAATTTATATACACATTTATATATATACATATATATATATATATATAGAGATATAACAAATTTTTATTGCCTATCCTGCAGCTTTTGACATATACATATATATATTTATATATATAACTACATATTTTATTGCTGTTATCGCTTTGCCTTTGTTAATTGTTTACGATGTGCACAATTGTTTCACTTTTCCTTCCTTATTATTTCTTTTTTTTTTGCACTACGAATTTAGGTTAGTATATGTTGGATTTTTGACTTAGCGCAGACATAACGACCGTGAAGAAGGAGGTGGCAGGTGCGGGTGCGGATGCGTGTGGAGTAAAGGGGGAGATGTGGTGTATCGGAATTTTTCTCTATTGGATAACAGCTTTTCGCATTTGCTGTCGTTTAGCACGTTTTTGCAATCGCACACACATAAATACTACTTGAATATTTTGGCAATTTCTTCAATTTTTTGCACTTTTCACAACTTGTCTCTTTGGAGACATTTAGCATTTCTCATATCAGGTCGCAACTGCGTGTGGCTTGCAAAATTTTTTTTGCTTGCTTTTCGATATGAAGGCTGCTTTATTTTATATTTATATAAACTTTTGCACTCAATGCATAGTTTAAATGATTTGTATTTTATTTGGCATTTGACTTTACTTTTATGCAGATTTTACACCAACTTCTTCTTCTTCACGAAAAAATAGAATGAAATTCCAAACAGATATGTTATTTAACATAACATCGACTAAACATTTACATTTGCTGAACTGTTATCAATAACAGTCAGATGCTGTTAAGAGCAATACCTAGATACATGTGAATGGTATCGCAATACTTGACGAATGGAAAGGCGTAAAATATAGATATGTTAACCTATACAACAAATTCCCAATGTTTGGTGTATTCTAAGAAACCTTTTAATCATATAATTTTGCATATCATATTCGAAAAACCGATTCAAATTTTAATTACTGCGGCTTTGTCGCTGTGACTATTCAAATACTTCAATTTGGTAAAATACAACTCTGTTCATTGAGATACTTGTAACGAGTAATAATATCGCTCATCTCTAGCATTAACATTTCCTTTCTTATGTGCGTGTGTGTGTTTGATGACTGCGGGGAATTGGCTGCCGTGAATAATTCGCAAATAAATCGCTGAAAATGGCTAAAAAGAAAAGTGAAGATCATTCGGGAGCCGATGCAAATGATAGCGACTACAACGAGGAACCAAATTTCGACGATCCACCCAATTTTGTGGACAACATCAGCGATGAAGGCAAGTTTCGTTTCGTTTGCCAGCGCAGCACACGCGCCGACTGATGCAAAAACAAACCTAACCTCAATGTGCGCGATTTTTCTTATTGCATCTGAAATAATGTTCAAAAAACAATTATTACAGATTTACTTGGCGATATGTTGGCGCAACGCCCCTCAGAGGCCGATGGTGTCGAAAGTGTCGTCGTGGTCGACAACATGCCGAAAGTGGAGCCAAGTCGTCTCGACAAACTGAAGTCGGTAATCAACAAGCTGTTCTCGCATTGCGGCGAGATTGTTAACGTTGTCTATCCCGTCGATGAGGAGGGCAACACGAAGGGCTATGCGTTCATGGAGTATAAGACCGCCAGCCAGGCTGAGGATGCGGTCAAGAAGCTGAATAACCATCGTCTGGACAAGAATTACACCTTTGCCGTTAACTTATTCACGGACTTCCAAAAGTAAGCTCGACAAGCTGATATAAATCTTGTGTGTCTCCATATATAACCCGTATGCAGCCAGAATTTTTTGTATATATTTTATCCTTTATATAATAATTTCCTTATTTATCTTTACAGGTATGAAAATATACCTGAGAAATGGGAGCCGCCAACTGTGCAGCCTTTTAAGGTCCAGAGCGATCTGTACAATTTCATTAATGATCCTGATACCTACGATCAGTACTGCGTGGCTGCGGAAACTGCGCCAAATTGTGTGCAGGTTGGCTTCTGGCAGAATACGCTGCCGGAGCCCAATGAGCTGGAGACCCGTGAACGTTTCACCGATACATTTGTGAAATGGTCACCACTGGGCACCTATGTGGTTACGTTCCACAAGCCAGGTGTCGCCATTTGGGGCGGTAGTAGCTTCCAGAAGATTCAGAAGTTTCCGCATCCTGGCACTCAATTCGTTGAGTTTTCGCCCTGCGAGAATTATTTGGTCACGTATGGACCAACGCCAACCGGGCAGAAGATCATCATTTGGGATATACGCACCGGTGGCGAGAAGCGCTCCTTTGTCGGTGATGGAATGTCAGTGTTGTCCATGTTCCGCTGGTCGCACGATGACAAATATGTTGCGCGTATGGGTGAAAGCTCGATTCACATCTATGAAACACCGTCGTTCTATTTGCTGGATCTGAAGTCTATCAAGATACCCGGAATACGTGGATTTTCGTGGTCGCCCACCGACAACGTGATTGCCTATTGGGTGGAGGAGCAGAATCAGATACCCGCTCGAGTTACATTAATGAAGATACCCAAGAAGCGGGAGATACGCAACAAGAACCTTTTCCACGTGGCCGACTGTAAGCTGCATTGGCAAAAGTCTGGCGATTATCTGTGCGTCAAGGTTGATCGCTACTCCAAACTGAAGAAGGACAAAAAGGAGCTGGACGTCAAGTTTCTGGGCATGTTCTACAATTTTGAAATATTCCACATGCGCGAAAAGGAAATTCCCGTCGATTCGATCGAGATACGCGAACTGATCCTTGCCTTCGCCTGGGAGCCAATTGGTAATAAGTTTTCGATAATACATGGCGAACAAAATTCGGCCAACGTTAGCTTCTATGAGGTGAACAAGGGCGTGAAGCCCAGTCTGGTCAAGCGTCTGGAGAAGAAATCCTGCACTCATCTGTTCTGGTCGCCACGTGGCCAGTTCATTGTTATGGCGAATCTGACCATGGGCACATTTGAGTTTGTCGATACGACCAATGATTATATCATTAGCGCATCCCCCGATCATTTCCGCGCCTCCGAGGTCGAATGGGATCCGACTGGTCGCTATGTCGTCACCGGCGTCTCCTCGTGGAAGGTCAAAGAGGATACCGGCTTCAATATGTACACGTTGCAGGGTCGCATCATTAAGCGTACCATTTTGAAGAACTTTGTGCAGTTCCTGTGGCGTCCACGGCCGCCAACGCTGCTCAGTGAGGAGAAACAAAAGGAGATTAAGAAGAACCTTAAGAAGTACTATCCAACGTTCGAGCAGAAGGATCGCCTACGCCTGACTCGTGCCTCCAAGGAGCTGCTCGAGAAGCGCGCCCAGCTGCGTGAGACCTTCATGGAGTACCGCAACAAGCGCATTGCCGAGTGGAAGGATCAAAAGAGCCGTCGCCAAATGCTCAGAGGGCGTAAGTTTCCCTCTACCCATCCACATGCATAATTTTCGCGACTTTATTTTGAAAAATCCTTTCATATTTTTTTTTCAGATGTGGACACGGATAACTTGGAAACCGATGAAGTCGATGAGGAAGTTGTTGAATTTTTAGTCAAGGAAGAAATTACCCTGCTAGAGTAAACGACCCCCGGATACTCTGCGCCACAAAAAAAAACACAACCAATCCCTCCCCCTACTCCACTCTCTGTTTTCACTTCATTTCAAAGCTGGTGTCTCTCAGACTTGCGTCGAAGTGCGCCAACGTCCCGGCAGCAGCCTCCACTTGTCGGGTACTCTTTGGTTCAATACACGCAGAGCGTCCTAAATACTATACGACTAAGCGTAGTCATATTTACAAGCTTGCGTTACATACATATGCACATATAAATATATTTAGAAATACTTTTATTAATTCGATCCTTAAGCGCAAAAGTAACGTCACATAAATTGATAATAACTGAAAACAAACACTCGAACAACCGAACAACATTTGATAAAATTGTGCACATAATGATAAAATTGTCCGAAATCATATTATTAACAATTAAAAGTAAATTTGCATTGTATTTGTATGTCAACAGCAAAAAGAAAAGGAAAAAGAAACGGCATTTACATTTTTACTGAGCGGGAGGGATGGAAATCAATCTAAATTATTAATAAAAGCCGGCTACCATTCAAATTCAACATTTCAAAATTTGTTTTCCCCAACTCTACAATACCCTTCTAATAACCAAACTATATTTGAGAATGCTTCAGTCGAAAAACGTTTAAATATAATATTGTAATTTAGAAATATAAATAGAGTGGAAGAGATCGCAAACTAAAATTTGAAGCATAAAAACCAAACCAGAGTGTAATTGAAGCTCAGATATGGACTAACGAGCAAAGAGGATTTCTGGAAACAATTCAGTTGAACTGCACTATATTCTATGTATATATAGACTGCTAAACATGGCGATATTTAGTCAAGAAACGATTGTTCAGTTGTGAAATATATTTATTTTGCATCTCTTATGCTGATATAGTCATTAGTTTGCGGTGTCTAAAATTTCCCGTGCATGCTGGCACCAACCAGATGGTTGGATTTACCCCCAAAGCAATCTTTAATGCTGGGCAGCTGTCCGCTGCATTTGGGTTTGAAGACCGACCAGGCACCCCAGCCCTTGTCCTGTTGTATCAATTGTGCGCACCTCATCGCGATATCAATGTGGTCCGTACGTAATGCGTCGCAGTTCACATTGCAGCCGTTGTATGAGAATTGGCCGTTGCTTGGCTGGCACCAGATGCGATCGTTGATTTGGAATATGCCATGATCTGTGGAACCATCATCATTGGGTGGTCCTATCACATATGTGCGATAGTGGCTCCCATGCTCCGCAATGCACACCCAACGCGCCAACTGATTCCGCGGCACATCTAACTTGTCCATTGCTTTTGCCAGACTGCAGCGATCGAAGGTGCGTTTGCCATCAGATGCACCAGCCATCAGCAGCAGCAGCAGGAGCTGGATACCCAGCAAAAGAGCAGACCACTTTACAAATGCGACTTTATTTGTCATGACTCGATGATTCACAGAACACCCACCTGCCATTGCCGGCAGCAGCGGCAGCTTTTGTATTTGTTTTAGGGTGGCCGTCCGATAAGCGTATCGCAAACATAATAGAAAAGCTACTTAAACAACTACTGCGCTCTCTTTAACAGGTAAATTTTTAGCCGTTACACTGCCTTATGCGGTTGGTATGGCAACGCGAAACACCCTGCGAGCAAAAACAAAACAAACTGTTTCATTCCGTTTGTTCGGAAGTGTCAAATGTAATACATATTAAATTATTTCAGTGTTTTACAAATCACTAATAAATATGGAACGCGAGAAAAGGCGAAGCAAAAAGCGTCGCAAAACGCAAACGACACGTGCTTATCGCAAAACCGAGAGAGAAGTTCAACAATTGCTCTTCCAATGTATTGATAGAAATACTGCTGGCCAGCAGCAAGCAGGTGCTCAGCAATTGGAGACACGCAGCCTGGACTTTTTCCATGCCAAAGATGTGGACGGTGTGGCGGATGCGGAGTCGTTCGCAATAAATGTTAAGGATTCAACGGACAATTTCATAGAGATTGAGCTAACCGAGCCGCCGCTCGTTTGGGCCCAATTGTACAAGGCGCCTCATTGCTATGACAACAGTTTTCTGTGGATGCCCAAAGGTGGCCAGTTAAATTTGCCACTGCAGTCGAGCGATTGCAGTACGATGCCGAAACGATCTCAGGCACGCATGCTGAATCGCTACCAGGAGGAGGCGAGAAACCGTCGAAAAGGCAACAGCAGCAGCGCAAACTGCAAACTAAATTCCCAACTAATAGCCGATCTCACGGATGCGGATGCAGTTCGATTTGTGACTGATAGCCAGCTATATCGCAGCCATTGTTCGCGACAGTTTAATACCGTATTCCTGGCACCAGTGCCGGTGGCTCAGTGCCAGGGATTGCCAGTGAAAAGTTGCTGTCTGAAAGTGTGCCTGAAACTGTTGCGTTTTACCACGCATCCATCGCTGTTGGAGGAGCATCGTCTGGCCCAGCAACTGGAGGATCTGTACGATCTGTACGTCCAGCAGGAGAGCAACGATATATGCGAGCAATTGCGAGAGGAGCTGCAAATCGCACGCAATGTGGCAACAAGGCTAATCAGTGTCAACAATCAGCCGGAGCATGCGGTACAGTTGGCTGTGCATGTCCAGCGTCAGCTGGAATTGACACAACAATTGCGCAAACGCTACTATGCCGAGTCGACGGCCGAGCGTTCACTGCTCCAGCGTCTGCTCAAGCATTGGGCCAAGCTGAAGGAGCTGCGCACACAGCAACAATTTCAGTGCACATGCTTCCAGTTGAGTTTGCGACTGGTGCCGCCCGATGATGTGGATGCCTCATGCTCGGCCTGGCGGCAACGCTTTGAAACGGATCTGGCCGAGGTGTATCGCGAGCATTTGGAATTGTACTATCAGCGCCGACTTTTATGGAGTAGCGGCGAGCAGTCGGCGCGCTTGAAACCGCCACGTAAGCCGCAATTCGGAGCGATCATGGATAGTCTGAAGATGCATTATGAGCGTGCATTTCAGGATCCCGAGGAGCCGGTGGTACATGTGCTGCGGCTGCCAAACAATGCACTAACAATGTGTCCGCCGCCTGGCTCAAGGAACGAGGTGCGCAACTACTATCTGAAGCTCTATTTGGACAGACAGTTTGTGGCGCAGACGCGCTGCTATCGCCTAGAACCCGATTTGCGTGTCTACATGAACGAGAGCATTGGCGTTCTCCTCGAACGTTCGCTGCCCAAGCAGATTCACATATGGGTAAGCTACTAAAGAGTTGCGATTATTCTCGACAATGCGTTATTATTATCAAATGTTTATTATATAGTAAACTTGACCATTTCATTTTGCGTTATCAGTTTGATTGCCTGACATAAACGCGCTCAACAAGAAAATCGAATGAATCACATCTCCGGTATTAAATAAAAAGTGTCTCGCAGTTCAACTGGAACAGCGCCTAGCAACAAAGTTAATTGCCTGCCATAAACAAATTATTATACTACCTAAATGACTATTTGACCCCCATAAACTGGGGTTTTCCCACCGGCTAGGTCGGGTTATGTAAAAAAGTACCTTAATTTGTGGTCACATATTATGTGGAACAATGGCGTTATGGACACCTGGGTGCCATAAAACCCAGATTTTTTACGTCAGGTTGATTATTTTTGGTATAAATAGACCAATCCTTCGTAGTCAGATTAGTTATATCCTGCATCTCGAGTGCAACCAGCCAACAAGGACTATGTGCAAGCGGACTACCATTGAACAACGGAAATTGATCCTGGAACACTTCAGGATTGGATATTCATATCGCCAAATAGCTAAAATGGTAAATCTGAGTACCACAACTGTATTCAATATCATTCGGCGCTTCGTCGACGAAAATCGGATAGAGGACAAGGGCAGAAAGCCACCACACAAGATTTTCACCGAACAGGAGGAGCGGAGGATCATCAGGAAAATAAGGGAAAATCCCAAGCTATCGGCTCCAAAACTGACTCAACAGGTGCAGGATGAAATGGGGAAAAAGTGCAGTGTGGAAACTGTGCGCCGGGTTCTGCGCAAACATGACTTTAATGCCCGAGTACCACGGAAGAAGCCCTTTATAAGCGCAAAAAATAAAGGGACTAGGATGACGTTCGCCAAAACCCACTTGGACAAGGATTTGGAGTTCTGGGACACAGTCATATTTGCAGATGAGTCCAAATTCAACATTTTTGGCTCGGACGGACGGAATTATGTGTGGCGACAGCCCAATACTGAGCTGAGTCCCAAAATCCTAAAGGCAACAGTCAAGCACGACGGAGGAAGTGTCATGGTATGGGCATCTATCTCGGAAGCCGGCGTCGGAAATTTGGTGTTTTTTGAAACAACAATGGAAAAGAGTGTGTATTTCAACATATTAAAGGAAAATTTACTCCAAAGTGCCGAGAAGCTAGGAATCCGGAGTACTTTCCAGATCTACCACGACAACGACCAGGACAACAACCAAGAATAAGTCCGGATTAGTACGGTCCTCGCATATCTGGATATGCCTCCACATGATAATTCCACAGGCCCAGTCTCCAGATTTAAATGTTATTTAAAATTTGTGGGCTCTGCTCGAAAATAACATCCGGAATCACAGATCCGATCTCAAGAATGCTCTGCTGGATGAGTGGAGCAAAATCAGTCCAGAAACGACCCGGAAGCTGGTATCTTCCATGAATAATAGGTTAAGGGACTTTATTAGGGGTAAAGGATATCATACTAAGTATTAACATCCTTATTTAAGTTTTTATACGCCTAATATGTTACTTTTCTAAGACTGTTCCAAAAAAACTTTGAAATGTATTTTGGATATGTTTTCAGTATTTGACTAATTTCAGTTAATTATTTAATATTTTAATAAAAACTGAAGCTTCCTTTTCAAACGTGATATAACATAAAACAAATTGGCATTTAAACATTTTGCGTTTATTGTTTTGTTTAAAAGTTATAGCACTTTAAATATTTTGCTAGGCGCTGTTCCAGTTGAACTGCGAGACACTGTACACAATGTCCTTAATTCGACCAAATAATACAATCATTGCTAATGCTCACATCATTATTTACTTGGAATCTGTTGGAAGTTTGCTGTGATCTGCCACTGCCCCCTGTGGCAGTGTCATTAGCAGTAGAAACTTGTACAGAAGTCTCCTCCGGGAAGCAATCATCGACGCTGGTTTGTCCACTTTCGTCATATCGGACCATGACATTTTGCCAGGCATCCCAGCCATGAGTCTTCTTTATTTCCTGTGCGCATTTAACGGAGGCACGAATATTGTCCGACAGCAGCTGCTCACAGTCCACTTTGCAGATATTTATAGTGGAGAGTCGCTTATCTGACAGACACCACCATCCATCACTGATTTGGAATATTCCGTAATTGCGATAATTCTGAGGATCCGGGCTACTAACCGCATTAGTCCGAAAATTGCTCAACTCTCTGGCAATAAACACATATCTCGCCAATTCATCCCGTGGAACGCCCAATTCATCCATTTTCACGGCCAGGGTGCAGCGATCCAGTATCCTTTGACCCTCCGCGGTGCCAGCCAGGATCAGTTGTAGCACCATCAGCAACACGGACCACTTAAAACTTAGGTCTTTCTCTGCCATGATTTGCGCACGCACTGAATTAGACAGCTTAATCGCAGAACTTTTTATCGCTTTTGGTCTATATGTACAGTAACTCCCCGCTTATTTGATATAGTGTCTACCAAAAATTTTGAGTGCTATAAAGATTAAACAACGAAACAAACGCAAAATATTTTGATGTACATGTACATGTACAGTGGCTCTCAGTTCATTTCGGGCAACGTCTAGCAAAAATGTTAATTGCATGGCATAAACTAATTATACTCGTACAATATTTTTCAAAAATTCCAAAGACCGATGGCAGGTACATATATTAACTACCTAAATGACTATATGACCCCCATAAACTGGTTCTACCACGACAACGACCAGGACAAAAGCCAAGCATAAGTCCGGATTAGTACAGTCCTCGCATATCTGGAACTGCCCCCACATGATAATTCCACAGGCCCAGTCTCCAGACTTAAATGTTATTTAAAATTTGTGGGCTCTGCTGGAAAATACCATCCGGAATCACAGATCCGATCTCAAGAATGCTCTGCTGGATGAGTGGAGCAAAATCAGTCCAGAAACGACCCGGAAGCTGGTATCTTCCATGAATAATAGGTTAAGGGAAGTTATTAAGGCTAAAGGATATCATTCTAAGTATTAACATCCTTATTTAAGTTTTTATACGCGAAATATGTTACTTTTCTAAGACTGTCCGAAATAAAGTTTGACATGTATTTTGGACATGTTTTCAGTTTTTGACTAATTTTAGTTAATTAATTAATATTTTAATAAAACCTGAAGCTTCCTTTTCAAACGTGCTATAACATAAAACAAATTGGCATTTAAACATTTTGCGTTTGTTGTTTTGTTTAAACTTTATAGCACTTTAAATATTTTGCTAGGCGCTGTTCCAGTTGAACTGTGAGACACTGTATATACATGTACATTGATTAGTTATTATATTCTTTATCAAAATATTGGAGCTTAAGCATGTACAATTTATAGTTAAGCATATATGCATTCAGGTTATCTCAATTATCATGCTATTATTCGATTGCTTATAAATTGCAGCTGTATGAGAAATCGGCGATTACGTCACAGAGTAGGAAATTGGCGCTGATGAGCTCACCACTGACATTGGCGAAGGGAGATAGCTCGTCGCTGAAGCTTGAGTTTCGGGTGACGTCGGGTGCAGCGAGTCCTAACCTGGAAGGTGATCTCTATCTGCACACTGATTATCGCTACACGGATGAGGATAGTGTCACTGACCTGGACGACATACAGAAGCTGCCGGATGAATTAAAGGAAACGTTGCTGACGCGCAAACTTCCGGCTGTGATCAACACATCCGCTGAGGCGGAGGCGACACCGCAGCCACAGGCGCCATTTGTCCTTGCTAAAAACAATTCAAGGACGACAACGAGCGCGCCGCTCATATTTGCCGAGCAACAGCTGCAATTTTGTGGCGTTGAGGAGCTGCTGGAGAATCGACGCTTTCAACTGCTGCACTCGCGCCACCTGAAGCGCAACCTGTACACCAAGCAGCTCAGCTTTGTGCCCGCCCTGGAGCACGAGCTGATCGAGCTGAAGGAGACCAATGGATCGAATGGCAACAGCAGCCAATTACTGGATCCAGGCACCACATGGAATCCCATCGATTTGCACAAGCATCGCGGACGCAAGTTCCTGCAGCTACTCTACAATACGATAGCCAGCCATTGTGCACAACGTTCCAAGCTGTTGCAGACGTCACGTCCGCTGGTGCAGCTCCTGGGACCAGATGGCATAGATCAATCCACAGCTGGCTGGTCGGGGCTCTGGCGTGCATTCTGTTCACTACTATTTGGCGGTGGAGTATCAGCGACGATGACGCCGCCACGTGAACCCGCCTGGCAGCCGCACCCAATAAATGCTGCGGATCAAGTGCAGCAATTTAATATCTCATTGCATGTGGTCCGTGCAACGGGAGTTCCGGTGCGCAGTCGCCACATTGTCAACGTGGAGCAGACAATCAGCAGGCGACGCAGCAGTGCCGGCACCGGTACCGGTACCGGCAGCGATTTGTCCGCCAATCTATTTGTTACACAAAGTGAGTAAACGAATGGATTTAATGCGTGTCAAACTGAATCGTTATCTTTTGTCTCATAATCGAATCCCTTGCAGCGTTGATGTACTCGAATGTCCGTCCATTCGTAACACTGAGCTACGGCCAGAGGCTGTGCCGCAGTGGCACGGCCGAAGGCTCGAATCCCACCTGGAATGAGCAGCTCAAGCTACAGATTACCGGACAGCCCTTCGATCTGCATGACGATCTGAAAATTAGCCTCTTCGACGAGCTCATCGAGCAGCAGTATACGGACGAGGCGTCGGATCTCTACCAGAGGGTGCAGTGCAATTGGCTGGGCGAATATCGGGTGCCCATCAGCAGTCTCTTAATCAGTCGCAAGGTGAGTCCTGTAGCCAATTTCACAGCATGCAGTGGAAAATGCATTCCATCATTCCAGTTTGAGGGATGCATCGAGCTGAACATGCCCAAAGTGCTGGTGGGCTACAAGCGACCGTTAATTGACTCGGTGACAAATATATCCGTTGAGCAATATCCCGAGTTCAAGGAGTCCGTGCATCTCTGGTACTTTTTGAGTGTGGAGCCGATCACCGAACCGTTGCCCGTTCAAGTGGGCAGTCTGGCATGCGCCGAGCTGCCGGAGTTGCAGCAATTTGTGAACGAACGACGTGTGGAGGTGCAACAGTTGCTGCTGCAGCCGCATCGATATGTGGAACCACTCATCTGCACCTCGCTGGGCAAACGAGTTAGCCTCACCCGTCTGCTGGAGCCGGTGCCGGTGCCCAGCGAGTTGCAGAGTGTGGAGAGTATTTGCCGCTTCGTCTCGCTGCTCTCTCCATTAAAGACTCAGTTGGTCGCGTGCCAGAGCTTTCAGGGCATTTGGCTGGACAATCAAACGCTGCTCGACAGCACCTGGTGTTCCGTCAAGGATTTGGGTGTGTTGCTGTGCAATTATATGCTCGCTCTGAATCTAGAATGCTGGCTCTTGTTGGGTTTGGCCTGTCCCTATGGCGAATGCACTTTCGTCATCTATCGCCAGCCGGAAAGCAGTGATCTTGTGCTCCTGGCACCCACAACAGGCAAACGCTATCAGCTTCAGGACACATTTTGCCCTCTGACTCGAGTCCATTGCATTGTCACCACACAAAATGTAGGTGTAGTCTTATATTTGTTTAGAATTCTTCAAGAATTCTTAAACTGTGTGTCTGTTTGTTGCTCCCTCAACAGATCTACATTAATATTCAGGCGGAGGAGCGCGTCAGTATGACGAATTTCAATCTGCAGGATGGAGCCTGTTGGTTGCCGCTGTTCAATAAGCATCAGGCGGCGCCGCAAGGCGGCATACAGAAGCTCGACTATGCCTACAAGCACAGCTACGATTTGGGTCAACTGCAAAAGCAAATCGAGCGCAAGATCATGAAGAAGATATGTGCCTGGCGCACCACACGCAAAACCATCTGGAATCGGTGGGTTACCCAAAAACCATTTCAATATCGCTCCCCTTAACAATAGTTTCGATTATAAGTAGCAATATTGCATTTAATCAGTATCAACTAAGTTCTGTTATCTCCAGGCCTTCATTACGTTTAGTTCATACGTCCTTAGCAGTAATGCCATATAATTTTTGTAATCGACAAATGAAATGACCAATTGATAACACAAATGCTTGCAGTGCCTTTCAGCCCCGCCTGCTGAAGATCTTAAGCGAAATGGAAAACTTGGCTATATACACGGGAAGTCGTTACGATGAGCCCGCCTTCAGTGAGGAACTGGAACGTGAATATCCGAATTATCGGGTGAGTATGCCACTTATGCGAATCATCCTTATCATAACATAACATTCTTTATCATCAGCTTTACGGCTTCACCATAAACTTTGCATACACGAATCTGGCTGCGATATCAGAACGTATTCGCACCACATGTATTCACTACAATAACAATGCAAACGTTGAGTTCTGTGTGGCTGTGCATATCAATGCCTATGTTAACGACGTCCTATCTGTGTGGGTTCTCCTGCTCTCCATAGTGCCACTTGCCGACTGATGCGTCATCACTGATTGATAATGTGACGTTTGTGTAAATTAATTGATATGCGCCGGCTCCTTCCGCTGTCTCCATAGATAATGTTCAAAATGCCAAAGCTAATCAATATACGAAATACTAAAAAAATGATATATTTATGTATATACATATATATATATATGTATTTCTTATCGTGTCGTTTTCGAAAACATAGAAGTATGTATTTAACCCGATTTACAACAAAACAAAAAAATTGTTGATAACGTATGATTGTATTTTGTATTTTGTGGCGTGGTCACAATTTACTTCTTTTGCTGAGGATTGTCGCCAGGTACATTTCAGTTCAGTTTCAGTTGTTAGTTCACCGTGTACCTTCCAAACGTGTAGACGACCATCGCCAACCTGTATCATCTGCCCGGGTGCGCCATGTTTGGGAAATTGTCCGAGAATTATGAGAAATTCAAACGATATGTGATATGGCTGTATAGCCTCTATGAGCTCAACACACAGATCTCCATTTGCGAGCCATGGGAGAAAGTGTTTTGTAGTAAGTTATCAAATGCTCATGGCTATATATATATTTGTATATGCCTTCAATAGATAGTCAAAGCAAGCACCAAACCAGTTAGCAGTAGCTGCTTCCACAGATATCTTATCTATTTCGGTCAGGCGCGGTGCAATGACTAACTGCACTCGGCTCTGGCCTGTCTTATATATACTATATATATATGTATATATATATAAACTATATATATATAGTTTTCAATAAAACAGGCCAAAGCCGAGTGCATATATATATATATTTACTTGAATGTAATCGAATTTGAATTTTTTGCAGACGTACTCCTCGGTAGTTGCCTGTCCCTTGTCACTTATGCCACATACGCCTATGTTCCCGGCTATTGTCTGATGCTTGTGGGCTTTCTGGTGCCGGTTGCACTGACTAAAAATAATAGTAACATTACTGTGAAATGTGCAGAGGCGGCGGAGGGCTTGTGCCCTAGTAGCATTAAATCTTATCTTACGTAACACTTGTTGATAGTTCTAATGTACATAACCGTAATAAATTATTTAAAAAGCAAAAGCGTAGTCATATATATAGTATATGTATATCAATCTAGCTCGTTATCTGAACAACAAGCTATCAAAATATGTAACGTTATCTTAATAAAGTCAAAGCATGTAAATCAATTAGCCAACAACTTGAATATTGGCGCTTTAACGTAATGCCAGCGTTGCCACCCAGTTGAAACCTCGAGTTGGCAGTCCTAGTATTGGCTGTGTTGCCCATTCTGTTAATTTATTAATGCTGTTCAGCAGCTGGGCGCATTTTATTTACAAAATAAACGTTTTTGTGAAATAATGTCGAATGACAAACGCACCGTTTATGTTGGTGGATTGGCCGACGAGGTCACGGAAAGATTACTAAACAATGCCTTCATTCCGTTTGGCGATATTGCGGACATACAAATGCCGGTTGACTACGAGTCACAAAAGCATCGAGGATTCGCCTTTATTGAGTACGAGAATTATGAAGATGCCGCCTCTGCCATTGATAATATGGTGAGTCAAATTTATTTATATATTTATTAAGACTAATTGATAACCTCTCTTGGATTTTTAGAATGATTCCGAGCTGTGCGGTCGGACGATACGCGTCAATTTGGCCAAACCGGTGCGCGTGAAGGAGGACAGCTTTAAGCCGGTTTGGGCGGATGATGACTGGCTGCAGAAACATGCCGGCGCCACATTGCAAGCGGATGGTGAGCCAGAGGCTGACAAGGATACGGAGAAGGTGGAGGCGCCATCGACCGGGCCAGCGGTAATTGAGAAATCGGAGAAACGCAATCCGCAAGTGTTCTTTGACATACGGATCGGTGGCAACGATGCCGGTCGCATTGTGATGCTTCTTCGCGCCGATGTGGTGCCCAAGACGGCGGAGAACTTTCGCCAGCTCTGCACCCATGAGCAGGGCTATGGCTACAAGGGCTGCACCTTTCATCGCATCATTCCAGAATTTGTGAGTGGAAACCTTGACACCCCAATTGAATCCACATTAATATCAAAACTTATTTCATACAGATGTGTCAGGGCGGAGATTTTACGAATAACAATGGCACCGGTGGCAAATCCATTTACGGCAAGAAGTTCAACGATGAGAATTTCAACTTGAAGCACAACAGCTTCGGCACATTATCCATGGCCAATTCGGGTCCCAACACAAATGGCTCACAGTTTTTCATATGCACCACCAAGTAAGAATCGATAACTATTTCATTTCAGTGTGAATTTAATTTAAAGTTCATCCAACACAGAACTGACTGGCTGGACAACAAGCACGTGGTCTTCGGGCATGTCATCAGCGGTGCGGATGTGGTGCGCAAGATGGAACGTTGTGGCAACAAAGCTGGAACCCCTTCCCAAAAAATTATCGTATATGCTTGCGGTGAACTCAAATAATAAAAACACATTTAGCGAACTGCATTCGTTTAATCATTTATTTGGTTTGGCTTTACAACATAATTATTTATTTAAAGAAATGTACTACAGACTGGACTGACTGGGAGACAATCCATCATTTAACCAGGTCGCCATTCTGAAAAAAAAAAGAATAGAAAGTTAGTTCGCTGGATTCGCAAAGTTGATGCATTGCTTTAATAGAAATTGCATTATCAGTTGGGGAAAGAAGACAAGTCAGCATGATTTGAGTGACTCAGTGAACATACCCTGTTGTGGGATTTTTCATCATAAAACATAAAAACTATTACTAAAGTAGTTGAAATTTACCTTAACAAGATTCCTCTGAATATAGGCAGTCCATTGTAAGAGTTATCCAGATCTGTGACCTGCAAGTAAGCGACACTCGATTAGTTGTTTGAAAAGTATTTCAGCATAGAATAAAACTGTTGAATATGATCAGTCAGGGAAAAATTGACCGCATGGTTTTTAATGGGTTCTACTCAGTAGAGGGATCCTGATTAAGGATAGTTCATCAGATCAACATGTTTAAATATTTAAGATTGCGAAATTACACACCTTTTGCAGTCTTCTCGCCCTCAAATGTAATTTCAGAATGTCGACTAAATATCGAGCAAGAGCTGTAAATAAAAAATTCAATATTTTAGTTTTTCTGTTTATAAACACTTAATTAGGAAAAAAGATGATTGTAATCAGTCGGGGAAGATTGACCGCATGGTTTTTTATGGGTTCTACTCAGTAGAGGGATCCTGATTAAGGATAATTCATCAGAGCAAAATCTCGTACGTGGTGATCTGAGCATTAATTAAAACATACCTTAAATTGTCTTTCATGTGATGCAGCGAGAAATACCAAGACACAGCAACTGCAACAGAGATGAGTAAATATTAATATAAATTTTGTGTACATAATCAATCATAATCATTTATATCAATCAGATTCAAAATCTTGTAACATGTTTGTTTCTAATGAACTATACTGAATTAACATCATGATAGATTTGTGAACTGAACTGAAGGGTATATAGATATAATGACCAACCTCTCTCTGGCTGTAAATTTGAAGTTGTCTTTCCATTTTGACATTATCTGGTTGACGTTGCGCTGTAAAGGAAATAACGACATCTGGTTAAAAGAGTCCATATTTAAATGGTTCAAATTATTTAATAAAAAATTAATATTATCAGTATCCTTTTGGTTAATTTTGCTTGGTTGGTCAGCATAGTTTTCAGAGTAAGTTTCTCATCAAGATATAAAAAAAAAGAGTTGGCATTTATCAGAGCGTAAAATAGAGCTTACCTTCAAGTGTTATCGACACAGAATAATTCCCAACAGACGGGTGCCTTCAATTGGAGATTACCCTGCAAAGATGAACAAGCATTTTAGCATTTAATGTTTGTTTTTTTTCTTGCTACAAATTTCTACATTTGGGCTTGTTTCAGTAATCTTTCTCCGCATTTTCGACTCAGTAGAACGAAAGTTATGATATTAAAAAGGTATTCATCATCTAAGCAGTAGAGCACCATCATAACTATAAATATGATTTCAACTTACCTTGCTGTATAAAACGAACTTTATTTCCATATTTTATGCGAGTGATGTCGTCTGCAAGGAAACAAACAAATTAATTAGCCAATTGATGAAAAATGTAACATATTTTTGAAATTGTGTTTGAAATTCAGTTGCAAAATATGCAGCCATGGGGTTTTTAATCACAGAAATCGTACGGTAATTACTTTCATCACTTTTTGAACACAATTCGCACACATTTCGACTTTTTCTTACCTTATCGAGTCTCGCAAGGAAATGACGATCTCATCGGGCCATAAAAGAAGTTCTAAAATTAAAAAAAAAAAGCTCGGGTTAAGTGGTGCTTTATTTTTGAAGAACTTTTAAATTAATCAATTATGCATCAGTTGCAATAATTGCAGCCATGGGGTTTTTAATCACAGATATCGTACGGTAATTACCTATCATCATTTCAAAGTTTTAGTTCGAAACTTCATATGAAAAACTTACCATCATTCTGAGTGGAATGCCATCATTCAAACTGGCAAGCAAGGACATCTCTGACCCTGTAAGGACATAAATTGAGGTTAGTTTCTAAACGTGACTATATTCATACTATTTAACAGTTTAATGGAATTAATCAGAATCCTTTTGGTTTAATTTTAAGTTGTGAATCAACAGCACTTTGTTCAGATTGAACTTATCATCATGAAAAATCAAAACAATTCAATGAAATAAAGTCAAAACCTACCGAAGCCATTCCCCTTCCAGTACAGAAACCGGCTTCCAGCCACGTGTGTGAAAATATCTGCAACAAGGAAATATTGCTTTAGAGTGCAAGTTGAACACATTTAAATATAATTGATTTCATTCTTTATCAGTTGGCCGTTCTTATTCTTTCTACAAGAAAAGAATGCTAGCCGCCTCTTTCGCAAGAGTCTACTAGCATCCGACTCTTCAGAAAAAGAACATTCATCAATGTGTAACAAAATTTGACATACGAAATCTAAAATTGTACTTACCATTTTTTAAGTTGAAAATTTGTGGCAAATGAATGCACAATATGAGTAAATGCAAGTAGTATAGCAAAAATGATTCAATGCTGAGTAGCATTAAGTTAGGAAAAGTTTATAAGAACTGTAGATGTACACGGTAATAATGGATTGGAAAGAAAGATCAATCCACACCCAAGCAACACGAAACGGAAATGAACGATGCTTAACAGCAGTGTGACCAAGTGCACATGTCGTATTATATTCTGCCTGAAAAAATACTAATAATTACCTTTACAGAAAATCCTCTGTTAACATATGGCGCTGTTAAGTACACTTATCCGATTCTGCACTCACAGTTTGACAACACAACAAAATAAAGGCATAGTTAAAATGTTTCATAAAGTTGTCCTCAGAGAACAATTAAAAATTGTGGTACGGGGTCTCACTCAGCATAATTAAGAAAATAAATAACATAGTGAACAACTGCAAGAAAACCAAAACATTGATTTTAGATTCGAAAAACGACAAGTTTATTGAATTTGTATTAAAAATGACGACTTTATTAAATTTAGCATAGCTCATCGGATGCCTTTACAACAATAGTTTATCAAGTACAATACGTTTGTACATACATATGTTAAAAAATATACATTTTTTATAATTTTTTTTTTTTGTTCTTCCAATCGAAGGTTTCAATCGTAAATATTTGTATGCAATCACGACTCATTTTCACACATATCATTTGTTTTTCAACCGAAAAGGCATATTACATTTATCATAAAAATTTCAATAAAATCTATCACAATATGAGAATATATCAGGATATGGCATCGCTCGATTCTGATCTTATTTATGATGTAGCTTCTGAGTCACTCGAGCACGACCATTTCCTGATCTTTAAAATTTCGATATATGTATGTTTTGTAAATTTTAAAAATCTTTCTTTTGTGTGAAGTGGATTTGTTTTGCTTCTTTTTTTTTGTTTTTTGTTTTTTTTTTTTGTTTAAAATTGTACTCATAGAATATTAGATACAAGATATATATAAAAATATATTATGATTATTATTTATACAAAATTTGCATGTTACGGACGGACAACATCTTAAAACGTAAACATAAACATATAAAATGCTGATTCTGCTTAAAAATACATGCAAGTGTGTATTTATTGTAATGCTTAGGCTATAATGTTTAACTTTACATTTAAGGCCTAAATATAGGCTTTTATATATCGATTATATTGATTGATTTTTATGTAAGGCGCGTGCTTTCAAGATTTGTGCGTTATTCTTTCTCTTCATGGTTTTAGGCTGCTGTGTCAAGGGATCTCAGTTCTTACGAATCAGCCTCATTTATGTTTGACCGCAGAATTTAAACCTAAAAAATCATGAAGTTCCTTAAGTCTAGATGGTACCTAATCGAATTACAAAAATACATTCTCTTATATTCAATTCCTTATTGAGCTTTATGTTAGATACAATTTATATTGCATTTGTTAGCCACAAGACATATGCAGTTTATATTATTAAATACCATTTTGTTTAGCATGCACATAGAAAACTATAAAGAAAATTATAGAAAAATATTCAGTCTAACAAAATACTTGTACAGAATAATAATCGTTTGAATTTCGAGAAAAATATTCGATTTGTGGGTGGGTTCGCTATTTTCTTGGGCACACCCCAAAAAAACTCCGTTCAAAAGAAACATTGCCAATTTTTGTGTGTAACCCAATTATCAGATTCTATGTGTGATATGCCATCGTCTAAGCTCTAATTATTGTGCTTACAAATTATACTACCAAATAAACATATAGGCGTGTCGCATCGAATACTTCGTAGCAGCTAAAGCATACTCTTTATCGGGGGTATTAACTTTTCTGCTAGCAGAGCACTCGACGCTACGCTGTGTAGATAAATTTAACTAAATCTTGACAAAAAAAACTAAATATAAGCACAACAGTTTCGGATGTACCAAGACACGTTTCAAACGCATCGAAAAACTGTTGATTTGTCCAAACGGGGTGGGTTCACAACAACTAACAGCAACATAAACAATGAAAATTCAACTAATTTTGTGGTAAACTGGCCATCAAAAAAACTGATGCTGTTTTCCCTTCCCCACTTCAGATATAAGTTCGCTTCACTTTTGTCAGAGTCGACGTTTTGCAGGGTAGCTCCTTTTCCAAATGCTCTGTGGAGTTTTTGCACTCGTGACTCCGATCCTTTTCAAGATCCAGATTCGGTGTTTTCTGTGTTGTGGTATATGAATTCGAGTTGATTAACAAATTAATGTCCTTGCCGCTATTTGGATGCTTGAATTGTGAACTGTGGAACAAGAGAAACATAACAAACATTTTAGTTTGAGCCCAAATTTTTGCAGTTAGTTCTCATATAATTACATGGGCTTGCCAAAGTGATTGTGATGGCTGGCATCAAGTCGATTCTGGTTGCACCATTGCTTGATTCGAATGCCCGCAAAGCCGCCCAGAAAGAATGTTATCAGGAAGGCACATATGATCAACATTAAGGTGTAGCTTGTAATGGGCGATGCCGTCTGTAGCTCATTGACGACAGCAATTGACTTCTGGGGATCTACAAAATGGTGAGAAATTGAGATATATAATGTTGCAGTTGTTTTTGGATTGAGTTGAGCGCCACTCACCATGCAGATTGGTCATAACCTGCTCGGGATCCACAGATGCTTGCGGTATTTTATTCTCATCAATATAGTCATTTAGGTCAGCACCGCTGCCTGTTGGCTGCTGTTCCTGGCTGGGCTGCACCTCCGCTGGCGCACCACCCATGCTGGCGTAGTGGAGCTTTTGCACTTCCTCCATTTGTGATGGTGCCATGGTAACAATTACTGGATCCGCAGCAGTTTTCGGGCACAAAGATGCCGCTGCCTTTTTAGTCGTATTTAGACTCTGCAGATAGCTTTTGGTGCCGAACTTATGTTGACTGGCAGCCAAATTCTTGCACTCGTGCGTCTGCAGATCCCAGGCACAGTTCGGATCCTGCAAGCTCAAACAGCCCAGGCAGTCGACAATCAGCGAGCAGTGATGCAGTGGCACCGTCACCAGTCGCCCATCGCTCACCACAACGAGTGTGTTCTTCTTGGAGGAGATGACCAGTTCGCGCACTGGAGTGCCCAGCGGCAGAACCTGCATCTCGGAGATGACCACGGTGCGCAGGCGTTCGGTGCTGCCATTCTGATGCATTGTCACCGTATTGATGAACTTCGTCACTTTGCCGTCATCAGTGCCGCTGTAGACGACATCATATTTTTTGCCATTCAATGCGCGCACCTGCGGATCCACCGAAATCGCCGTCAGTCGGTGATGTAGATTCACCTTGGTCAGCAGCGGACGGCCGTGCACAGCAGGCACAGCTGTCTCCATTAGTGGATGATTCTTAATAAAGTTCACCGCAATGCTGGTCAGCGTGCGCGAATCATCCACACACTGGCCGGGACGTGGCTTGGGCACCTGTGTCTGCTCAACGGGCAGCCAGTGCGATTGTGAGTCCTTTTGCGACTTGAAGTCTCCATTAAAGGCGGCCAATATATCATCCACACGATAGGCGCACACCGCCGACCCGGGTATGGCATTCACCGAGGTTGTAAACACGGCATAAACCATTGCATTGGCGCCACTCTCCACAATCGGACTTATGGCCTCTATAAACGGAGAGAGAGAGAGAGAGAGAGAGAGAGAGAGATGCATGCCATGTTAATTGAATACTAAAACTGGAATTCCTTTTGACTAAATTTAGTATATGTGCTCAATCGGGGTGAGTCAAGGGAATGAATCTGTTAGTCATCACTTACGTATTTCATCAAAGTAGAATGGAAATTCGCCGGGCATCGAGCAATTGAGCCGCGCCTTGAGGAACGATGTCCAGCTCTTGCCGTGATTGTAGGGACCGCCACGATCATTCTTGCAGACACGACCCACACGCGAATAGACCGCCTTGCCAAAGTTCATGTACTCCATGGACAGTTCGCGGAAAAAGAAGAACACGTAGCCATTGCGCTGAATGGCGCCCACAAAATCCGGTTGATTGAGCTGCTTGAGATCGTATTGCTCGGTGCGCAGATTCTCGCGATAAATCAAGGGATCACCGCCAGAGAAATCGGCAACAGTGGCGCTATACAACTGCCCATCGGCAAAGGCGTAGGTGCTGTTGTGGGCGGGACTATATGGGCACAGGCCTTGCGCCTCCACATCTCGTGTTATCTCATAGCGCATGCTGTTGCCGCTGGAGCTGGAGCTGGTGACCGTCGCATCTGCTCCGTCCGATGCTGCCTGCTCGACGTTCGCATAGTGGCGACAACGTGGCTTGTACGAATTGGTGCCGCACAGCAGAAATTGTCCATCATTGAGTCGCGAGAAGACACGCAAATAGTTGTGGCAATCCCATTCGTGTTTGCCCTTCAGCATGCACAGCTCCCGATCCGCACCCGAACTGGGCCACACCAGGCGACTGTTCTCCTTCAATCCGCGCATGCTGATGTTGTAAAAGAAGTCCCTGCATATCGAGAGAGAAAGAGAGAGAGATCGAAAGAGAGCGATCATTTAGTTAGTTGTCAAGTTAATTGCCACAGTGGCCTGCTAATGAATCAAATTGCCCAGCCAAACAAAAAATAAATGAGGCGCGGGGAGATGAGAAGGGACTTGTAGAGAGAAGCACACGTTAAACATGCCAAACAGTTTGTCAAGGTTCTTCTCGCAAAAATAATTTGAGCTCATTCATACATTGTATAAATTGAGCACTCAAAATATGCAATTGCGCTTTTAATTGCCATCGTGTATTTTCATGCCATGTTCCCAGTTTATAACCCGAACAGAAACTAGAAAACACATCTACAAATTATTTCCTAGTTTTTATTCCATAAAATAATAAAACACATTGCTCTTGGCCTTAACGCTCTGTTTGAGTTGCGAGGGGTTATCTAAATTTAAACACAGCTTTTATAAATCTTTACTACTATAATTATGTTTTTTATATTATATTTGTATAGCTTGAATTATTTGCTGATTAATAATGTTTTTGTTTTTTAAAAAAAAGTGCAACTAAACTTGAAATTTTAAGTGATCCATAATTTTTATATTTATAGCAATAATTCGGGGTACATGAAAAATTGCACTTTTGCATGCTTCAATTCAGGCGAATGCTTGAACAGAATTATACGTAAAGTAAACAAGTTGTTGGTTCCACGAAATCGAATGAGAAATGCGAGATTTGCACTCGGTTGTTTGTATATCTAAACTGAACAAAATTAACACAAACTCAACAACAAAAATAGTTGCTAGGAGAATAAATAAAACCCTCGTAATATCAATGGCACGTTAATTATTCCGCGAATCGAACACATATTTTTCTTGCCGTGGTTTTTTTTTTTTGTAATAAATATTTAAGTTAGCTCGTGCCAATAAAAACAAGTATTTATGCATTCAGCTCAGGTGGAAAACAATTGATTATTTTGCTCATTCGCAAATGGCAATCGAGTGAAAACCTTAAGGCATTCAAAGTCCATATGCGCACACATACTTACAATCGAATAAGGAATCGTATACTTACTTGGCACCCACGAGAATATTCTCATCATCGTAGCCCAAAATCTTATAATAGTCCGTCGTGTTGCCAAAGAAACTCGCCGTCACTTTGTCTGCCTCTGCGAATACAAATAAAAGTCGTTTAATTTCGATTTCAATTGTTTCAAAATGGAAAGCACCTAGTTTATCAAGATTCATTTAATGGAAAATAAATGTTATTTAAGAGAGGAAATTATATTGGTATATTCTCTGAAGATCATTAGTTTGAGATTACCATCTTCTTCTATTCTATTTAATAAATTAAAGTTATTGAAACGAATTTTGTTAATATTATCGCAACAAGTTTGAAAATTGAGAGTAAAAAAACTATATATATATATTAAGTGAAGTAAATTACATTAAAACAGTGTTGAAAACAGCTCTTAAGCGAATTTTAACTGTAAATATGAGATTTTAAGTACAACTCGTGCGCTGTTCTTGTGTTAATTGTGCTGCGTTGCTGTAATAAACGCTGCCTTGACATTGAAGTGTACTTGTTAAATGTGAAATACATTTAAAAAACGATTTATATAATCGTTGGGCAGCTGTGCTTGAAAACATGCAGCAATTGGATTTTATAGCAAACATTTATGTCTGCAATTAGTTGGCCCATTTACTAAGTTGCTTCAGAGGAAACGCTAATTTGTTGCAAGCATTGCGAAAAATTGGGCGCGATAAGCAGCCGCTTGCTGTTGTTGTTGTTGCTGCTGCCGTTGTTATTGTTATTGTGGATTGGTGATAAAAACAGCAAACGGCAAACAAAAGAAACAACAGCAAAATAAACAACAAGTGGCACAACTAAACAACTACAACTACAGTAATAATAATAATAATAATAACAACAAGAAGAGCGACTGTGGCTTGTGGGCGACTTACTCGTTTGCAAATCGGGCCGCACATCGGGCATCCAAGCATTGGCAAGGCAGAGGCAGATACTGGGGCCGAGGAGGAACACCAACATATGCCGCGCGACAGCTGTTGTCGTTCTGGTTGTTGTTGCCCTCGCCCTGCTGTGGCTGCTGCTGATGCTGCGGCTGCTGATGCTGCGGCTGCTTTTGTTGTGTTGATATCTGCTACGGTCAGTAATTAGCATTGTTGCTGCTGCTGCTTTTGCTTTTGCTGTTGGCGATGAACGCTGAAGGTCTCTTGACGTGTTCTTTAGTTGTTGCAGCACAGCTAGAATTAAGTATTTTCAATTGACGTAGCGCACTTGAAAACTGTTGAGCCAGGCTTTTTTGCAATTCTGATGATTCAGCAGTGCGGCTGATAATGCTATTGCTATTGCTAGTGGTGGTGGTGGTGGTAGTGCTGGTCGTGCAGCTGCCACTGGCACACTCACAGACTGAGTGGCTCGCTAGCTGGCTGGCTGGCTGGCTCTGGTCGTGGCTGTGGCTGTCTACTGGTGCCAATGGGGCTGTCTCTGGCTTTGGCTCTTGCCTGACTCTCCGACTGGTTTTAATCACTGCAGTTTGTCATTTTGATTGCTGTCATTTTCGTGCCAGTTGTTTACTGCTTCTGCTGCATTCACTAACATTGCATTGCTGTTGTATATTATAATTTTCACTGCGTTTGCTTGATGATTTCTTTCGCTTCTTCTTCTTCGGTTTCTTTCTCAATGCTATTAGCTGATGTACTCAAAAGAAAACGCAAAACCTGCAATGAGATGAAAAAATGTTACGATTAGTTTTCTTGTATGTAAGGAATTTTAGTAGATCGGGTTTTGGTCAAGTGTTTGAGTTTCCCCAAGGAGTTTTCCATGGCGGAAAATAGGCTAATGGGTTACGCTTTGTTTTCGTGTTAACTTTCATCTTTTGTTTTTTTTTTTCTTCCTAGCCTGCCGAGTGTATTGAGCCATATCCGTAGATTTGGACTTTAAAGATAGCCACAAAGAGTTCGTTTATAAGAAACCTTATACGATTTTCAGTTATATAATACTTGACTTATAATTTAAGTAACATTTGAATATCTTTATCAGTAAATTATGTTGTAATTCTTGCACAAGTTAATAGTTCTTATTTGTAAATTACAACAGTATTTTATCATCATTATTGTGTAACACAAAATAGTTTTCACTCATTTGTTGCCTATTATTGTTACCAAATTTCTCTTGTGTAACAATGATCAAAACTTGTTTGATCGCATTTGTTAATGTGTTTGCGAATTCTTCACACGCACGCACACACACACACACACAGACACGCATACACAACTTTTTCACACTTTCTATGAAAATCGCTCTAAAATCGACTAAAAACCAAGCTGAACCGTACGTTGGGCGAACTCGTCGAACACTGACGCCGAGAGAACTGGTGAACACAACAAAATTGCCAAACAGAGCGGCGAACGGCAAACATAAAACGTAAGTAAAACAACAACAGCAATAGCAATAAAGGCAACAATATACAGCAGCTTATACGCCCACACACTAGAGAGAAATAGTTTTGAGAGCTGCTTAGTTTCGAGTACAGTTTTAGCAGCACTGCCCTCTCTAACGACTCTCTCTCTCTCTCTCTGTCTATGTGCAGTGCAGCACCCTTCTTGACATGTCACGCACTGTTTCACATCGTGTCCTGTGGTAATTTGTGTGATTCATTCTGTTTTGAGTTTTTCCCACTTTTTTTTAAATTTGTTTTGTTGGAAATCACGTGCGGTATTTTCCGTCGATTTCCCCGTGGCTTTCGGTATCTAATCAGCTATAGATACACAAGTTAGAGCATTTCAGGACGTGCTGTCCTGCAAAATATGTTTATCACACGTTTATTTCACACACACGCACACACACACACACTCACACACGCACACGTAATTTCCATGTGTGGGTCTTCTCAGGTTTTTTTTTCTTTTTCTTTAATGACGATCGCCGGAAATTTGTGCTACAGTTTCTCACGCCCCTGCACCGTGCACCGTTCACCGTTCATCGTGCGTCGCCTCTTGTCACAGTTGGACAACTTTTACCTACACGCTGCTGGCGGATGATCTTCAATAAATTGCTTTATTGGCCAATTGAAGGTCACACTTGCTGCGGCTGCTGCTGTTGTTGTTTATGTTGTTGGTTTGGTCAATGAATTTGGTGTCTGGTATCGTTTTTCCAGCTTGAAGGTTTTCAACAGCAGTGGTTGGTGGCAGGGGTCAAGTGATCCGCCGTCTGACTCTTGGCCCATTCCATTCCATTTGATGTCGGTTTTGTAATGTAATGTGTGTGCAAGTGTCGAAATTATGGGGGTCTACAATTGGCCTTAAGAATTTCTGTTTGTCAGACGCAAGAGAGAGAGAGAGAGGGTGGTTTCAGATCTACAACAGACGATAACTTTTCATTTTCGACGCTTTTCGTGTTCCGCCGGTCAACGAGCCGCGTCGACTCCAACAGATAGGTCAGTTCCCAACTACAGCTAAGAGAAACCTACGTGCTTAAAGATAGAAATGTAATTTTAAATTCTTAGCCAACGTGAAAGCATCTTTATAACGATCGACGAGGTACGATTTGTAATTGATGGTTTTAACTTTTTGGTTTTAAGTTGTATAGAAATGAAAATATGTCTTATTGCTGACTCCGATTTGAACATAAATTGATGTCTATTGTGAACGGCTTTGTTGTTGAGCTGCCCTCGTTATGATGCATATGTTGTACATATTATGAATACACATTATCAATTTTATATTTATGTTTGGCCCGGTCTCAAGTTTCACAAGTCGCATTTGGTTCAATGCCAGGAAGTGCGTTCTGCTTTTGCCAGACGACCAGTTGACCAGCAACAAATGCTGGCTCTGTGTGTGTGTGTGTGGCAATTAATTGATGAGCTCAACTTCCAGTTTGAGTTACCTTTAGCATCATCTATCTTTCTAGCTGTCTATCTATTTATGGATGGGGTACAGATGCTTTTGCCGCCGCTGCTTTTCACACTTTCCACAGGTTTCCCTCACTGATAAGCAGCAGACCGAGAGACTGCCTGTCTGTCAGTCTATCTGTATGTGTTGCACAGATAAGCCAAGTTGATCAAGATAACGGTGAAATGTATGTCACGTTTGTCGTTTGTCGTCTCCCAGCTCCATTTGCTGTGGGTAGCGTGAGCGTGACAACAGATAAGTGTGTAAGTTTGTACGTGCCCCAAAAGAAATTGATTTCTGCGTTTGGCTATTGGATACACTATACTCTCAAATACTATACATACTAGAGATTATTGGCTGGAAACCTGATGTTCGCATTATTTCTGCATGCAACCAGTTTGGCCAGTGGGCGTTCAGTTAGTCAATAATACTCGAAGTCAACAAGCCCAGATACGTTGTGACAACAACAACAGCAACACCTGTTGGCAGTTGGCACCTGTGCACAGAGTGCGGATTTGCCTTATAAAGTGATTCGTTAACCGTAGACAAAGTGACTCTGACTGGCTGGTTCGACGTCTATATCTGTATTTCTGGTAGCTGTTGCTTTTTGCAATCTTTATGCATATTTGTGTAGTATTTAGTAATTCATATTAGCTGATTTTAGTTAAGCTGAACGAACGACTTAGTTTATACGATGCCAAATTGATGAATATCATTAGTTTCATCATTGACTTTAAATATCTCAAGAACACACTGTTATATTCTTGACTAGAAGATACATCATTAGGCGCGTGCAAAGCCGAATATTACCTGCTGCTGATTAAAAAGTCTGTCAAATTAAGGCGCTGCTCTTGCAGAACACCATTTTCATATTCTTTTTTTTTTTTTTTAGACATATATCGTTTAGTTTTAACACCACTATTATTAAATACTTCTATTAGCTTCTTAATCGACTTAAGGACTGAGCTCCAAGCCAGAATCATTACTTCTTCTCTATCTATTCTGTATTCTACATATATGTATGTGTATATTGTATATAATGACTATATAATCATATGGTTTAATTAAAATACCGCTCGTTGATTTTGTTGCTGTTGCTGTTGTTGTCTTGTTGTTTATTATACTATGCTTTGTGTGCTGCTCTTTTCATTGGGCTTCTTATCATTAGTGTTCAGTTCAATGCACTTTGAAGTCTTCCACTTTGCTTTTCACTTCACTTCTTATCCACGGAGTAATCGCGTGCAACTGACTCCAACTGGCAACTGCTGCTGCTTCTGTTGCTGCCAACTATCGCTTTACTTCCGATTTGTATTCCAACTCCTCCTACATGATTCACTTAGATACAATCACACACACACACACACACACATATATATATATTTAAACCAGTTTAATCAACAGGCAATGCTCAGTTTTTTCCAGCGGAAGCGCAGATGATTCACAAGTGTAACAAACAAATGAGTTCCACACAATTTGTGAATCAATAAATATAGTTTTTTCTTTCTTTAATAGCCATAGTAACAAATAAGGCGCGACAAGTTTTTCATTCATTCACAAAACTAAAAAGCATTATTATTAAAGCGCGTAAAATGAGCGTGGGAGTTTCTAATTTGAAGTTAAAACATGCGCGCTTAAATCAACAAACAACAATCAACAAATACGTATTATATATACATATATATATATACGCAGTTGCATTCAATTCCCATTAAAAAAACGGGGCGGGGTGCGGGGAGTGGTGCGTGTGTGCTTTTGAGGTTAAGTGTCGCGTTCCACTTTTGGGCTGCTGTCGCCTTTGTCACTTTGACTCTTAAGCTTTGCATCGAACTTTCATATTGTTGTTTTTCAATTTTTGGGGCGTTGTTACTGCTGTCACTGTTGCATTTGAAATTGGAGTCACTTTACCGTTAGTAGTCAATATGCGTTTGCAGCTACAAACTAAAAACTAAACAAAAAACACTTTGTAGAACGACGCGAATTGATTATGCCACTAATTTATTAGATTTTCTACTCGCACAGCACAGCACAGTTCGGCTCAGCTCAGCTCAGCTAGAAGCTAACTCGTTTTTGTGCTGCTGCCTTTTACAGTTCTTGGCCAGACAAGACACTAACACTTTGGCCACCGCCTCGACCACTGTTTAGAGAACTAGTCGAGGGGTCGGGTGGGGGGACGGGGGTCTGTAGAAACAAGTCCACAAATTCACCTGTAGCTGTTGTATAGCGAGTCATTTATTTTTTATTTTATTCCTTTTTATGTTATCTCTTTCTCGTTCTCTCTCACTGCTGATCGCGAGCCACTTCAGCACTCGACTGCTGCTTGCTGCTGCTGTTTACAGCATTACACACATACACACACTCACTCACATACACTCGCGCACGCCTAAAATTTATGTATTTTCTTGTCTTACTCGTTTTTAAGCTTATGCTTCATGTTTGGTTTGTATGTTTACATGTGTGTGCGTGTGTGTATAGGTGTACACGTTTGTATATATGTGTGTGCATAAATTAAAAGAGAGAAAAACACACGTCTGTACACAATAAAAACCTGTTTGTTACTTCGTCGCTAGTTGTGGGTAAATAAAACTCGGCGCGGGGGTTGCAGTTGGGTACGCTTGAGTTGTTGGCTTCTGGCCGTAGTTTTTTTTTTTTGTGTGTAGTAAATGCAACAGCAACCACAATTTAGCTTTGATTTGAAACACATTGTTTCGCACTTCAAACTCACAATTTAGTTATGCGTTTTGGGCATATTTGTGCTGAGCATCTTTGTGCAGCCACTGGACTCACCAAAATTCATAAAAAATGTACAAATAATGATCAAATTAAGCGAAAAACACGAACTTCTAAAAAAGTATACTCTTTACACTTCGGCGGCCATTTTGCTTTGGCTTGTTTGGTATACGTCTAGCGATGGCCCTGGCACCGATACCACTGCACATCGTTATCTAAATTTTACAAAGTTGGCATGCCTTCAACTAACTACAAAATATATGGTCACATTGTATATGATGCGATGTATCGATATTAGCGGCTCAGTCACCCCCGCAGAATAACACCGATAATGGGAGGTGTAAAGTTATTTACATTAAAATGAAGAATTCTAATCAATAAAGTGCAAAAAATTGACAACAAATACAAAAACATCGTACCCAAAATGGCAACAAAGTAAGTGCATACAATTATTTAACGAAAACATAAAAATTATGTACAACTGCCGTTAATTTTTCCTGCTTGGATCCCTGTATGCAGGTATTTCGTCTGTGTGTGCGTGTGCGTGGGTGTACGTGTGTATTTGTATGTCCATGTATCGTGGGTGTATGTGAGGGTATTTTATTGTGTTTGTTTTGAGTTGCAGCCTTTACACACACGCACACACACACACACGAACAAACGACTCGCTATCAAAGTGAAGCCTAACAATAAACTGCTGATAAGCATATGCAATATGTATATCAGTATAAATGCTCCTCCTTTGTATGACACAGTGGTACAAGAGTTGTGTTCTTGTGTAAACTTGTAGTAAAAGGAGATAAAAATTAAAACATGAGAAAAAAAAACTGCATCTTTGATTTATAATGTTGAATTTAAACTGCTGATAGATGCTCCTCGTATATAAAACTTGTTGGAAAAAGTGATTAAAGAAATGTAAAAAATAATTGTGATTTTTTTGTGTAATCATTCCGAATAGTTGGAAATTCCATTTAGTGAGCACCCACAGTACTTAACATAACTATTGGTTAGGAAATACTTTTATCGAACAGGTTCCACATGTTATAAATAAAATATCTCTTTTGATGTAATCATTTGTGGAACCTAAAACTAGTTTGTCTTGATACAATATTGGCGTTAACAAAAATAACCTTAGTTTGTATAAGTTAGTTGCTTTTGTGACTTGCCTGACAATGTTTAAAGCGGTAAGTTTGTTTTCGGTTAACAAGATCAGTGATTATCTCTTCATTTGTAAACAGTTGCTAGTCCTTCTATTTGTCAACTTGGCATTGGCGGCGCCTGCCATTTTTGTGCCGCGTATCAGTGTAGAGGATGAAAATCAATTTGGCTGGAAGCTGGAACCGCACGATGACCGTTATGAACTAGAGTAGGTTTCCCTTAATAAAGAAGGTTTGCCTTCAAAATCATCCTGACCTTGAAAATTTCGTTTGATCGCATAGCGTGCTGCTGAATGAAGCCACGCGTGTGGAGACCGTGCAGGAGATTTCACTCGACGAGCTCCAGGTGAATGGGCGACTCTATCAATTTTACCCTGATAATAATGGGAAACTGCATGTCACCTATAAAGCAGATCGCAATGGTTATGTTGCCAAGTATCAGTATGGAACACTCGATTCCGGATCTATCACACCACAGAGTCTGCCCGCATCAATTCTTAAGGCAGCAGCTGGCTGAGTACAATGTTCCCGCTAAAATGCGAAAACGAATTCCAGTTTAAAGAAGTTCGAAGTTTCTTGTTTTGTTTGTTTGTTTTGCTAAAGTTGCTACTTGTATAGGTTTTTCAAATCCGAAGATAATAAAAAAAAGTTGCTAAAATAAATAATGATCTAAAATTAAAACTCAATGACGATTCTAATCTCTGAAGTTTCATTGCAAATTGTAAATGCTGTATAGCTGCGTACACCTCAAAATCTTACGAAACCTTGTCATCGGTAGTAATTACTTTGAGAGATAATTATGAACTTGACGTTGGTAAATATAAATAAATCCCAAGGTTAGTCATCACGTGTCAATGTTTAACAAACCATGCTAGTAAGCGATTAATTATTTCTTTTTGTGTGAATTTGCCAAGACAACTAATTCAGTTATTACTTTTAATAACGGCTCGCTGGGAGGATGCATTGTTGTCAATGGTTTCCCATTTGAATACTAGTATTTTCTTTGTTAAATCACACCAGTCATCGATCGATTCAAAACTGGTTTTGAGCACCAATTTTTGGTCTTTTAAAAATACGAAGCTAGCACTCTGACAAACTCAGTTGCTAATGAGGGTTCTCTAGGTACAAATCTACTAAAAATCAAAAGAAAACTAATGTTGAAAGCGGTGAGTTAGAGAAATATGTTGAATGATTCCAATTAAATACTATACGTAAATGTTTAGTGGGTTCTTGTGCTGTTCGCCAACTTTGTGCTTGTGACTCCCGCAACGCTTGTGCCGCGCATCAGCAACGCAAATGGCTTCCAACTGAAGCCGGGAAATGATCAGTATACATTAAGGTAATCCTCAGTTCAACTCTTAGATCCCGGATTAATTTAAGTGACTCTTGCTCGCACAGCATTCGGCATCCAGATGGGAAGAGTTCGCGGGAGGAGACTGTCAAGGAGATTGCACCCGGCATCCTGGAGGTGAGGGGTGCACTCAATCAGCATTTCGAGAACCAGGGCAATCTTGTGGTCATCTACGAGGCGGGGCCCAATGGATATGTGGCCAAGTATATCTATAAGGGTGCAGGCAAAAAAGAAGAGCCCATGTTTCAATTTGCACTTAGTGCAACAGTTCTAAAGTCAACAGCTGGTTAAATTTATATGTAAATAGTGTTCAATTAAATAAATTAATAATTAGTGATATTTACACTGCCCATCTTTATTCCTAAAAGTATGCCTTACTAATTAAACTAGCAAAGATGCTGTGTGTCGATGTCGAATTTCAAATTGATTCTAACATTGAAAGTACATTTTATCTTACAAATTAAATCTAATCATATTAAACTTCCCAATCGCTCTTTGAACTGTTATCGGTATCAAACTTGGCATTGGTAGTAATCACCTTTAGAGATAATTACGTGCTTGACATTGTCAAATAAAGCCGGCAGCATTCCCACGGTTAGTTATCACGTGTCAATGTTTTTGTTTTACAAATAATGCTTGTAAGCAATTAATGGTTTCTGTTTTGGTGTGAATAAATTTAAATTGAATTAAGTCAGTTATTGATCTTAATAACGGTTCGCCGGCAGAATCCTAGTCGTCATCACTTTCCAATAAGAATTCTAGTGCTTGTTTTGTTATTGTGTCATACCAGTTATCAGTCGATTCAAAACTTGTTTCCAATCACCGTCTTTTAAATATGTGAAGTTGGCACACTCACAAAGTCAGTTGCCAATGAGGCATTTCTAGTTGCAAACCTGCTAAAAATCAAAACGAAAACAATGTTGAAGCCGGTGAGTTAAAAAAATACGTTGAATGAGTCCAATTAAAAACTATACGTAAATCTTTAGTGGATTCTTGTGCTGTTCGCCAACTTTGTGCTTGTGACTCCCGCAACGCTTGTGCCGCGCATCAACAACGCAAATGGCTTTCAACTTGAGCCGGGCAATAATCAGTATATAATAAGGTAATCCTCAGTTCAACTCTTAGATTCAGGATTAATTAAAGTGACTCTCTTGCTCGCACAGCATTCGGCCTCCAGATAAGAAGAGTTTGCGAGAGGAGATTGTCAAGGAGATTGCACCCGGCATCCTGGAGGTGAAGGGTGTACTCATTCAGCAGTTTGAGAAGGGGAAGCTTGTGGTCATCTACGAGGCGGGGCCCAATGGATATGTGGCCAAGTATAAATTTGCCGAAACTAAAACCGATAAAGGAGGGCCGATTTATGTAGTTGAACTAAGTCCTGCGTTTTTAAAATCGAGTGCCGGTTAAATGTATATGTAAACAGTGTTTAATCGAATAAACTGCAAAGTTGTGCTACTAATTTAACCGTTGCTATATATGTTGAAGCCGAATTTACGCACACGCACACACACACACTACATTTTAGTTTGCGAATTGAAGGTAATTTGATTAAGCCTCTCCCGCTCTCTGTCGCTCTTACTCTTACTCTGCCGACAATCGATATTGCAGCGCTCTGTGAGCACTTCACTTAATTTCTCTGTTATCGATAGCAATTGGCGCTGCTCAGATGACATTCAAACTGTTAACGCTTGATTTGACTGCGTAAAGTGATATTAGCTGAAGCGTTACGCTGCGCTGCGCTGCTCTGCTAAATCAACGTCGTAATAAGTGGCGATTTCACCTCGCGTCGCCTTCGCATCCCCCCGACGACCATGCACCGCTCGAAGCGTGAGCAAATTTTGAAACAATGCTGCGCTGCTGTTCGACACCTCATATCATAGGTGTGTATTTATTTATCAGCCAGACAGCTGGCATTTCAGTTCAGTTGACTGTTGACTGAGTTATCAACGCGGCAAATTTAGGGAAGCGATAAGCCGCCACGATGCTTCTTTTCACTTTAACTATAGCCAATAATTGCTAGACTAGAATCAGTTTACCCTCTTCCGAAATGTTCAAAGAGTGGCGCAAGCCGAACCATAAACGCTGGCAGCCGCAGCAGCAGCAACGACAACAGAAGCTGCAACAGCTGCGACGTCAAATGCTCGACAGGTGGCTCTCTCTGGCAATGCCTCTAAAACTGTAAATGATGTTATAATTAATGCGTTCTCAAATTGTTTTTCTTTTTTGACAGAGAGACGATGATTGTGTTTGTGTATGACACGGAGTGTCTGCAGGACGAAGCTGATGATCCGATTGCCGCTGTGCTGTACTTTCATCCCAGCTGGGTGTCGGACACCCAAAAGGTGGCACTCTGTGGCCAGCTGATGGGCACATCGTATTTCCTCAAGGACTGCTTCTTCAAGCCTCGCATTCTGGCTCTGCAGAATGGTAAATTTGTGCTCAAGGAATTTGGACGTTTCGTTTTGGTAAGTTGGCTAAGCTGACAAATCATCTTTATTGCAGTTATGATTGATTCTGTTTTCCTATAGGCTGTGGGCACAGATCGAAATATTGCTGATCAGCTGCTGGAACATCGTGCGAATCTCTTGAGCTCACTCCTTAAGTTCTTCCATCGCGACTTGCAGTCGCTGCACGATCAGTATGCACAGCCCGCCCAGCAGCACAGTCGTAATCTCAGCGAGAAACTATATCACATATTCGAGACATATCTGCCGATGCTGCAGCGCAACGGTAACACATTCCAGAATGTGCCCAAGCTGCGCATGCCCAAGGTGAGAGTGCATTGAATGCGATCGCGCATGAAAGTATTAAATGTTAACTACCGTTTCAAACCACAGACCGCCAGTCACATCTATCTGGAGGCCATACAGACGCTGCAAAGCTGCCAGCAAACAAAGGGCATACTTGGCGGCGCCATACTCTATCACAACAAGTAAGTCGCCAGAGTAAACAAATCTGTTGAAATCAAGCTGATCTTTGTCGACTTTCTTTCAGAGTGGTTGCCTCCCAGCTGGGCGATGTGGTGACCAAGCAATTGGTGCTGACAGATCCACGACATGTGCGCACCACCGCCGAGCAGCTAAACATGCAACAGTTTCACATTCCCAATGGCGTGCAGATGCTGGTGGTTTATGTGGATCATCAGCAGTATCGCAAATTGGCCGCCGAGGCGCAGCGGGCACAGAATCTTCAGACGACAACAACGCAGCTGGGACAAAGTTCGCTGCCATTTCAATATGCCAAGCGGAAGCTAAAGCGTGACAAGTCGCTGATCTTTACCCATATACCCGAGGAAGAGCATGCGACGACGACGGATACGCCGGGCAAGGTGGAGCTGCCGACGGCGCGGCCAAAGTCGATGCGGCCAACTCATTTGCCTCTCCGCTTGAAGAGTCTGCATAGCAAGGATCTGCCGGAATCGGGCATTGCTTCGATTAACTTCGATGAGACCGACTCGTATCCGGAGTTCATTGGACGTACGAGTGTCTGTAACACTCCCATGACAGAGAATAAGGTGCTGCCGGTAGCAAGTGTCATGTCTATATGCGCCAATCCCGAGGATCAGGAAGCCGATGCACACAACTCGAATGGCAAGCCGGCGATGGCGTCATCGTCGTCTCGTCGCAACTCTCTCAAGCTGGATGTGGAGAAGTTCTTTCAGAACTTTATCAGTAATCCGCATAAGCAGCTGACGCGTCGCAAATCGTCGGCGGATTTACAGGATGCACTGCGTGCCATATCAAAAAAGTTGGGCCACATCACAGACGGCTTCAAGACGGATGTGAATCGCAATGGCACCGGCACCGGTAACGGGATTGTCGGCGCCAGCAGCGAATCCTCGCCGGACTATATAGAGAGCGAGGAGCGGATCAGTTCGCGCACCATTAGCGATCCCACCTATCCGGTTTTCAATGCCAACGGTCAGCAGATCTCGCGCAGCCTTTTCCAGCAGTTCCTCGAACAGTACCGTAAGCTGTGGGGCGCTGCCAGCGAGCAGGCCGCACAGGATGCTGAACTGGCGGCGCTAGTTGCCGAATTCCAGGAGTTCAACATGGAGATCCAAAAGCTGGACGAACACATGCGACAGCAGGCAGCAACCTCAGCAGAAGCTGCAGATCGCAATTTGAATATAGCAACTGTCAAGACGCCGCTGGACAAACGCTCCATGTGTCTGCCATTAAAGTCAGCCGGTGACAATGTGGACACCACTGTTGGTCAGCGTAGTCGTAATGGTGGAAGTGGAGTTCCCCTAACACCACTGATGGCCAAGCTTTCAGTGCTGGCGCTGAACGAGGCGACACCCATTGAGATTCAGACACCGTTGACCAGCAGCAAGGTGTTTCCACGTCGCAGATCTCTAAATTGCGAGGATGCTGTCGATGCACTAGCTGCATTCAGTGCTCCGCCACCACCCATTGCCTCTGCACCGGTGGATGGACTGCAGCGCACAGAGCTCTATGTGTGCGGACAGCAGAATATGACGTTGCTGCTGCTCATGGAGGAGGGTGCCTGTTTTCAGCAGCCCATTGTGCAAAAGATGGTAAGCCATCGTGAGCAATTTGAATCCTCTAGAAACTGTCTCTAATCTTTTGCTTCCCTTCGGCAGTTCGACATTTGCGTGGCGAAATTTCCGCACATGGAATCGCAGTTGAATCAAACACTGAATGTGAATGTGGAGGGCGATAAGCGCGATGGCAGCAACTATAGCTTCATGTGCATAGATGCCAAGTGGGATGCACTGCAGCGCAACGGGCCATGGAATCCGCTCGAGCTGAGCACACTCGAGAGCATGCACTGCGATATGCAGCAGCCAAGCGGCCAGCTCACCGACTTAATACTGCGGTAAGTCTTCGAAATAGCTGCCAATTATGATATGTGAATTGAACTCGATGATTTTTATAGTTCGCATGACTCGGTGTTTTATGGGTACAAGTGCGGACGCACCGAGTTCTTCTACAAGGAGCCCACACATCAGATTAATGGCATACCACCGCCCTCGGATCCCATTGGCAATATCCAAATGCGTGCCAAGTCGCGCCTGGAACGGGATCATTCCTACATGCTATTGTAGACGACACAGAATAATCAATTACATACAAGAATACTCGCATGCTTAGCCAAAAATGAAAAAAAAAGAAGATAAAATACACATAAAGTGTCCAGATGTTATATATGTATATGTATATGGGGGAAGCAACCCCAATGCCAGTTTTATGCCATCCGTTCTAACTGTAACTTACTTTGCCATCTCAGTCTGTGCTGAAACCAGCTGCAATTAACGCAATGAATTCAAAAATTGATCAATTGCAGCTCGTTTGAGCACAGCACATATTTTAAACATAAGCTAAATGCGCAGCTTTTAGCCAAATATTATGTATATTATTTACATTTTGTTTTGCTCCATTCGTGTTAAGTACAAATTCTTTAAATAATTGTTTTAAACTTTACTATATATATATATATATATATATATATATATATCTATATGTGTATGCCCTCCACTGTTGTTTAATTTTAGTTCCATAACATTTTTGTATGATTGTATGCCAAAAGAATTTGAAACATTTGCACTGGGATAGTAAAAACTATTTGTTAAATTTGGATTAGAAATTAACTTTGAAATAATTCTCAGTGCGAACGATATTTACTGTATGGACTTATTTACAGTTCGTTTAGCGCATAGTGCCAATTTATGCAATGCAAAAGCCGTCAATGTGTTTAGAAATACTTAAATGTATAAATATATATATATAAATATGATATGTTTATTGGCATGTATTTAGAGTTGCCGCCGATGCAGTTTGAATAGTACTGTGCAACTGCAGCCGCAAATTAGGAAAGTGTGCAATATCCAACATAAAAATGAAATATTTTACGAGTTTATTCGTCGATTTTAGCCCAAATATGAATAAAAATAAACAGCATACTTTATATAAATATACAAAACAAAGCAAAAAAAAACCCAAAAAATGAGAAAAAAAATATATCAGACCCCGATAAATATTTGAGTATTTGTGTATACGTTTTTAAAAATATCAAAAATAAAAGTACACGTATTCCATAAAATACTCGTATGTGAAACCTTTATTTTGCTGTCACTCAATGAAGCATCGAATTGCATCGTCTGAGAACTTTTTGGACACCAATCGCGATGGTGAGTTAGTGCCGATAAATCGCACGGTTTTGCGATTTGTCTTTTATTGACAATTGCTTTATAAATAAATTTTTATCTGTTTTTTTTTTTTTGGATTTTCCGAAATTATATTTGCTTTTTTTGTACAGGCCTATTCGAGAGGATTTCCGCTGAGGCATTCGACTGTAAGGCGAGTGCAACCGGATGTGATGCCATTATGTGGCAAGGTTGGTCGCTACACTAACAAGATGCATTACATCAAGAAGTATTTCCTGAGGGAATTGCAGCAACAGCAGTTCGCCATTGACTTCATGAAACCTGTGGACACGGAGCTGCTGAATGTGCCCACCTACTATAACGTAATAAAGAGGCCAATGGATTTGGGCACCATTATACAGAGGCTGGACAATAGATACTATCAAACGGTGGATGAACTAATTGACGATGTCAAATTAATCATCTACAATTGTTACACCTTCAATCGACCAGATGCACACGTCTATCGGAACTGTCAGAGACTGGAAACATTTTTGCAGAATGTGCTCGCCAAACTTCCGGGTGGTGAGGAGGTACTCTCCACCAAGGGTAGGTGCGAGAAGTCCGTATGCAAGCGTCAGTGCAATCAACGGTTACTCGCTCTTGAGGATGACACAGTGCAGCTCGAATCGGATGCTCAGCATTTCTTTCACAAAAAGTGGTTGGCTTTGTGTGAAGATTTGAGCGAGAATAACATCGGATCGCTGGACGACTTTGATACACAACTTGCAAGCTTGCTTAAGCAGTGTCAGGATCAGGCAAATTGCATCCAGAAAACATTCATTCAGCGCAATGTGGAGGACGAGATGGACACTCCGGCTAATGGGTACAGAACTGAGGAACGAGAGCTGCAATGCTCGAAGCCAGAGTTCAATTGGGAGGATAGTCTGATCGATGCTCTCGACAATACGAGCATTTGCCTCAAAAAGGATATGGTCCGAGCACGCCTGCATTACAGAACGGCTAAGCCGACATACAGTAAGATACTGCTGCCGATGTTCGCCAATGCTCAAGTGATCAGTGAAGAGCTCTGCTCCCAGACGATTCTGAGCGACTCCGATGAGGAGACAGACGATTCGCAGCAGCATTTTGCAAGCGAAGAGGAACGTCTGGCCATTCAGCAACGCTACTATCTGCTATCTCCGGAGTCGAAGATTGCCATTATCCACATGATTGAGCAATCTGATAAAAGTTTTCCGAGTAATAGCGACCAAAAATTCAATATTTTGTTTTTTAAACCGGAAACGGTGCGCCTCATAAGGAAGGCCATAGATGATGCCGTGCGCGTTGAAACCACACAAGTGGGTTTTCCAACGACCACGCAGCAAATGGCCATTGCTAGCAACAAGGCTGGAGACGAACGCTCTGAACAGCAGCAGCAGCAGCAGCAGCAGCAGCAGCAGCAGCATCAGCAGGAATTGTCTTCAACCGATTTTCCTCGCTCGTTTGTCGACTATGCTGGGGAATGTGAGCAGGCAGTGGATACAAAAGATTATCCTTGGTTGCCCGATGACGAGGTAAGCGAAGAATGTGACGAGGAATGTTCCGAGCAGTTGCAGCAGGCAGTAACTCCAATGAAAAATCCTTGTAGTCCCTTAGGGCATAGGGCACAGCAGAGATCGGATAGCTTGCCCGGTAGCATCAAGGATCGAGGCAATATTTGTGAAGCCTATACAAAAAGCTGCATTAAGGATAATCTGTGCAAGTAGCGCACATATTATGATTGACTAATTTTTCATCATTTCAATAAGAATTATGACCAATATATAAATATATACTCATAGGTTAAAAATGATTGATTTGATTTATTTCGCATTCACTTCGAATTTGGTTTTGTATGCAATTTTCTTTTCTTGTACTTAATATTAAACTTCACTACAGCTGCTTCATGTTTAATTCTTATCAAAAAATCTTTTTTGTTTTGTTTGTTTGTTTTTGCTTTGAATGATAATGTGTGTGTGTGTGTGTGTGTGTGGGGGAGCTTAAATCTTCTAAAAATTGTAAACTTATTGGGTACCACAATGAAATAATTCTCAAGCGTTTTGTTTGCCAATCTATGCGTACTTTTCTAAGTTAACTTATCTCGTCGAACAAAATCTAATTTAAATATAAGCATATATTAGATAAATCACACAACAATCTTTATCTTTGCTGCACTTTGCACTCTCACTAACTTCGTTGTAGGCGGCTAAAAACTATATGGATTATATCTATTTTATATATGTAAGTAAATATAATATATATATATATATATATATATATATATGTGGATGTATGTGTGGTATATGGGTGTGTTGTAGTATGATTAACATTCTTGCCGTTTCTTCATTTTAGCACATTTTGACTACTAAGCTTAGTAATTAACCCGTTGTTGCCGTTGATTATATATTTGTATATAATTGTAATCTCTGATTCGCCACAACCGACTATGCCACAATATGACTATTCTTGTTCAGATCCGTAAGTAATTCGGCATCCAAATCTTCTGCCTCCAGCAAATCGCCATTGAGCGAATGTGGTATGCTTGTGGACAGAACCATGCCGCGTCCACCGCTGTTTGTACCAATCGATACATCATCCGGTGGCGAATTGAGACGACGCTCTCGCTCCCTCACTATATGTGGCGCCTCATTGAACTCGTCCAGCTCATCCATGCCTGAGAGAGTAGTAATTAAAAATATAGTCATATAGTGAAGGGCAAACACTTGACTCGACTGTTAGTTGGACTCACCTGCATATTTGGTGCCCGCTAACAGAAGATATTGCCCGGCACGATTGGGCCACAGCAGTCCGGTCATGACACAGTAGGCCATGCAATCAGCGGAATTGGTGATGCCCTGCAGCAGTTTGTAGCGCCACATGGGACTCACTTGCAGCGCAACAATTGCGACAATCGGCAAGTAGATGAACCACACCAAACTGGACGCACCCAAGTGCAATAAAAAGTCCAGCTTCTTGCTCGAATGCTCATACTTCATTGTATTGCGCAGCTCGTACAAAAACCACATCATAAACGAGGTGCTGCTCAGAAATTGATTAAATTAGAGTCAGATATAAGGATTAAATTAATATATCTACCGCAAAATTAAAACAATCCAGCCGGGCCAGGATTGGTATTCATCACTGTCTGATATAATATCCACCTCCGTCTGCAAAAGGCAAAACATTTATAAATCATATATATATTCTCTTGGCTGGCACTTCAACTTACCCGATCCCAAATGTAGAGAAACACATGGAACGCACAGTATGGCACCCAAATTGACATCAATATGATCCAGCCGGTGCGACTGATTTGCTGCCGGGTCACTGCCCAACCCTTGGCCAGCAGCAGTAGGATCAGCATAAATGTGGTGCGACTGAGTATGTCCAGCACATCACCGGCAGCTTGCATATTCGGCTCACCCTCACCATTCGCTGCATAGCGGATGAGATGGGCTGTGATCAGAGCCAGACTCACAAACTCACTGAGCAGACTGAGCGTGAATAGTTTGGTCACTGGATGCTTCTGGTGACGCACCGCATAGATCTGCATGGGCAGCAACACAATGTAGACCAGCATGAAAATCAAATACATTTCGAGCAGATTTTGCTGATCGTACGGATACTGAAAGGTCAGCGGATGTGCCACCGAATTGTTTGGATGCACATTCACCAGATTGATGTCATACTGCAGCGTGGCCAGCAGGCTGCTGCTCCGATTGCTCAGCCGTGCCAGCTGCTCGTGGGCGTGCCAGGCGCAGGTGCTGCGATTGCGATAACAGGCCACCAGTGCCACATACCAGAAGCTAAAAGGACAAGCGAAAAAGTTATTCATAATTCGATTGTTCAATTGTGCTTAAGAGATTATACAGTGCAAACAAATCAAAATCTCAAGTAGCGAAATATCAGACTGAAGTCTGCGTTTCCGCTTATTGTTTATGAACTCATCAGTAAATGTATTGTTTAATGGCTTATCAGTTAAGTGATAGGCAGCTGATAACTGTGTGTGCCACTTACCGTGGCTCCCCCTCCAGGTCAATGACATAGGTGAACTGATGTCCGCCGATAACATTCGAGGGCGCATCCTCGTCGACGCACAGCTGGCCCGCTGGGCAGGGCACACGACGCAGAAAGTCGCGTTTGCCTTGGGGATTGCAGTCGGGATCGTAGACGATGTGCTGCAGGTGCGAGAACATACGAGAACAGGCAATCTCCCGGTCACGATAGCTACGATTGCTGTAGAAGTCGACGAACGTCGACTTGTCGAGGACGACGAGCGTGACGGGTGCACTGTATACGTCCCGTGACGTCACATTGCCATAGATATAGCCATAGGATGGGAGGCTGCGCGGCGCGGGCGGATCAGCCTTCTGGAAACCGAACTTTGCGAGGAACTGAAAGAAGTCCGCCGTGTGGAATTCGCCGCTGATGTGCGTTGCCGTTGCATGCGGCAGTTGCAACTGCAATTGCAGTGTCAACACTACGATTAGCAGTAGCCATTGTATGCGGGGCGAAGTGTGGGAGGCGGGGGTGGCTGCTGCTGTAGCAGTTGATGATAAAGATGCTGCGCACTTTTCGGATCTTATCACCAGATTTGTTGTTGTTGTTGTTGTCGCTATTCGGTTACCAGCATTACAGCTTCCGTGCGAGGTTGTTGCTGCAGCTGCTGCTTGCGTGGCAGCTAAAGTTGCATTACAATGCCAAGGTGGCGCACTTTTGTGCATTCTGTGCGAATTTGTTGGCTATTTTTGTTTTGTGGAAATTTCCACCTTCCGCTCACTTTTTGCTCCGCTTCTGCTTCTTCTTCTCGCTGAGTGGTTTTCCATGGGAGCTGTGGTCACCCCAAGAATTTAACATTTGCTGTTAAGCAACGCGCACAAATCTGCTCTGGACAAGTGCCCAATAAACGTTGTTATCAATTTTTCTAAGGAAATCTAAATATGTAATTGCTTAATAAATGCATTTGAAGGCAACACATTTATAAAAAATGATTACTAAACTGCACATGAGTTGAAAAACAGGCGACTGGCTGTATAAGCGCAATTTAACAGCTGTTTAGTAACTGTTATTTAGAAATGTTAACAGTGCAGAGCTCGAATCACGATAGAGGGCGTTTTGTGTGTGGTGAAAAAACTGATTTGAAATGCAATTTTTAAAATCTAACGTCTTTGCTTATGCAGAACGATTTTGCCACATATATTTTGGTTTTTCTTTTTTCTGAATAGTGCTTATAACAATACACAAAATGCTGACTTAATATGCGATTATGGAACAATCAAGGTCATCAGTGAGTGGAGTGATGAATTGCTTCCTTTCAAATGGGCGCATTAACCACAGGCACAGAATCCCCACCCTTTCCCCATGCCTTACACGCAATTCAACAATAAATTTCAATAATTCCAAAATTTATGCGGAAAAGAAGGATGATGATTCCACTACCCTTTGGCGTTTCCTGCAAACGGACTAGCTTCAAAGTCTACAGTGTCCGGAATTAGGTATGTATTGTATATTCTCAGCCCGAACTCCACCCCCAATTTATCCAATGCATCCCCTAATCATAAATATACGACGTACATATATGTCTATAATGCATGCGTCGGTGGCGACAATCCCCACGTGACGTGGATTGCGGTTGCCATTGATGCTGGCAAAACAAAGTCGGAGTTCTGCCAAGGTGCAAAAGAGCTTTGCACGCTGACAATTCCTTTGAGCTTTGATTGTGCCAAGGGGTGGAGTTTTCCTGTTTGGCAGAGGGGCAAAGTATGGGTTTTGATCTCCGTTTTTTTTTTTGCATAAAAATATTAAAAAATCTGCTGTATTTGGTGGCGCATTTAAATGTAGATTTTCTATTGTGTGCCCTTCAAACAAGGGTTGTTAAAGTCGGATTTTGTGTGAAGGGATTTGAAATGCGTTGAGTAGTGTTTGTCTTTGCTCTCACTTCTCCTGCCACTGCTGCCCCTTTGTTGACCTAAATCTTCATTGGAGTTTCTTGTTCATCTGAAATCCATTATTGATGACATGACAGAAAATGTATACGGAAAACTTAACTGGCATTCGCCTTTTGTTGACAATTACAGTTCGGGTTCACTCATATGTGCGAAAATATGTAACAAACAAAAATCCTGACAAGTGTACGGAATGTGCTCGAGGGTAGCTTGTAAAGTTTAACCGCGCACAGCTAGTTAACTTCACGAATGGTTGGAACGACCCTTGATGACCCGAATGCGAAATAAACAATTGAATGGGCAAAATAAGTTGGCACTACAAATTATTTGGCTCCGAAAACGGATAACAAATATTAAATACGATATACGATGTTGTTGTGCCTCATAAAAATCGGCAAGGTTTGCAAAAAAAAGAGAGAAAAACACAAGAGTCAACTAATTTGTCGATGAATCTCACTGCATGAATGGACGTCCGTCGAAGACATCTGACATCAGACATCAGACCTTCAGAACCGGGTTCCAGACGCTGACAGTTGTTCATTGAAATGCGGGGCGACGAGCGTCTGAGCATCGGCAATCAATTGTTTGGCTTGGAAGGGGATGGAAATATTTGAGGCATATATACATATTTGTACACATGTATCTACTTCGACTTCGATGATTTTTGCAACCTTGGCGCAAAACTATTTATTGTCTACTTGTAAGAAAAATGAATTGGTAAATAGGATAATTTTAACTTGAATCTTGATTAAGGATTAGCAGACACTTGTGTTAACTCAATATTGTATAAATTCAAAGTGTTTCTCACAATGCTTCTCTAGATGTGAAATGTTAATTAAACTTGTCTCCTGGTTTTGAAAATTGAAAATTTCGAAAATTACCTCCCAACTAAACTTAAAGTTTAAAGTTAATTTTAGACTATTTTATTTACTTAGCATAATCGAATATTAGTTTTATTTGTAGACTTTCTCGATTTCAATTGCAAAACATGCGACGAACTAAGCGCGCCGTAAAATAGTAAACAATTTCCGTAAAGCTTAAGGCACTGCAGCCCAAAAAGAAACCCACAAGGCCGCCAATATAAACTGTAAAAAATACGTTAAGTGCGTTAAGATACAGATAAAAGGAAATATATATAAAATAAGAAAAAACGTACCCAAAACATCAGCAAAGGAGAAAAGCACATCGCGACGCAGCTGCATTTTGGGATAATCAATAATGCCCCATTGAAGATTAGCGCCCAAAAACCAGACGCGAGACCTCTGTCAAAGAGAGAGATAGATAGAAAGAGATAAATAGAGAGATAGAGAGAGAGAGAGAGAGAGAGAGAGAGGAAGAAATGGGGATTGAAATAGCAACAAGAGAATAAACAGCAGCAACACCAACAGTACAACAACTCAAACTAAACTAAAATTATTATTAAATGTAAAAACTTTCGACGCACACTGCGCGAAAAAAGTCACGTTAAAGAGCAACTTTTGTTGACTACAGCTACAGCCGAAGCGGCCCGAACTGTAATAATTGCATATTTCAAGGCGTCCGCTTTTGCCGACCAACTTTTGTGCTTATTATTTTTTACGGCCCCGGTCAACAATTTCGATGTTTGTTCAACGTCAACAAAAAAAAACTCGCTGTCTCGCTCGCACTCACGGGGCCAACGCGATGTCCAGCAGCGTTTTAACGGGCGCTAGATGGCGCTTGTGTTGTGCACACATTTTGAAAGCACATTTAAAAAAAGCTAAAATTACCCAGTACGCTTAAATTGTTTGAAACGAGTATAATATAGATGTTCTCTTCTTGTTAGCAAATTCATTTGCATCGCCTATAATTAATATGGGGTAACTTTTGTTGCTTGTACTTTTAGTGTTATTGCAATGATGGCTCGACTTACATAGGATTGCACAAAAAAGTTGGAATCATCACAGTTGGCCAGACAATTGCAATGGATTTTATATTTATCCGACTTCAAAGAGATTATCTCACCTAGAATAATAAAATTTAAGGTCTGTTTGGCAATCATTGTGCATAATCATCTAAGCATAAGTTAAATATTTGATCGAATTCTGGGAACGTTTACTGACCAGCAGCAACCATTGAAATATGGTCACGTTCAGCGTTCAACGGTAAAATATTTGGTAATGAAATTTTTTTTTTTGCATAATTTCAAATCGAAATTCGAGCCAAAGTCAAATAAATATTTGCATGCAGAAAAACAAAAAAAAATAAAAATGCTCACGTTTAATTTTGACCAGGCAACCGATGCCCTGCAAGTCACAAATGGGCAAGCGACGACCATTGCGCACTGAAAGATACAGAAAGTGTGGCAAAGAGAGACATAGATAAACAGAGAGAGAGAGAGAGAGATGATAGTTGTGAAGACTTGAAATGGAACTATTTAAACATTTTATGAGCGAATTTGCGACGTCGACACATAAAAGTTAAATTTAATGAGACCAATTAAGTGCAACAATGTGAAGTGAAGCAAGGATGCGGATGGGGATGATGATGATGATGATGATGATGATGGCACGCCAAATATGATTACAATGGCAACAGAATGATGTTCAGCTTTAAAATGCATTACTATGACAACTTACACCGATTGCGATAAAAGTGTGGAACACAGCCGCAGACGCGCAGGGCGAAGAACATGCGGCATTCGGAGAGGCACAGACCAAAACTATAAATGGGCACCGTTTGCATCTCCTCCGCTTCGTACTGAAAGCGACACTGACGCTGCTTCGTGTTGAATCTGCCACAAATTAAATACAGTTCAAATAAGACAAACATTCATTGATAGACTATGAAAACAATTAACAAAACTCTCCCTACGAGATACCCAACTTTTATTGCCAAACTTCCCAATAAAAATATCCGAGTATACGTTTGGAATTATATCATAGTTTTCTCTTATCCTATCTTAAAGAAATTTGTAAACTTGATTAACAATATGTCAAGATATATTATATATTATATAAAAAAGATCTATATAAAACCAACTTTATTTGCGAGTGGTATAGGAGAACTTTTATTCAAAATATACTTTTTCTCTGAGATCCGCTTATTCATACAGACGGACACGGCTAAATAGGCTCAGCTTTTGATGCTGATCGAGAATATATATACTTTATGCTGTCAGAGTCGAAAGAAATTATAGCTTATGCGGAATACGGAAGAGCTAATTGTGCTTAAAATCAGATAGGGACAGAAAGGAATATAGAGTTTTATCTTGCTTACGCTCGAGCATCCTCATTCGTATAGATCTCCAGGGCAATTAGCTCGACAGTTGTGTAGTCACTTTCGGGAAAGGTATATCGCTGCTTGGATATATTCGGTACGTCGCCAGCGCCGTGAAAGTAAACATCATAGGCCGTGGACAGATTGATGATCTGTGCATAGATCTCACCATCGAGTGGATGAACTGTAACACGATCCCCATGATCCATGATGCTCCAATCGCCATTGCGCCAGTAGCTATCGGTATGAAATATACTACATAACAATAATAGTAATAGTAATATAATAGAATACTTTTACCTAAAGGTATTGTAGCGAGCCACAAGCGAGTTGACTGAGTGACAAATGCCAAATTCGGTTTGTGTCTCATAGATGAACATTTTGACGGCGGCGCCGCTGCTGATGTCTGGCTCGAAGGGCCATTTCAATTCATAGAGTATATCCAAATATTGGCTGCTTTCGATGCCATACGATTTGTTTAGCGGAAGTGTTTCCAAGTTGTCATATGTGAGACTGGCAAGTTTAATAATAAATTCCCGGAAATACTCCTTATCCTCCTCATCCTCGAACTGTTCGCTATGATTGCTGGCATGGCAAACGAAGGGAACAGATTTCGTTTAGATATAGATTTCGATTCAATTTTGATTTCCTTTTTATAATTTAAAAAATGACAGAATAAAGTAACTATTTTTAAATAGCTTTTTTTTGTCCAAAATGTGGAGAACTTTAGATGAAATTATAGTTTATATGCTTATTTTTCTTGGTTGCCAATACTTTGGCAAAGTGAACACTCACAGTATATAATCCTCCAGTTTGATATCATCGATGCGCTTATGGGGACACACCGTGAGCGATGGAAAACTAGTATTCCACACCAGCTTATTGCGATCCATCGAAATGACCATGGGCGAGGTCTGAAACCGTTGCCAAGTGCGTTGGCTCAGCGAGATGATGCTGAACAGGGCCACACAGATAAACGCAAACCAGAGCATGCTAAAAAAATATATATATATATATATCCAGAAAATGATATATGTTGCTATATGTATGGTGTTTTTTTTATACATTCTGGCAACGCACATAAAAATCTATTGCGTGTAAATTTTTGTAAGCATCAGGCGAAATATGCGCGACACAAGAATTATGGCCAAGTTGGCAGGAAGAGTCAATGAACGGCAGCAGAGGCAGACAATCGCCATGCAACCCTTTTTGTGCGAGGCGCCCCATTTTTATTTTATTTGCTGCTGCAAGTGCGACGACAGCCAAAATAGACGAAGACAACGCTTCAGCGAGCACCCAAAAAGAAAGAGAGAGAGAGAGAGAGACAGAGAGAGAGAGAAAGATAGAGAGAGAGGGTGGAGCGGGGATGGAGAGGGAGATAGAGTAGCCATAACAAGTCTGACAAAAGCCGACAAATCCTCGAGGAATCTCCCTTTCCGAGTGCCATACCGCACAATGATGACATTTTGACGCCAGCAATGGCTCATAAAGCCTTCAACGCTGTCAGCACACACTCACTCATACATACACACGCACACACACACACACAGAGATGGATGTGGAATAGGTCTGGGCATTTCATTGCTGTAGCAGCTACTTGGCTTTTAATTTTCAAAAATTTCGCTTCAAAAATGTTGAGCACTTTCCGCTTCTGCACCGAATTATTTCTAATTTGAAATAGTCACCGCTCTGTAAAGTTTGTCAGCTATTTTCGGCTTAAATATACCCTTGATTAATAAGATAAAGTGTATGATGAGACTGATGTAACTGTAAAGTATATGTATCGAATTAAAGCTGTGTTTTCGATTTCTTCCATTGGTAAAAATCGGCTAATCAGGGGTATAAAAATGCACTTCACTTGTGAAACATTGTTAAACATTGAATTAATGTTTATGGTGAATAAAACTACACTTTTATTCTTCTTAATATACAACAAACTAAGTAAATAGTTGCGTACTCAATGTTTGTATGCTTAAGTGAGAGGTATCTTCTAGTTGAGCGCCAGGAAGTATGCTCAAAAGAACGCTTTGTTTTTATGAGGAAACTCGGAATGCTCGCTGCGTTTGCTATTTCTACTACAGACTGATTTGACTGAATGTCTGCCCGCAAAAATTCTTTTTAAATCATACGTATGTACTTGCATATATATATCTGTCAGTCCCGACGCGTCTGTCTGCCTGTCAGTCAGTCTGTCTGTCTGTCTAACACTTGCTTTGTTTCATCATCTCTTAGCACTCATATGAATACAGTTTGTGCGTGAATAAAGCTCAGTGATGCATGTGGATGTTCTAATAAATGATATCTATGCTAAAGAATGAATGACTTGGAATTCCATTATTATGAATTCTTACAACAAATGCAGACTTTTCATCTTATTTGCCAGGCATTTAGTATTTCTTTATGCTGCACAAAAAATATGCACTTGAGTATCCCTCACTCCTTTCAAATGGCCACTTACCTGCAGTTGCCATATCAATCCCACATGTTAGCGACACAGACCAAAACAATTTAAGCATATTTCATCCGAAATATTTGTATTGCCAACAATAGCCGGTTGAGAGCTGATTAAATCAAAAGCATTTTACATTAAAAGCTGACTTTGTACACCCTTACAAAGTGTGTTATAACCAAGTGATAAAATGCAAACAAATATGGAAATTTTATAGTTGAAATGGGATCAGAATGAAATATTAAAGAAATAATGTGGCTGGAGTTAAATGACCAAAATATGTGGATGTAGTCAGCTGCTATAAAAAAAAGTATTGTTGACGATGCCAACAACACGCGGAGTTCCCAAGCGGTCCCCCATCTAAGTACTAACCGCGCCCGACGCTGCTTAATTTCGGTGATCGGACGAGAACCGATGTATTCAGCGTAGTATGGTCGTTGGCGAAAGTCGATTGCTAAGAGTTCGATTTTGTGTAAGACATTTTGTAAGGTATTTATAGAAAACCCAAGGCTCCAACAGAAATCGGAGCAGTATGAAAATATTATGGTAGTTTAGATGAAATGGATTAGAATGAGATGTGGCTGGAGTTAAATGACGAAAATATGTGGATGTAGTCAGCTGCTATAAAAAAAAGTATTGTTCACGATGCCAACAACACGCGGTGTTCCCAAGCGGTCCCCCATCTAAGTACTAACCGCGCCCGACGCTGCTTAATTTCGGTGATCGGACGAGAACCGATGTATTCAGCGTAGTATGGTCGTTGGCGAAAGTCGACTGCTAACTGTTCGATTTTGTGTAAGACATTTTGTAAGGTATTTATAGAAAACCAAAGGCTCCAACAGAAATCGGAGCAGTATGAAAATAGTATTGTAGTTTAGATGAAATGGATTAGAATGAGATGTGGCTGACGTTAAATGACCAAAATATGTGGATGTAGTCAGCTGCTATAAAAAAAAGTATTGTTGACGATTCCAACAACACGCGGTGTTCCCAAGCGGTCCCCCATCTAAGTACTAACCGCGCCCGACGCTGCTTAATTTCGGTGATCGGACGAGAACCGATGTATTCAGCGTAGTATGGTCGTTGGCGAAAGTCGATTGCTAAGAGTTCGATTTTGTGTAAGACATTTTGTAAGGTATTTATAGAAAACCAACGGCTCCAACAGAAATCGGAGCAGTATGAAAATAGTATTGTAGTTTAGATGAAATGGATTAGAATGAGATGTGGCTGGCAGTTAAATGACGAAAATATGTGGATGTAGTCAGCTGCTATAAAAAAAAGTATTGTTGACGATGCCAACAACACGCGGTGTTCCCAAGCGGTCCCCCATCTAAGTACTAACCGCGCCCGACGCTGCTTAATTTCGGTGATCGGACGAGAACCGATGTATTCAGCGTAGTATGGTCGTTGGCGAAAGTCAGCTGCTAACTGTTCGATTTTGTGTAAGACATTTTGTAAGGTATTTATAGAAAACCCAAGGCTCCAACAGAAATCGGAGCAGTATGAAAATATTATGGTAGTTTAGATGAAATGGATTAGAATGAGATGTGGCTGGCAGTTAAATGACGAAAATATGTGGATGTAGTCAGCTGCTATAAAAAAAAGTATTGTTGACGATGCCAACAACACGCGGTGTTCCCAAGCGGTCCCCCATCTAAGTACTAACCGCGCCCGACGCTGCTTAATTTCGGTGATCGGACGAGAACCGATGTATTCAGCGTAGTATGGTCGTTGGCGAAAGTCGACTGCTAACTGTTCGATTTTGTGTAAGACATTTTGTAAGGTATTTATAGAAAACCAAAGGCTCCAACAGAAATCGGAGCAGTATGAAAATAGTATTGTAGTTTAGATGAAATGGATTAGAATGAGATGTGGCTGACGTTAAATGACCAAAATATGTGGATGTAGTCAGCTGCTATAAAAAAAAGTATTGTTGACGATGCCAACAACACGCGGTGTTCCCAAGCGGTCCCCCATCTAAGTACTAACCGCGCCCGACGCTGCTTAATTTCGGTGATCGGACGAGAACCGATGTATTCAGCGTAGTATGGTCGTTGGCGAAAGTCGACTGCTAACTGTTCGATTTTGTGTAAGACATTTTGTAAGGTATTTATAGAAAACCAAAGGCTCCAACAGAAATCGGAGCAGTATGAAAATAGTATTGTAGTTTAGATGAAATGGATTAGAATGAGATGTGGCTGACGTTAAATGACCAAAATATGTGGATGTAGTCAGCTGCTATAAAAAAAAGTATTGTTGACGATGCCAACAACACGCGGTGTTCCCAAGCGGTCCCCCATCTAAGTACTAACCGCGCCCGACGCTGCTTAATTTCGGTGATCGGACGAGAACCGATGTATTCAGCGTAGTATGGTCGTTGGCGAAAGTCGACTGCTAACTGTTCGATTTTGTGTAAGACATTTTGTAAGGTATTTATAGAAAACCAAAGGCTCCAACAGAAATCGGAGCAGTATGAAAATAGTATTGTAGTTTAGATGAAATGGATTAGAATGAGATGTGGCTGACGTTAAATGACCAAAATATGTGGATGTAGTCAGCTGCTATAAAAAAAAGTATTGTTGACGATGCCAACAACACGCGGTGTTCCCAAGCGGTCCCCCATCTAAGTACTAACCGCGCCCGACGCTGCTTAATTTCGGTGATCGGACGAGAACCGATGTATTCAGCGTAGTATGGTCGTTGGCGAAAGTCGACTGCTAACTGTTCGATTTTGTGTAAGACATTTTGTAAGGTATTTATAGAAAACCAAAGGCTCCAACAGAAATCGGAGCAGTATGAAAATAGTATTGTAGTTTAGATGAAATGGATTAGAATGAGATGTGGCTGACGTTAAATGACCAAAATATGTGGATGTAGTCAGCTGCTATAAAAAAAAGTATTGTTGACGATGCCAACAACACGCGGTGTTCCCAAGCGGTCCCCCATCTAAGTACTAACCGCGCCCGACGCTGCTTAATTTCGGTGATCGGACGAGAACCGATGTATTCAGCGTAGTATGGTCGTTGGCGAGTACCGGTTGTTTATGGATGCAATTTGTATGTTAAAAAATCTATTTTAGTGATATCCTCGATTGCAAAGAGCTGGAATCTGTGCAGAGTGTTTAGTTTTCGGTTTGCTTTCTCTTATTTGTCATTGTAAATCACATTTGAGTTTTATCTATTTTGCTAAAGTAAATAAATCAAAGTGATGTGCAGAAATAAAAATGGGCATAAATAAATAAAATTGTAGGCAACACGAATCATTTGGCTAAGAGTTGGGGTAGTGTATTAATTAGAGCCGGGCCTTGCGTGCTGTACACAGTGCCTCCTTTACCACCTGTCTGTTCTGTACCAGAACTAACAAAAATTGTAATGGAGCTTGCCGTGCAGCAGGCTGGATTTGGCGTGCTGGTGGGGTGTGTTATCCACTAATTAACCCTCAGCTGCTGGCTGGTTGTGGTCCATTTTTGTTATGCTGACAGTTCCCACATGCCCCCTTGAATGTCAGTCTTCTCACTTGGAGTGGAGTGTGTTACCAATTTAAGCCTTGCCAGACATTCCGTGTAATCCTGTTTGTCATGTCATGTCAGTTTTCAGGATTTATTGCGCTGCCGCTTTACTCTGCACCATTGTATTTGGTTCCACCAGCCAAAATATTACTTTCACCCCGCCCCGCAAAAGATGTGGAAAAATGTATTTTTGCTCATGCCTAAATGTATTCATGCGAATGGGTAAATTCAGTCAGAGTGAGAAAGAGACAGAGAGAAAGAGAGAGAGAGAGAGAGAGAGAGAGAGAGAGAGAAAGAGAGAGAGAGAGAGACCCTATATGGGCACGCACATCCGTTTTGGGCCCTGTGGCATATGGTAGCGATATCGGAATTATAATCTTTGCAATGCACGTGCGAGCGCTTTAGAACATTTTAAGTCCTTGACTTATAGTTCTGTGTCGCTTAGTTTGTACTTTCTGGCTGGGAAATCGAAAGCTAAAGCGAAAGTAAGCCAGAACGAAAGTTTTAGTTGTAATTGAGGCTTGTGGGGCCGTAATAAGGCTTTAGTTTAATTTAGTTTAAAAGTTAATTGGATGAAAGTAATGGTCTTACGAGAGAGACAGACAGAGAGAGGGAGAGAGAGAGAGAGAGAGAGAGAGGGAGAGAGAGAGGGAGAGAGAGAGTGAAATAACCATAAATACTTAAAGCAAAACAAATTGGTTTGTTGTGAGAGCAATTAAAGAGGTTCTTAAATATATGTATATCTAGTGCATTCTATAATTGATATGTCCTGCACCTGCTAAAAAAGTGCCTAGAGAGACAGATATTTCAGATACAGATATTAATTTATTGGCATTTTACTAACTCATGGTGACTCATTCGGATTTCCTAACTCAAACCGAACTAGGGCAATCAATTGTTGCTGCATTGCGGCTAACACAGCTGGAGATGCTGATGATTCAGTTGGTTTATTGCCTGCCATCCCAAACTTATGCCTACCCATAAAGCGTCAAGCAGAAACTTACCGTTCGACAAAGTTCAAGCCAAATTTGGCTAAATAGACGAATCCGTGAATGGAGGAGCCCTGCAGAAACTCGAGAATGAATGCATGCGCCTTCGCCAGGCAAGCCAAACGGCCTTTACCGGGCACAGGATCATGCTCATGCTCGTCAGGCTTCTCCTCGTCCCTTGTCGGCCTGGTCAGCATTGGTGGCTGCCACAGCGGCGGACGTCGAAAGCTGCGCACGCTGCACGGCTTACGTCGATTAATGGTGGCCACCTGCTCATCATTAGCATCATGATATGCAGGTTCAGCTCTAGTTTGTTGACTTTCTGGCGGCGGATTGTCCGTTTGCTTTTTAGCGATGCCCGGAAAAAGCAGTAAGCCAGGTCCGATTCTAGAACTGGGCTCATTTGATATTCTTTCTGGGTGTCCTTGTTGCAGCAGCGATGCAGTCGATGCCGTTCGCGACACGGGGCTTCCTTCCGAGCTGCTCATCGATGTTGTTGGTGTTTCACTTGGCGATTGCGTGTTTGAAAATCTAGAATTGAAATGAACGATTTCCATTGAGTGTTATTAATTGATAAGTTTTAATCGGACAATTATATTTTCTATATTCATTACAGCTTTTAGCGCAAATTGAAATGTTTTGAATTAAATGGAATTCGGTTTCAAATGATCCAAATGATAAGTTGTGATAAATATACAAAAAGTTGTACAAAACCAATTAAATTAATTTACTATTATTAGCGATGTTGTAGACAGTCAGCTACACTCAAAAACGATTTATGCAAGAAGTAGCAGACCAATAATAAATATTATCGATGAGGTAGATCTACTTACGCTGTTTAACTCACATACGAGTATTCATCAGATTATTTGCAACTCATATTTTTTTGGTTTGGTTTATTCTCTTTATCGTATTAAGGGTTTATTATTATATTTCCCAAGCTTTTCATTCGCCTCTGATTAAACATAAATACATAAATACATCGTTTTAAATATGTGTTTTTTTGTCGTTATGCAACTGCAACAATAAATCATTATAGCATTTTTAATGCCATGTAAATTATGCCACTACATATGTGTGATTTTCTGTGTGTGTTTGCTTCTGTATAAGTGCATTTTGATTAAGAGCTTGCAATGACAGCGAGATGAAAGCAGTGCTGCCTGCAGGACAGGCACGTATAAAATTTACCTCAACTGACATCTCCCATCACAAATGAGGCATTAAAGTTGCGCTTAATTCGGTTAAGATTACATTTACTCGTCTGGTGCAGCTGCCACAGCTGCCGCATATGCATCAATGTAATCGAGATGCAATGGGTTGAGCTTTAAGTGCATCGTAATAATACGGCAATTGGATACCATATGATTGAAAAGCCATATAAAAATCGGTTTAAAAAAGCAGCCCGGCAAATATATATGTATTTATAAAGCAAATTGACACTTCACGTCAATTTGTCACAATGTGAAATAAATATTCCCCACAATAGAAATTCAATTTCTACATTGACAAAAAAAAAGAGATAGAAAAAAATAACTTAAAAAAACATCGAGTGATTTGCATACCGATTGCCAGAGAGTTTTGTCAAATTGAAACTTGCAGTGAATTGTGGAATATGTCCGAGACTGACTACAGGTTGTATTTGTGCAGCAACTGCTATCGCCGTTGCCTGTGGAGCGAGCTGTCCAATGAGGAGCATCGTTGCTTTCGTTGTCGCATGCCGCTCCGTGCGTGCGCCATTTGTGACCGCAAATTCGAGCCGCGCAACCAGATGCAGCTCTATTGCAAGCGTTGTGATTTCCATCTGGTCAAAGATGTGGTGGACTCATCGCCGCCTGACTTGGATTTGAAATTGGAGCTGGATACGGATACAGAGTCGGAGCCAGAGCCGGAGACGGAACGCTTTGAATCACCGCGCCGACGTTCGATGGCCGAACGCTGGCAGGAGTTCAGGATGGCAGCTGGCATCAACGATCGCTATTTTGTTGACTGACAGAATCCCGTTAGGCTACTCAATAAAGGGCATAACTAGTTGCAGCTGTGTGGCATGCGGTCCAGCGTACGCCCCATTTGGACCAACTTACAACTTGCGACAAAAATAAAGGTTGCATTAAGTTGTACAACAAACCAACTTATTATAATCAGTTTGCAGTCGCCCCACTTTGGGGTCAGTCTTGTGTATCGATGAGGCTGGCGACTGGCAAAAGGTTTCTCTGTCCTTAAAATGGATTAAAATTTCATTTAAATTTGCATTTAAATGAGCGCAGCGCACTCAAAGTAAATGTAACCATCTACACCCCCATCCCCACACTCCATCCACATCCCATCCAGTACAAAGGGCTGTCCCAGACCAGCTGCCAGAAATGGTCGCACACGCAGATCCCAGCTGCCAGTGTCCAGACTTCCACTCCAAACAGTTGCCACATCCAGACGTGGACTTCGCACATTAAAAGTGTGTCTGTGTGTGTGTGTGTGTCTGTGTGTGTGTGTGTGTGTGTCTGTGCGTGTGTTGTTTTTTAATGTATTTTTTGTGTTGTTGTTGCAACTTGTTCATTCTGCTGGCAGTTGCAGGTCAGTTGATTACCTTTGCCAGCTGATATGGGCAGCACGAGGGCGCGGGCCAAGCTTAAGCGAGCGATCTGCTACTGCATTTTAATGGGCATTATTTAAATATGTATATTTTACAATTAAATAAACGATTTTTATGCTCTTATGGCGAACAGTTCCACTTTCATCTGAGCTGACTGTCCTCTGTATATATATGTGAATATATACATACATGTATCCTTTCTGGTGACGGCTTTCGAGTTCTTGTCCTGCAGTTCATGTTTGCTTGTGCATTTTCTGCTTTGCGTGTTAATTAAATTGAAAACTGCCTAAAGGACATTTTAATTGGCCTTCACTTTGTGGGCCACTCGGCTTCATTTTGTTTCACTTCCTTTCCTTTTTTTTCGTTTTTTGCCCAGAATCTACCAGTACCTTCTTATGCCCGTAGAGTGTCCTTAAAAGGAAACTTATTCAGCTTTATGCATTCAATAAATTCTTGATATATTCGAAGTGCTTCGAAAAAGTTGTCCTCTTTTGTCTTTCCAACTAATATGAAAGCATAACAAAGCAATGCTATTTTGGTTTGGTTTGTTCGGTCCGGTTGTCTGTTTTTTGGCGAAATAACAAATTTTCCAATTTGTTTCTTGATTTATTTTCACGCCAATTTCTTGGCGTTCGCCTCCGACGCTGCTGTGCTCTGACATTTTGTTTATTTATTTGGTTTCATGTTTTGTCTGTCGTCGTTGCCTCTGCTTATTTCTCCGCCTTGCCGTCGTTTGAGGGAAATCACGAATGAATGAATGACTGCCCCGGCAACCGCCATGAATATTCATGGGCCATGCCGCTACAAACAACAGTGGCTATAACAACAACTACGATATCTACTACTACAACAACAACAGCAACAACAGCAACAACAACAGCAACAACAACAAATACAGAGAACACAACAACAACAACACGAACACGCAGCTAAATCAGCTTGCATTTCCGCTCTATGCTCCAACAATTTGCAGCGCCATTTTGTTGTCCACAGCAGCAGCTGCAGCTCCGCATCGTGGCTTCTATACTCTCTACTCGTGGAGCACTTTAAATTTGCCAATGTGTTTGTATTATTATTCTCTTAAATTGCTGCACGCATATTAATAGTTAAAGAAGTCATAAATAATAAGAATTGAAAGAGTGTTTTTAAAACATTCAATTTGACTCGAATTTGTATTTCAAATCTGTTTAAGGATTCAATTAATGATATGAATATATCTGGAAATGATTTCTGAAATATTGACAGCGCAACACTTAATGTTAGACATTAATTAACTTTGAATTAGCTTTTAATTCACTGTTGTTCGAATATTGGAGTAGCTTCTAAATTTACTAAATTTGCTTTATCACTTTCACATTTTTACACTTGCATACCTAAATTCGAACACTTTCAATACGCTTTCCATATGTGTTTAGGGTATTCAAAGTTCGTTTTTGTGTTGGCAAAGTTTCGTGTCTTGTTCTTGTTCGTTGGGGATTCGATGTGCGCAGCTGTTTCTTGGTGAGATGCTGCAAATTGCTTGGCAGCTTGTTGTGCCTTTCTTTGCCATTGTTTTAGTGAACATTTTGTGGTTGGTATGTGTTTAAGTGTATGTGTGTGTGCTTATGTAGTATGTGTGTGTGTGTGTGTGCAACAGTTTCTTGTGAGCAACACAAAAGTAGGCAGTGCGTTGCGCTTGTATCGAACAGGAAATTTAATTAAGAGCGCTTTGTTGCCGATTTCAAATGCTGGAAACATAAAGTATGGTCGCAAATATAGTAGAGACCACAACTTACAGCTTACTTAGTGCCACTGCCACTGCCACTGCCACCAGCCAGTGCAACTTGTTACTGCCACTGCTGAATTTTTACTGCCACTCGCCGTACTTATCCCTCTCGGCTGTGCTAACGAACTGTGACTGTAATCATGGCTCTGCTGCAGTTGACTTTAGTACATTTTTGGCTGTTGTGATTTTTAGCCAACCTACATCTCTTCTCCTCTGGCCGCCTCATGAGAAACTTGTCAGCTGCTGCTGTTGGTGGCCAAGTCCGGGAGTCGCGTTGATTGCTCCGGCACAATCGAAATGGCATTTTGTCTAGTGGCACACACGTAACCCTGATTGCGATTGCCATTGCGATTGCGATGCTTGCCTGTACCAGCAAAAGCACCACTTCACAATCTATTGATTTCCAAGCGCTAATTACTAACGTTTTCGAGTGGCCATTGTACTATAAGTGGTCAACGCAGTTTCGTAATTGTTGTTGCTCTCAGATAGGATCGGTTCAGTGTCCAGCTCCAATCGAGCCTCGATTTGGGGGCTGTGTTGTTTCATGTCTCTCTGTCGCTCTCTCTCTCTCTCTCTCTCTCTCTTATATTAATTCATTTATTTATTATATTAAATACAATAAATTTGTAGATACAAGCTCTTTAGCAATACATTAAATCGAGATTAGACTTTATTGTGTACTAAATTAAAGTATCGAAAAACATTTCCCACTATCATTTATACAATTCAGTGGAAAATAAGTTTTAGAATATATTTTATATTAAAAATTTTTTTTTAAAGAAATTTCTCTATTTTGGAGAGCTAAAACTTACGTTAATAAAATATACTTTCCAAATAAATGTAATTATTAACACCAATTAACCCACATTCAAAGGCAACAATCAACACTCGTCGATATAAAAAAAAACCACTAAGGAATAGATAAGCGCGGCAAACAGAAATCTATTTATTTTTTATAATGCTCAACTTTGTCCAAAGCAAAGAAAATCGCGCAAAATTTCTCCCTGCCAAATTGTGCAAACTTTGTAGACCATTAGAGGAGTCGTCGTTGCTGCCAGCACGCCTGCCAAGCGTAGAAGCTACAGCTTCCGTTCCCGCCCCTGCTCCCGCTCCCGGCACAACTCTTGCTCGTTACCTCCCCGCTAAGTAATCTTTGATTTTGCATGCGCTGCTTGAATAGATTCTGTATCTGGAGACCCCATTGGTTGTGGCCAGCATTGGGGCACTGCAGCTGTATAAATTTTACATTTGTTTCCTTTCAATTTAACAATGTGTACTTTTCGTATTGTTTTGCTTTACAGTCGTTGGACGATGGACGGGGAACGGACGACGGAGAACGGAGGACGGAGGACGGAGGATGGGGCTGATTGGCAGTCATTTTTCACGCGACCCGCGCAATAGCTGCCAGCTCATTACATCGCCGGATTTCGCAATATTTATGATTAGCAATTTATTATTCATCATTTTCGATTGTGCAAACAAAGCGCAAAAAATAGCTCAAGCATCCAACGAATATCGTATAATATTCCCTAACAATGCCTGGCTGCGATTTGCAGGATGTTGGGCGACGAAGTGGGCCGACGGAGTGGGTTTTTGGGTTGTCCCGCCATTAACTTGCACTTAATTTGATTAACCGAAAGCCGATGTTTACATGCGCTGCATGCAGCAGCAAATCTATCAAAATTTTGTAGCACAATGAATAGAACTGAGATGGGGATGGAAAGAGGCAGTGGCAGGGGGTGAAGAAGGGAGTTGTGTGTGTTGGTAGAATTGATGGCTGCATTGGATGCTTTGAGCTGTAACAGCAAGCTTAGTGGGTGATTTGTGTAAATTATTTATGGTATTTACTCCAACAGCAATATTTATATATGTACATATATAAATAGGCATAAGGATAATTATGTAAGCATGCGAAACAGGAAAAAGGAGAATACCTTACCAAATTTGATGTTAGAAAATCTGCAGCTTTAATCTACTTTAAATGAGACTGCAATTTCAATAACAAAATACATTTCTTGTTTCAAGCACTTTATCCTTTATATATATATATATATATATGCCATCAATTTAGGTCATTTCTTTATCCGCAAAATAATTAAGTGTTAATAAAATCCATCAGTGATGGGATTGTTTTGAATCCGTAGCAGGATTCGCGCTGCTAAGTAAGCAATAAATTTTGTGGCTGCCAATATTGGAATACATTTGTAGGCGACACTTTGAATTGAATTTAAATATTTGCAATTATATTGAAATGCTAATGTGAAGTGTGCGAATGGGAAAGCAACCCCTCAGTATGTGTCTGTGTGCTGTTTACACATGCCAATAAATTTTGGCACAAGCGAATTTTCGACGGCATTTTACATATTCTTGTATATATTTGTATATATGTATACATATATATATATATATATATATATTTATATATTCGTTTACCACTTACGAGCGTATTATAATGGAATGGAATCCACTTGAAAATAGAGCAATATCCACTTGCATATGTCGCGCGGACACATTTTAAGAATGAGTCGACGCCATAAATATTATTGATAGGCGGCAGGGGCAATGCCACGCCCACCCATTGCCGCCCCTTTTCAGCGATACAGACGATGATTGCGGCAAGCGGATGTAAAACCTTGGCAATGACAGTTTTCGGGGCCCGTCTGTTATGCAAATGTTGGCGTATGCCACAGTCTGTACTCGTAGTTTGTCTGCCTCACTGCACATGTGTCTGTGCGTGTATGTGTGTGTGTGTTTGTGTGTGTGTGTGTGTGTTTATGTGTGTGTGTGTGTTTGTGTGTGTATCGCCGCCTGTTTATATGCAAATCTTATATATTTTGGTCTCGGCTGGCTTCGGTTTTTTCTTTTATTTCCGTTGCAACGCCGCCTGTTTTATTTTCTTGCATTAAATTAACATCAATAAAATGTGTCGTTTGTATTTTTCGAGTGTGTCCTGATGTCCTGCATCGATGTGTCCCCTCATCCCTATACCCATCCCCCACTGGCTGCACTTGTCTCCCCATAATTTGTAGCTAATGCCAACATGTGCTGTGATTTGTCCACGCTCGACATTTTCGCCTAGGGGGAGCAGCCCCACTTACCATAGACATATTCCATTCAATGGCATTTTTACTTTTAAGACATTTGCCTGAACCGGTTAGGGAAATTGGCCAAGTACAAAGGACTGACGAGGTGTCTGGGCAGTTGGAACAAAGATAATCAGATCAAGTAATCTTGAGAAGGAATACTTCTAAGTAGCACTAGAATTACACAAATTAATTGAGTTAGGCACATCATTCTTTGAAATGATTGAAAATCTTGCAGATCGCAATCGAATAAAAACTATTTTTAAACTTAGTTTGCCCTTTTAATTGTATCTATACAACAAATAGAGAAGCAAAAAAAAATATAAATTCAATTGCATATGAAATAAGACTTAAATAGTTGCCGCAGAAACTTGGGCGACAATCTTCTGTAAAAGTAGGCGACTTTTGTGTGGGCGTGGTTGAGGTTGAGCATTCAATAATAAACAAACAATAATAAACATGGCTATGCAGTATTAATATTTATACGCAAATATTGAATGTAAGGGCAGCGGCAAGGGTAAATAATGGCAAGGAGGAAAGAAGTCTTCCAAAGGGCGGTTCGGAAATGCTCGTATATCTAAGTGAAATGCTAAAAGATTGATGACTTTGCGTCTTTGTGTATGCTGTATGCTGGACCCACTACCAATGCGTGTGTTTGTGTGTGTGTGTGCGTTTGTGCCACGTTTATAAGAATTTATGGCAATGAATGCTAAGGCAGCGCTGCGTATACGCAATATTTATATTTATGTATTATGAATCAATGCGTGTGGCATGTAAGAGCAGCGCACACAGAGCAACACCAACAAATTTGGGGGCTGTGGGGCGTGTCAGTTTCGCATAAAAAAGTGTATACAATATATATGTATGTGGCATAAAAGATGCACACTAAAACAAAAGGATAACAATAACTTCTCGACCGGTCGGGTAGCGTAAGCATGGGTCTATGGGGGCGGATTATGCTTGAGTCTGCATCAGGTTTTTCTTTTCTTTTTTTTTTGCGGCGTCTCTCGTTGCTTATAAATAAGCTCGCATAACGCTAACGGAATAGAGCGCACATAAAAATTGCATGAAAATGAAAGACATCCAACTCGAATGCGGACAACAATCATCGGGCAGATGGACCCAAGGCCTAAACTGGGCCAAAATAGTCCGCATCGTGTGTGTTGATATTGTTTTGTTCGTTTCTCCTTCTCATTTTTGCTTCTCTTTTTCTCTTTTCGCTTTTTTCCTTTTTCTACGTAAAAAATTATACTATTACAATCAAGTTTACGACTGCAATTCAGGCGCATTGCTTGAGTGCCAATGAATATGATGATGGGCCTGGGCAATGTATGACGATGGCGATGACTATGATGATGATGATTGCGTTGCCTCTTTTGCGCACATAAAATCAGCGGAAAAGAACCGATATACATATGTATGTATATATGTAGATAGATATGTACATGTCTGTTGTCTGTGGAGTTACGGATTTGACTGGCAAATTCTTAATCAAATAGTTTGCACGGCTAAGCTGAATCACTTTTTGATATGTTAATCTAGGCAGCTTGAAACAAGAGACTTGACATTTATATATATATATATAATTTTAGAGTTGCTCCATTGAAACACAGCTTTTGCAGTCGATCAATATATTTATAGATATCTTGAGCAAACTTTATTATGCTCCTAACACATGAAATTTCACGATTGTTTCAGCAGTTGATTGGCCAAAAACTGTGCTGGTATACAACAAAAATAAAGCAACACATATATTCAGTATTATATTTCTGAGAGTGTATTTAAACTTCGGCACTCGGAAAATACAATTTGTAGATCTATATCCTTAACATTGGTCGTCAATATGCTCTCAAGATTTAACTCTGCGTTACACTTGTAATCGTTTACTTAGCATGGCTACTTCATTTTTGCTGTACTTGCAACTAGGTTTTTGGTTTGCTTTATGTATTCGCTCGTTACTTGCAACGCGGTTGAATCACACGCACCACAAACTCAAAACTACAAAACCTACACCAAAACAACAACAACAACAGCAACAACAACTGCAACTGCAACAAAAACGACAAACGAACATTTTTTGAACTGAGCACTCACAATTTTTATGTGCTTCCCCCTTTGGCAAGTGGGGAGCGTTTTTTCGCAGGCTGCAGTCAGGTAAAAATTGCCATCGCCAAAAGGGTTGCCAACAACAACAACAACAACAGCCAAAAAGAAACTTTATGAAATCCGCAAGCGGCGCTTTTGACTGCCGTTCAGCTTTTGCTCTTATTCGCTCTCTCCCTCTAGCGAGTGCTTTTTTTCGTGAGCTTTGAGCAACTTTTCTCTTTGCGCCGCAAAACTTTGCACTTTGACATGCAGCGACGTGTATGACTCTGTTGTGAGTGTGTGTGTGTGTGAGTGTGTGTGCTTGTGTGTGAGTGTGCGTTTGAATACGAGTTGAATGCGCATTTGTTGTCGCTTTGGCTGACATTTACTTTGATAGTTGTGCGTTGGGAGGAGGGGGGAATTTAGCTTTGAATGCAACTGACTAGCTACCAATGGCAACGCTTTGAATTGGCTAACAAGCCACACAATGCTAATTCCTCTAATTGTTAACAAATGCGGCAATAATAACGAGACCATAATGACCATCAAACATTATTATTCAGCATTTATTATATTTACAATGATTATTTGTTTTTAATTCAAACGGAATTGTAAATCTCCTTAAACAGAGCAAATCGATGGATGTTGATATATTTGATACAATTCTATATGGTTAACATCTATATATATTATTAACAAATCAATTTTTTCTCTCTTTAAATTTAATATAAATTCATATATTTTTTTTTGTATAACTTATTACTTTAATATGCTTGGGCGAATACTAATTTTGCATTATTTTCAACATTTTTTTTTTGGGATTTTCCCATTAAGCATTAAGTTGTGGCGCTGGAGTACGATAATGGCACTGTGATGGCCACACAAATACAGTCATAATAATCACAAGCCCTTCCCCCAAGGTAAACACACTCACACACACACACACACACACTTACTCATCCCCCCATCCACACACACATACATGTTATGGTGCACACCCACACACGTGCGAACACTTGAAAATCTTTCAACTCGTATGAATATTTTAAAACTCGCTCAGAACGCATGCAAATTATGATAATGATGGGAGCGGCGAGTGCTATGCAAATGTGTTACAGGAGATGTTTGGGTTGGGCTCCTCCCTCTCTAAGTGTGTGTGTGTGTGTGTGTGTGTGTGTGTGTGTGTGTGTGTGTGAAGCGCTAACGAGCGCAGAAGTACTCATCGACTCAGTCAGAAGTCCCAGTTTTACAGTTCACATTTCACATCTATTTCCCTTAATGCATTTCATTAATTTGTATACAATTTTTTGCGCATTGTCGGTGAAATGTGTGCGTGGATGTGTTTAAAGGCTCTCCCGTGAGTGGATGGCCAGGCATCATTAGAAGTCACTTCATGACTAACTTCCCCTAAGAAGGAGTTGAGAGCGTACTTGACTTTGAGCTTCTTAATTTCTGCATTCAATAGACCCTTGACAATTTGCAGTATGCAAATGCTGACATTTTCGTTGGATGTCGTTCAAATAAGGCCCGATTCTTATGCCCGAATCGATTGTATACCGCCTAAAAGTATACTCTTCTCATTGAGTAGACAGCAATAGCAGGAGTAGGCCTTGTTTCCAAAGCAATTCACATTTCGAACTGAAAAATTATAAGAACTGTAATGAAAAATTATATGATATTCGATAATGCCTTTGCCTATAATGGCTCTGTTGCAACTGAAGAATCCGAAGAAGAAGATCAGATTGTCAATTTAAACATACTATTTACAGTTTTGTTAGTATTTTGCTGTCTTTGCGCACTCTGCTGCATTCCATTACTGATTGGATACTTCTGCGGCCTGCGCGGCTACAGAAACGATCCTTACGTGTATTATTGAGCCTCAATATTTGTTGAGGTAAGTGATAAATCCAATAAGAAATTCTATATAAATCGACTCTACTAATATAATCATATAGTGTGAAAATACATTATGGATTACTATGATCAAAATGTCAATCCAGATTGTTGTTCAAATTTACATCAGATGTGGGAATACTATGCTGTGGAGTTACCTGTACATTTTCAGTTTAAGGCCAAAGCAAAAGACACATCCGATCCTTGATTAGTCGTATAAACTTTCTTAGTAATATTCAAACGCAGATTGTAGGAAAATATAGAAACAGAATAGTTGAAGTTATCATATTTCAAATCTCATCACAGCTTCCTTGATTGCTTAGTACTTCAAAAAGGCATCAACAAAACCTGTTTAGAATAATATAATTTACGAAAATTTCCTTGTGTATATTTTAACAGCCATAAATCAAAACAAGAGCATGCCTTGCCTTCCAAGCAATTCACATTTCAGACTGAAAAATTATAAAAATTAAAATGAGCAATTATATGAAAATCGACGGATTTAAAGCTGTTGCATCTACAACTCTGTGCCCTAAGACAGAATCCGAAGATGAGCTTATTAATTTAAACATTCTATGGATAGTTTTATTAGTATTTTGCTGTCTTTGCACCTTCTGCTGCATTCCATTACTGATTGGATACTTATGCGGACTGCGCGGCTACAGAAACGATCCTTACGTGTATTATTGAGCCTCAATATTTGTTTAGGTAAGTGAGAAATCCTTTAACCAATTCTATATTCATCTGTGCTTACCAATATACTCTTATAGGTACAAATTTCAGTTTAGATTGTTTCTTAAATCTAAATCAGAAGTGCAAATAGTATGCTGTGTAGTAATTTGTAAATTTAAAATGATAAGTATTTTAATTTCTGAATATTTCAAGTTTTTCCAGATAAAAAAATGAGTGCCAAAGGATCGCCGAGTACCTCATCATTTGTGGACCAAAAAGTTGGAGATGCGTCGCTAGTTGCAGTACCTCTTTGGATTATTCTCACAATTGCTTTATGCTGTTGTTGCTGTCTGATTAGTCCTATAGTTGCGATTGTAATGTATCTCTTCAGAACTTGCCGTAGACCACATTACTAAAGATCAACAAATACAGAGAACTTAAACTGCTTTGAGAGTGTTCAATTTGTTTGGGGAGGGAACTGAAAAATCAATTCTTTTTTATTGTAATAATTAGAAAGGAATTGAGGAATCTTTACATTTCAGAGAACCGGATAAGCTTAAGGCGATTTGTGGGAGTGTCAAATCTGCCCACCTTTAGGTTTATTCATGCTGCATCGTGTTATCTTCCCGGACAATTCAATGTGCTGGAAGGGAGGAAAAAAGCTGGACAGATACATGAACAGAGCAGATACGCGACAGCAAAAGTCGTAAATGCACTCAGCACTTTCAGACGGAAAATGCATTTGCCATTTTTCTTTGGACGGTTGTTGCACTAACCCTGTCTCTTCCTGCCTCCCTGCCTCTCTCCACACCCGTTTCCTCTGCTCCTTCCTTACCGCTGGCAACTCGTGTTGCAATAGCTTTACATCTTTTTGGGCTGTCTGTGTTTTTCGGTGCTAAAGAAAAAGTATCACTTTTGTGTTGTTGTTTTTGTTGTTCTGTCTAAATTTCGATGCTTCCATATTCAGTTTTATAATATTTCTTCAAGTTTTTTGTGGTGCATGAAAAAATTTTCATTGCCATCGTCAGCCACAGCAAAAAGTTTTGTGCTTTTATATTCGCTGCAAGGAGTTCCCCGAGTGCACGTGCACTTATCCATCCTGTGTGTGTGTTGGTGTGTGTGTGTGTCTGTATGTGTGTGTGTGTGTGTGGGTGAGTGAATCTGCAGTTGAAGAGTATAAATTCTAAGTAAGTTATATTTACAACTTTGCTTTATGTGATTACCAAAGTCCTTCTAGTAATTTGACACGGTTGTTAAAGTATCATTGCCATTTTCCATTTCATTCGCAGCGTTTACTGAATGAATTTGTTGACCTCTTTAAATGATTCTTCGTAAATCTAAATCTTTGAATCTGCATTACAACTTCAACTTACATTTTCGCATTTTTCTAATGCCATATTTTCTCTAGATATATCAAAGGTTTTGCGAATTTTATTGATTTTCGTGAGCTCTTTTTATCTTTTTGTCTAATTTGTCGTTTCCGTATCGATAATTATTGAAAATTAAGTTCATGATCCATCATTAGCGCACCACGAATTATATCGTCGTTAATTGCTTATCTTATTAAAAACAAACAAATGGCGCAATAAACATGTTTATTTTGATTACTTTTTGCAATCAGCTTCAATTTCGAATTTCGAATTATTTCTTTTTGAATGTGGGAACTAAAATAAGAAATGAATAATCGCCAATAATTGAAGATCGTAAACTTAAATTGCTTCGGCGCTAATTACTAGAAATAAATTATATTATATTTAAAATCAGAAAAATTTTACACTTTTGATGAGTTTATATGGCAATTACATTAACCAGCAAGCCATTTAATAAACTCTCGAAATTTTTCCAGTTTTCGTTGGCCACCACGAGTCACAACGCTTTTCCAGCGCCGCTCGATCACAATACGCTCCTCCTGGTCGAGGGTATCCAAGTGCTTTTTGATCTTCTTGCCAAAGGATTTGAGTAACTTCGTCGATCGCATGTGAACTGTGCGTTTCCATCTGTCGAAACCATTGCGCTGCAGACACATGGATATCAATTGTATCTCAATGCTCGTCGTCTTCTCGGCGGCATCCGCATCCAAGAAGACCTCCACAATATCAAAGAAATGTTGCAGGGATTCCTTTGTGTGATTATCGCTTCGCATGAGGAATGCCTCAAAGTTGCTCAGGTAGCTGAGCATTATAGAGTTCTGTGAGTCGAGCACGAGCAGATCATCAACAACACTATCCACCAATTCAGTGGCCTGAGCCATCGCATGACCAGTGATGGCAGCCAGATTGTGCTCCGCCTGACTTGTCAACCGACTCCGACTGAGATCGCCATAGCCGGCCACAGCTCTGGTTTCGAGCAGCTGAAGCAACAACAGTTGCCAAGTGAGCAAAGTTCGTTAAACATCCAATTTAGATACTCACTAGGTAAGCTATGAGAAATACGGGTAGCCAGATGAGTTGAATCTGGACGGGCATTGTGACAGGTTGACAGTCGATCGACTACTACTGAAGGTGGTTTGGAAAGCGATCAGAACGGAACCGGGTGCAGATAGTGTTATCAATTTTGATTTGGGAATCGCCTGGCATAATTTGACATAACGATGAGATACGATTGCGACAATGATATGACACACGGCCCCTGCCCATGACGATTTAATTATTCAATTTGTCTTGGGCAACGAACTCGACTGCTAATGCCAATAGATAAGCGGTAAACGTGAATTTAATAGGTTGTGATTGAAATTAATTTGTTTTAAATATTGAAATTTGTAGAGCAATTGAAACTAGTAGAAGAAAGTGTTGGAAAGCTGAAACAAAGATATGCCAAACAAAGGGATACTTAGAAGCCACTCTAATTTTAGATAGTTTTCATCAGGGTGGTTTTTAGTTGGGTCTTTTAATATCATGCCAATAAATAATTACTGAAAGCTTATCAAGTTATATCTAAAAATGTAGCTAATTCTTTGGAGAATGAATGTGAAACACAACTTCAAATCTATTTTTATAACTTTTAAAGGGTATCAAAGGAAGGCAAGTTGGTTACAAACTGAGCAATAGCGATATAATATAATATATATCATTATATGAACATGAGCTGACCACTTTAGCTGGCAGCATGAAAAATTTATGCGCCGCATCTAATCCAAATAGCTCGGGAAATGAAGATGAGCCACTTAAATACCACAAAAAAGAAAAAGGAAAATACAAAAAACTACTCGATGCGTAAGCCGAGGCTGGGATAAAAGTAATAATAGTGAAATAAAAGTTCATTTCGTCAAGGAGGCAACTAGAAATTGCCTGGTTGCTGCTTAGATGGCGAAATGGGGGAGTTATTGTGCCCCCGGATTTGAAACCCGCCCGCTGGTAAATCGCTTGTGTGATAATCGTCGTATGTGGGTCAGTGTGGCATATGATGGAAACTTGGTGGCATCATCATCGACAGTGGAAAACAGAGACCAACCACTGGCGCTTTTTATCACTTTTGCAATGTGTGCTATTTGGAGTTTTGAGTGCCAGCCAATTCCATCACTCGAGCTGCAATTTAAACTTTGATAAGCCAAGTTGAGTGGCCATAGTGTGGTGGAAGGGGCTTCAAAAAGTAAAACCAGCAATAATCCAGCTACAAGAGATAGCTCTCACTGTATTTCTCATATTTATTGTAGAATCGATATGGATTTTATTAACTGCACGGTAAACTTGAGCAGATGCATTTTGTCATATATTCTTAGCCAGCAGCACTGCCGGAAAGTAAGCTTAGTCTAGCCTTGATGCATGGATACCATAGTTTTAAGATATATTCAGCTGCCTTAAAGGAGCATTACCAAATAATTCTATTGACTTGGATTTCCTCATGTAAGACCTGCAATTCCTCAATTCCTTTCGTACGTTGCCTTTAATTTATTCATCAAGCACATCAAATAATCGGCACTTAATCAAACATATACTACAAAACAATTACGCCCGCAGAGACCTACCAACATACACACACACAAGCAGACAACAGATTTATATATATATATATATGTATATATGGCTAAACAATAAGCAACCCAACACAAAGGGACAAAGCAAACGTGTGGCAAGGGGGCGGCAGTTAAGAACAAAGCACAACTGTTGTAAATTCGTTTGCCTAACACGACACACAATCCGCACTCCCCCCGCATATCTATATATGTATGTATCGCCATGCTATATGGTACACATATATGGCATACCACCCTTGGAGCCACTCTGCGCTCGCATGCAAATTTCAATAACTTATATTCGTAACCCTTCCGCCAACTGACACTGAATATCAAATATGAGGCAAGGCGCAGACGATGTACAAAAATTATTTGCATACTTTCTGGGGATGCTTGGGAACAGGAGAAAAACTTGATCGAAACAATGGCTACAAAAAAAAAAAAGAAGAAACTCGCTGCAAGAATGCTTGAGACACCATGAAATACCCTGCAACAAGCTCTGAAGTTGGCAAACCCATTTAGCTGAACTGTTTATCTTCTATTTTGTGAGTGAGCTTTTCTTGGTTTTCTTGGTTAGACAGTCGATTAAAGTATGATTAAGATGTTTTGATAACTTTCTTAGATTTCTGAATGAATTCAGTGCTAATTGCATTAAACCCTTTTGCTGCCCATTCTAACAGGGTATACAAACACAAGCATTTGGAGCCACATGTGGCGCACTTTTGGTTTAGTGTAAAAGAAGCTAAAAACAAGCCGTTATATGCTTCCGGGTGGGTGCAAGCAAGCACAAGAGACGCCGTCCCCTTTCCAATGCACCGTTGTTGCTTGCCACCAACCACAGCACGCAAACGAAACGAGTTTATTTATTGCATTTGCAAATTTTACACAACATTTTGCAGTCGATGCTTCCCCTCCTTAAAAAAAGGTGTAACTTGAGTTTATCGCTGAAAAATATTTTCTCCACCTCGAGCAGAAATTGATTCGGTTTACGTATGTGGAAAGCAAACTTTGCGAGGCATTTGTAACACGAAGCGGCAAGTTCAATGAAGCCAAAGGTGTTTGCTTGTTACGCTCCCCGACTTTCAAATGTTTTTGTTCCATGCTGGTGTTGGTGTTTGGTGATTGGCATCGGGTTCAGGGGTTAAGGCTGAGGTTGGAGTTGGGATTTTTTTATTTTTTTTTTGTGGTGCTCCAAACGTTTGCCAAGCAGCCAAATTGATGTGCAAATATTTCCATAAATTTATTTTCTATAACGCCAAGTTTCGGGTGTCATGTTCGAAAACATACAAAAAAATTTGCACAACTTATGTGAGCATCCCGGAAAGCAGGCAAAAACTCTGTGCGAGAGTTTGAAATTTGAAATTTGATTTTTGCGATACCCAGAAATTTTAACGGTGCTCTCATTGACTCGTGCTGTGAAATATTTCACCAATAATTTGTTATATTCTAATAAATTTATCGTGTGTGCATGAAAAATGAAGAAAACAATTTACATTTTTTATAAGTATATAAATATAAAAATAAATTGTAAGATTTTGATGTAGACGGATACAGTTTCTAGCTATTTGTTTACAATTGGGTAAGTGTATTACATTTTATAAGCAAAAAGATAGAACAGAGTAAAAAATAACAAACTGTTAAAATTCTTTATTGAATTTGAACCTACGTATTCTGGTCATTAAAGTCGTATACCTACCCTGTCCGCTACCATAAATTCTTCGAATTTTCGCCATGTTGCGAACTTTTAATAAAGCTTTTTGTACAAATATAAACTTAGGCAACAACCAGCAATCTTTTGCATCGTTGTCGATAGTAGAGTGTTAAACGCTCTTTCGGTATAAGCGGGTTCGAATACCGGTGAATAAATTTAGTTAAAATGTTTTGTTTTGGTATTTTTTTACATACAAATATATATATATATATGTATGAGTAAGTATGAATTTTAAATAATATAATTATATTTCGATACTTGTATACTGTCGAAAACGCTCCTAATAGACATACTTAAGGCATTTAAAAATTGCAAATTAGGTATTTAAGTTACGAAAATATTGAATATGTAAATAAAAATATTCAAAACAGACCGACCAACGCTTTACCTCAGATGGGACTCGAACCCACAATCCTCGGCTTAGGAGGCCGATGCCTTATCCATTAGGCCACTGAGGCGTTAAACGGCGTGCGCGCTAAAAGAGCATATGAATCCGAAGCGCACAAGCGAGAATAACTCACAAATACCAACATACATATATTTTTGGCTGAATTGAAATACCATTTTAGACCAACAATAGAACAGCTGATCAATTTATTTACCTTTGGCTAATTTAAATAATTGTTTGGCTCGTATGCGGGCCAACAACTGGACATACACAAGTGAGACGTTGAAAGGCATTTTGGGCCATATTTACTCGCTTTGCCAAAGCAAATGGCTCAAATAATGCGACCAATATATATCGGTATGTAACCGTGTATGCATGTAGCTCTATATATGTATATACTTATCTCGTATGATAAATCAACGTCACTTAGCGCTCATTGGCAATTCACTTAGATAACTACCCAAAACCAAAATGTCAACGCCGAATCAGTCAGCCAGGAAGAGCGATGAAGTGAGAAAGAGAGAGTGAGAGATAGGAAGAGAGAGAGAGAGAGAGAGAGAGAGAGTGAGAACCACAAACGAAGACATATCATTTATATCAATTTAAATAAAGACCTATCAATGCTTCGACGAGCAAAGCACGAAAAATCCCTTAATCAAATGCTTAAAAAGCTCAACAAAACACCTTTTGTGTGTGAGGGCCAAGAAGGGATGGTTGGGTGAGCAGCGTGAGTGACCAGAGTGGCCAGTGAGGACCCTCACACACAAAGACACACACGCACACACACACAACACACACTCGATGCTGAGATGGATAGTCGGACGAGCCATTGACAGTTGTAAGCCATAAACCACAGAAAATTGGGCATTATATTAGTTAAGATGCTGTCAAGCTGAAAGATATAGCAAGAGCTGTTAGGGTGTCGGGGGGTGTGTGAAAAAAGGAGGGGGGGGATACGTAGCGTTAACTCAAAGTGAACCCAAAACGCAGACATATCGCTTTCAGCCAGCAATACATAAAATGTTGGCTAGCGTATCCGTTTCCGTATCTGTGTCTGTATCTGTATTTGTGTATTTGTATCTGTATCTGTGTGGCTAACACACCGTTTGACAGGCAACGAAATGCGGAAGCCAACACCGAAACCGTAACAGAGAGAACCCTCAGTCCCCTGAATCTGGATCCGAAATAAACAGAGTGGCCAGCGGGCAAGTAGATAAGCAAACGCATTCATCTTACTGAATAAGAGAGGAGAACGACATCCAACTGAAAATAGGCAAAAATAAAGTCCAAAATGAAAGTTATCCCTTTAGTTAAGAGCTGTGCAAGAGCATTAAGAGCTTTAAGATATTTCATCTCGACTCGAACTCTGCAAGTTATTTGGTCAGCAGCTGCTTGCGTGCTGCACTTGCAGCTGCCTTTGTTGCGAAAGTATCTTTTCGGTGCTTTTGGGTGCTGCACAAATCAAAGCAAGCATTTCTTTGTTGATTTCTTTTGTTTTTTCTTTTTCAAAATTTTCAGCGCTTGCGTCATTTGGGTCTTTATTACCGTTCTGTTCTGTGTTGTGTTGTTGTCTCTACTTTAGCCACTTTGCTTATCTTGGCCACACTTTTATTGGTCGCTTTATTTGGCATGCCACCGCTATAATTCACAACAACAAAAACCCCAAAGATAAGCGGAAACAGTTTTGCGGTTGCCCTACGAATGCATACGAATTAGTTTCTCACCATATTTGAGTGGGGTTCAAAGTAAGCTAGGGAGATCTAGGGAGAGCGACAGTCGGGTTAGCCAGCAAATCCAGCAGGATATGCTAACGAACAGTTTGCTTGGTCCTGCTTCAAATGAATTTCAGGCAAGTCAAAGGCAGATTAAAGCTTGCCACAATGTGCAAATATTTAGTTTTTAATAATTAAACAGAAATAACTCAAATATCTTGAGGAATATTTTGCGTTTACTTTACAAAGTATCTATTGATATGTGTTTGAATGTACGCATTAAAGCAGAAGGTAATTGAAAAGTGTAATTTAGATCGTCGCCTTCAATTATGCCAAGTGCTTGTTAAATCAGAAATCTCAATCTGTTAAACATCCGTTTCAATTCAATCGATTAAATGTTACGCAATGTTCCGTTAGGCATAAAAGGCAATACTTCTTGGCCAATTTAATTTCGCCGTTTGCGCATCTTTTAACAAAATTGTTGGCCATTAAATTGTTTATGCGGCAACATCACTTAAATTTATATGCATGCAGTTGTGTGTACTCTCATATTAGCAGCTCCAAGCATTGACAGTATCTCTGCAGCTGTATCTGTATCTGTGTCTGTATCGGAATCTGTATCTAGAAATGAAAGCAAGCAGCACCCATAACAAATTCGGCATAATTTCCTAAATGGCCGTACTGGCAATTAAAATGTTGCCACAGTCGTAACTCAAGGCACAATATCTGACAGATACATATTTACGTTGGGGAGCCGTTCCCTTAAGGATGGCCAGCCACGCATCTTGGGCTGCATTTAATGGGCACTCAGTCATAGATTTCGTCAAGCGTTTCCTGCACTTTATGACTTATTGGGCACTGTAAAAGAAAATTTGCGCAAAGCATTTCCTGTGAAACGCTTTCAGTTAATCAAAGAAAACAAATGATGCGATGGGCCACAAAGTCGCTCCTTGTTTCGAACATGTATTATATCATAATATTAATTACTTGCCGTTACTAGCAGCACCATCGCGCACACTTCACTATGAAAACCCGGTACGCAGGTGCTGCTCTAAGTCCCGGGGATTGTGAACGCTTCTCTTTTGGAGTCCGCCTGCCTCACATTCTGAGAGTGGGCCAAACAAATGCGTTGCAATCATTCAGAGCTTACAAAGCTTCACATCGGAGCCAAACACCCCTTGCCGGGTTGAATAACTCAATGAGTGTGGCAGAGATTCACTCTAAATGAAAGTGAATGCCTGCAGGGGTGGACACGGATCCTGTGACAAGCACAGGCCTTGGGCATGTTAATTATTTAGAGAGCATGCAGATTTATTTACTAAACTGTTGAGCTTCTCTGTTGTTCGTTGTCTTGTTTTTCTTCTTCTTGTTGTTGCTTGTCCTTTTGTAGAGGTGTACTTGTTGTGTCCAGTACAGTCAGGTACATACTCAGGGTGGGCGAACGGGCGTCTTTATCTTTTATATTTTTATCGATATAGAGAAGCTTAATTTATTAAATAAAATTAATACATTTAATATTAACAAAAAGGATTAATAGAGTTGATCCTTGTAATGAAATATGTCCTTAATAAATATGTAAGCTTCTGGATGAGTTAGAGCTATTTTTGAAAACAGCAACTCAACTAACACAATTTTTTACTGTTCATTATAAAAGTATGCATTAAAATGTTTATTTTATGTATTTTTTTCTCGTGTTCCTAAAAGTATGCCGAGTTTTTTGTTTGTTCTTGAATTGAAGAAACCGTTTAAGTTCCGGCCCAAAACACATGTTGACCAAGCTGCCCTGAATGCCGCCCTTATTGTTGCACTGTCTGGCCATATATTACTTACTTATGTTTACTTGGCCACATATCTGTTCGTATCCAGCCCCCCTTTTCGCACTTGCTTTGTTTGGCCAGCTCTCAAAGTGCGTTGTTGTGTTTTGGTAGGCGTTTCAAGTTATTTTCTGTGTAGCACTTGTTTCTCTGGCTAGATTTATGTCATTTGTTCCTCAGTTTATTTTCGGTTGTGAAAATATTTCTTGCTATAGCTTTCTTCCACTTTCGTAAAACAAGTTCTTTATTTGCTTAACATGGCTTTTTTTTTATTTATTTATTTCATTTTTTTTTGCCACATTTTGGATTTATGCAGCTAGGACGACAAATCAACAGTAGCTTGCTCTTACAAAAGGACTCGACTGCTTTGATTTCCTTTATTTGTTATGCAAACAAATTACTTGGGATTTTCATGGAATGAATTGGTAGAGCTACAATATTCATGATGTCTTACTTATTGTTTTAAGTGTAAAGTATTTTAATGAGTTTTGCAACTTGAGCACTTCATATCCTAACTAACACATCCCGGAGAAATAACTATCTGTTGCTCATGGTTCCCCGAAATTAAAAATAAAACTCAACTCATGCTTCATTTTTGAGAATTTTTATTTATTTTTTTTTTTTAATTTGCATCATCGTTTTCTTCAGTCTTCGTATAAGAAATAACATTTTTGTTGTGTTTGTATTTTGTGTGCATATTTGTTGTTGCCGCAAATTGCCAGTGTCTATGCCATATATCATTTAATTAAATACTTTTGCATACATTATGATTTCAATCTAAGCATGTCTGCTACTTTTTTTAAGCAAACACACACTTGATGGTTTTATTTATGGTTCAAATTTGCGCACAATGAACCACAGAAATGCATTTTCAGTTGCATTGTCTCCACTATTTGCATTGATTTATTAGCTTATTTTGTAGTTTGGGTTTTTTCTTTTTTGCATTTTTATTTTTGTGTATTTCATATAGTTTATTTCATATGCATTTGTAAATATTAGTTTTGTTTGTCTTTCTATTTATTAAAAACAAATTCAAATTCAAATTCAAGTTTTAGCTTGGACATCAAGTATTTTCTATGCTTACCACCCATTCAATAATGAGTGCATTTTGAAGCCAACAAATTTTCGAAAAGCTAAAGATCTGAAAAAAATAACAACAAGGTGCACTTGCTTTAAATGAAATCGCATCGAAAAAATTGTTTTCAAATGCTGTTTGTTCTGTTTGTTTTTATTTGTTTAATATTTCTCTTTTGCTGTTTACTTAAATATACATTTTTGTGTTTGACTAAATTTAAATGTAAGAATAAATTATGTACATTAATTATGCAAAGTATGCTAAGTTTGTGCTTGAGTAGAGTGTTTGATTTTCCCTTTGTTTATATTAAGATTTATATTTATATTTATTTACAAATCAATTTTGATTAGGTGTTAGGCCAACTTTGAGTCTCTCCACAAAATAAAGTATACATTAAATCGAATTTTGCTTAAAATTACACATTATATATTGTCATCTTATTGGTTTTTTTTTTGTTGTTTTATTTTTGAAAAGTATTTTTGTTACTATTTAGTTCAGAATTGACTTGGCGGCATTAGATGTGGCGAGATACTAACTAACGGTCTTCTGGCATTATATCCATATATGCTTTTGGATCGGAATATTTAAGATGGACTTTTTTTTGGTCCCAGTTTTTCAGAAGATTTTCAGAAACCACAGCCAATGCCAAGTCATCCTTGAGAAATGAAATGCAAACAAAATAGTTGATTTATCAATTGTCGAATATAGTTGCTGTTGCAGAAATGTTCAACAAAATAAATGAAATGTAATAAATAGTTAACTAAGTTATTGTTGCACTCTTTACATTCGGCATTTCTTACGTTTCGTATTTATGCTTATTAAATTCAGTTAAATGCGCTTATAAACTAAATTTTATTTATCATAAGAATGCTAAATGCTTTTAACTATGAGTGAGTTTTTTGTTTTTTGTTTTTTTTTTTGCTTAATGAGATTTATTGCTTGGTTTTATTTTTGCATTTGATGTGTGTGTGCGAGCGAGAGAGAGAGAGAGAGAGAGAGAGAGAGAGAGATAGAGTGATAGAGAGAAAGTGAGATATAGAGAAAGTAATTCTTTTTTGTGTATCTCAACTATTGCTATTTAAATATTCCTTTGAATATGCGTATGTTAGCTTAATACTTAATGCTAATATGACATATCTGTTAGGTTGTAGTTTATGTTTATATTAATATTAATAATATATATATATATATATGTATATATATATATATTGTATATATACTATATGTAGTATGCTGCTATACACGTAGACATATCCCTTGTTTCATTTGACGCTTGTTCAACTTTGTTGCGAGTTATCAAAACTCTAACTCAACCCAAAGAAAGGTAGCTAAATATAACCTCACATAAGAACACAAAAGATACGAATCTAATCTCACTTGATGAGCTGCTGCTGCTGCGTATATCCCTGTCTTCAAAAGTCCTTGCTCTGACATTGCACATAGCTACGATAGTTGTTATTCGTCAGACCCAAACCCATCAGCTCCATGCCCATGTCCTGATCCTTCGACTCCTGCTGCTGCTGCTGCAGCTGCTGATGCTTTTGAATGCCAGAACCAATACTGCGTCCACGTCATACGTAGACAACATGTGGCTTTGTGTTCGCAGCAGTAGATGCCGAAGCTTGAGCCGCTTGAGCGCTGCCCTGAAGCGCCGCCGCCTGCTTCAGCTTGGTCATGGTATGCGTATCGGGATAATCGTAGTGATCGAAACGCTCGTAGTGATGCTCTGGCTCATCGTCCGCCTCCTTGACGGGCAGCTCCCACGGCTTGAGCGCTCGATACTCGTTGGCAATGGTCTGTGCCGCCAGATACCGTTCCAGCTCCAGCTTGTCCAGCTGCGGCAGCGTCGTCTGCTGATACTCATGACCAACGCCACCTTGCGATTGCAGCGGCATTGCCTGGTGGTAATGATGATGCGCCTGCAACGTTTGCGCATGATGTGGATAGTTGAGGGGCATGCCCATGCCACCCACACCGGACCCACCCAAAGTCATGCTCATGCCTGGCTGATGGTGGTGTCCCTGCAGGATGCGATCGTGCACATTGATGATGCTCTTGCTCGTCCTCAACGGTCCCCGCTCGTGGAGCAGCTTGCGTCGTCGCTTCACAAAGCGCAAATAGTAGAGCACACTGAAGCCAATCGTGACCACCACCAGGCAGGTGATGACGGCACACACCACGGTCACAATGTGCGCCGGACACGTGATCTCACCCTCGCTCATCGACAGCAGCTGGCGTCGTGTGCGCTTCGCATCCCGCCAGATATCGCAACCGATCCGCTGTTTGTCCATGCGCAGGTAACCAGAACTGCTGCTCGAACTGGATCTGGAGGCTTCTTCCAAACGCTGCTCATAGGCGCTCGGTTCGGTGGTTTGCAGGGCATTCGCAATATGCTGTTCGGCTATATAAGCTGCTAGGGCAGACACGCCATCGTCCGCTCTGATTGTGGTATCGTCATCCTCTCGCAGAGCCGACGCCTCTTTGGCGAGGGCGGCTACAGCTCCGCCCGGCACATGCTCCATTGGTGGTTCGGAGCCCTCGAAATTACCAGTCACCAGACGCCAGAGCCAGAGCAGCGAACAGTTGCACTGCAACGGATTATCGCCCAGATAGAGTTTCTGTAACTGATCCACCGGAAACTGAGCCGAGTACAGAGTCTGCAAGCTGTTGCTTTGCATGTACACCTCCAGTATATTGGGATTGCCCTGGAACAGTCGCATCGGTATATCACTCAGCTGGGGATTGTAGTTCAAATGCAGTGTCTGCAAGTGTGTATTGTCCACAAAGGCTCTGCAAAGAAGTAAGGATGAATAATACAATTAAAGATTGCATATTTATTCATGTGTTTTTTGCAAGTGTGGGATAAAGTTAAGCAATTTAAAATAAATAAATCAAATAATAACCTGCATCAGAAACAATTTTGATGTATTCACGAACATGTAACTAATTAGGAATGCTAAAATAAATGATTAGATAATAAGGAATAATCCTTAAATAGTTCCCTACATAAATGTTATTGAAGTAAAGTCAAGCATTAATGTTGTTGCTCGTCCACATGTTAACAATCCTGACGTTTTAAAAACATTTCAACTGAATGCGCTGGCTGTCAAACACAAATACAAATACATGGTGCTACCAGGACAACGCACACACACACACACACATATATATATACACACTCGCACCCACACACACTCACATAAAGCAGCAAGATACTTTGTGAATATATGCGAGACAATTCTTGTTGGGTTGTTCATTTTAATTATGCACCATGCTATGCATCAACGTTAAACTTAAATGCCAGGCAATGAAATACATGAATAAGCACACACACACATACACACACATGCACACACACACACACACACACTGCACACTCACTACACACTCACTACACACACACTACAACACACATTCTCCGTACTCGTTGGCCCTTTATCCACATGGCGTCGACTTAAGCGACGTGGATTTATTTAGCCTGCGTCTATTTCAACTTAATAATACAGCAAAAGCAACAGCAAATGCGACAACAACATCAACAACATGCTCCCATGCTGCATGCTGCACGTTGCAAGCTCCGCGAAGCGTGGCTGTAAATCCCTGCCAAGTTAAGTCAACGTCGCAAAGTCGCTGACTGCAGCAGCAGCCGCACTTGCAACAACTGTGCTGGCAGTGCATTACCTATAACATACTACCCCAGCAGACCCACCCTCGCAACAGTCAGTCGCAGTCGCAGTCGCAGCATGATGTAAGTGCAACGTGGCGTATGAGCAACTTACCATCAGTTTCTTTTTATTCCCCGACTGCTTTCGCTGACACACACAGCGAATTTGTCGCTCTTAAGCGATATTTTTTCTTACACTTGCACACAGCTCTGATTTGATTTGATTCGAGCTCTTAAGTTGCATTTCGTGTTAAATGAACGCATTTATTCGAGCTGCACTTGCTGATGAACTTTCCATGCATCGATTTGATAAGTGCCGCAGTTTGGTTGGCCCCACCTCTCTTGAGATCCATTTGTATGCAGCAGTTAGTTGCAACTGATTGCTACCAGTTGGCTAGTGACATGTAAGAAAGCACTGATGAATTTGTGGCACGAAGCAGTTCCAATGATTTTTCTCATTGAATTGTTTTGTGCTGTGCTCCTTTGCGACAATTGTATATTTATTGTAAGCGCAATTGCCAAACTAAGAGCTAATATTCATGGCAACAAAGAAAACTAACTCTGGGGACAAATTGCTTAAATTAGAAAGACGAGTTTCTAAATTTGAATGTAGTATTAAATATTAGTTTGAAAATTTACAGTCGCTTTTTGGCATTGTATATTTAATTCATATATATTAATAAAAACTTTGTTTCCGCAGTATTAATCTGGAAATGAAACCATAACTAAAAAGTAAGTTATGACTGAGGGCGTTCTAATTAATTATTGTCTACATCGATGAACTTGATTCAAAGCGTTGCAATAAAGCAAACCAGGCAGGTAGAAAGCCTGAGTAAACTTATGAGTCAACACATGCACTCGACTTTGAATTAATTTATAACCTTTTAGACAATGACGCCTCGATGAACGTTCAATTTCATGGCAAGTTAAGCAGCCAAAAACTTCAACTGCAGCCGCTTATCTGCATTTTCTGCACAGTCAGAGCCCAAAAGCAAACTTCCCCCGTTTTCAGCAAACTAAAAGTTCAATCTACTCAAACAATTTACAAAAAAAATATATATATATATGTATATGTATAAGAAAAACAAATTCAATTATTTGTGCAAATATTATGCAAATAGTGCAGGGAGGCAAACAGTTTGGGGTAGCAAAAAGAACGTGACATTGACGGGGACTCTGTTTGCTGGTGGCTGTTGCTGGGACTGGGTTTGGGGCAGGTGACTTGAGCTGATTCCACAGGTCGCTACCTGCTGTTGAACGCTCTTTAAATGCAGCTTTGGCGACGCCTTAATGTGTGTTAAGGCACACACACACACACAAACACATATACAAAACGGGTGGCTGTCAGGCAAACATTTGCTGGGAACAGGCCCAAAATCTTGACTGCCAACAACAGCAGCTTTGTTGTTTTTTTTTGTCCTGCAACCAGATTCAAGCTTCATTTTGTGTTAAGTGTTTTTTGTTGTTGTTGTTTACATCGATGCGATGTTTTCGCTGTTTTTGAATACCCTCAAATGCAAATTGTAGTTAAACTTTGCTTATTTTTTGTTGAGCAGGCACTTTTGCTAGATATTTTGGTGTTGTATGTTTAATAATCGTGTGTTTTATTTGTATTATTTTTACATGTAAATAAATTGCTTAATATAAATCAAACTTAATCAAGAGCTGATAGTGAAAGCAAATCGAAATTAATAATAGTTTAATAAACATATTCAAATTGTGCTCAGATGCAGCTATTTTAAGAGCCTTCTCTTCTCATATAAACGTCATTTTTTTATTGTCATTTCAATATCTTCATACTTGTATAATAAACTCAAAATGTATTCAAGTCATAAAGAGAAACTACTAACGGTTATTTTGGCAGGGTATTTGATAGTGAAGCAGTCTAGCCACACAGACTTTTTACTTGTTTTCATTGCTGTTTTTGCCAGCGTCAAACGTGCGGAAACGGAAATGGCTGCCATGTGTGTGTGTGTGTGTCTGGGTGTGTGTGTGTGTCTGGGTGTGTGTGCGTGTCTGGGTGTGTTTATGTGTGTGTCTAAAGTCGAAAATATATGTGTTGTTTTTCTCTATTTCTTTTTTTTTTGGCCAACTCATATGCAAATTGTTTTGTGCATGTGTGTGTCTGTGCGAGTTTGTGGCTTCTGAATTGGAATTGCTTGAAATCGGATTGAAATGTTTGCTGTCCATGTTCGTGGGGCTCAGTCACGTTTCCCGATTCCGGCCTTCCGACCAGTCCGAATCAAAGAGAGAGAGAGAGAGAGAGGTAGAGATAGAGAGAGAGAGAGAGAGTTCAATCACACGAACAGCTATTACGGTCATAGCAAAGCAACTGAATGGACAGTCAATCAGTCAGTCAGTCTGTCAAATACTTTGTCAGCCAGTCACTCAAATCAAATGATATGTTGTCCCGTTTTCATAAAGCTTTTAAATCTGGTATTCGCCTGTCTGCACCTCTCTATGTGTGCTGTGTGTGTGTGTGTGTGTGTGTGTGTGTGTGTGTGCGATAGTTGAGTAAATCCGCTCTATTCAGTTGATTGACATTTTTACTACAATAAATAGAGAGAGATATGACAGTTGATAAGCCCAAAGGGACACCAGTTTTGCTGGCTGCATCGACTGTTGATTTATTGACTGCTGTGCTGCTGGCAGTCTGCATAAGAGTGGAAGGACATTAAAGAGACACTTTAAAGACAGTGCACAAATTTGCTATGCACACCCAAGCAATCATTAACTAATTGCCTCACCCACACACACACAGACACCCACACACCCACACCCACACACACACGCATATTGTGAAATTGTTGTGCTAAGCCCACGACAAATTATCAAATGATATGCCCAAAGCATTTGTTAATGGCATTTTAAACGCTTTTGAATTGCGCATACGCCCCGTTTAACCTTTAATTTTCGTTTAGCGGAAATGCGATGTCAACGCAACAAAATGACAAGCACCTAACATTAAGGGATGGTTGAAAAATATATGAAACCACTTAAAGATAATGCTTACAGCGAATATGCCTAATTCATTTCTTTTTCGTTGCAGTTTCGTTGTATACATAATGCATAGCATGCAAAAACTGTTTCAGCTCTTTATATTAATTTTAGATTACTAAATAAGATGAGAAGAATTTTAAGCACCAATCTAATATATTTCTTGAGACTGCTTGCTTAGCTTGGGTTGTTTTTTGCTTGTTGCTGCTTGCATAATTTATAATTGTCTTGAAATTCAAGTGCAGTGCAGCGAACGATGGCAATTACCAGGCGAGTGTGCGTGAGTGCTTCCTTGGTAGGGTTGCATGCATATGCATAAATGTACAGGATTAGACTCGGACTACTGTGGCTCTCGCTTTATTTTGTCTCGACAAAGAATGCAAATACTCTTTGCGCATACAGAAGAAGAAGCAGAAGCAGAAGCAGCAGAAGAAGTAAGTATAAACATACGCATAATAGCTATTCACGAGGCTGCCTTGAAATATTTCCAGGCTCATAATTTATGGAAAAATTGTCGGGCTGCCTGTGAGTGTGGGCAACAGCGGGACTCGAACGGAGGGGGAGGGAGGCATGGCAGTTAGGCAGGCAGCAGCATGTTTATGCTTTCCTGTTTCCGTAATTTCTTCCTGCTTTCATTTTGCAGCTGCTAATGTTGTTGTTGCGTTTTTTTCTTGGCACTCTTCGCTCTCATTCACAAAAATATGCTTATAAACATGAAATTATTGCATTGCGCCCTTTTGTGAGCTGCAACAGCAGCAGGTGCTTTTGCTACATGGGCCAAGAGTGAGGGGTTGGCGGGGGGTGATCTTGCCTTAAGCTTTGTTTGTTTATTTGCAACATTTTGCCACTGTTGCACCCTATTTGATACACCCTCAAAATGACCAGCTTAGGGTCGATAACGACTATCTAATTTGACCATAAGAACTTCCTTTAAACTTTACATACAGTGGATTCGATACAGGTTATCAAATTGTTGTCTTATTTAAGCAATCTTGTATTTACCCAATTAAACAAACTGCGAATGTATGTGTCGCTGTCAATTTCTTGGAACTGATAGCTCAGATTCGAAGGGCTTATTGGGGTAGACTGATAAGAGAAGTATTTAATATCTGATTCATTGCGACACTATAAAAAGAAGTGCATTTCTGTCCGGTTCAATCAGTTGTTGTTTAATATGAGGGCTGTAATCGCACTTCTGGCATTTGTCGGATACGTTCAGGCTGTTTTCTACTCGGGCGCGTTGCAAAACGAATGGGATATCTATAAAGTAAATCACGATAAGCGTTATGGCAGTGAAGATGAGGAGCTGTTGCGTAAATTGATCTTTTACGATCACAAGAGGATGATTGACACACACAATGAACGCTATGCCGCTGGAAAGGAGACATACGAGATGGGCGTGAATCAGTTCACAGATATGTTATCAAGCGAGTTTGAAAGCGCGATGCTGGGCAGCCTCAATATAACAGATATTGCATCCGATATCGATATTATATATGAGGCACCGAAAAATTTGGAAATCCCTAAAAGTATTGACTGGCGCGATAAGGGCGCTGTTACTGGTGTGAAGGATCAGCTGAAATGTGCTTCTTGCTGGGCATTTTCAGCTGTAGGCGCTTTGGAGGGTCAGCAGTTCTTGAAGACAAACAAATTGGTGGCACTCTCCGAACAGAATTTGGTGGATTGCTCGCTCGACAATAAAGGTTGTGATGGTGGATGGCCAATATTAGCTCTAGCTTATGTGCGTGACAATCGTGGCATTGATACCGAGAGTTCCTATAGTTATAAGGGACATAAATCTGACTGTCATTTTGATCAGGGCCACATTGGCGCCACAGTCAGAGAGATATGCTTGGCAAAACTGAACGATGAAGCCAATCTGGCTGCTGTCGTTGCAACCCGAGGCCCGATTTCAGTTACCATCAATGTTAACAACAAATTTTTGCATTATCGTAAAGGTGTGTTCAATGATGCCTCTTGTGGAAAAATCACAAATCATGCAGCTCTGATTGTCGGCTACGGTAATGATAAACGCGGCGGCGACTACTGGCTGGTGAAGAACTCCTGGGGCAAGGACTTTGGCGAAAACGGCTACATACGCATGTCTCGGAACAACAACAACCAGTGTGGCATTGCAAGCCAGGCCATTTTTCCGTTGGTCTAAATATGTATTTTTGATGTCTTATTGGGATTTTCTCGGGTTTTCCTTAGTCCAAGCAACAAATGTTGGACCATTTTGCATTTAATTGCTGCCAGAAATATACATTTTTCATATATTTTCTTCATTTAGTTTAATTTAGATTTTTGTTCTTGTATTTTTCCTGTGTCGAATAAAATCAATGGGGATAATAAAATAATAAACACTTGTAGTTGTTTACATCTGTTAATATTTTGATATAATTGGACTCAAGCCGACCGATAAGCTGTCAGCAGACGTGCTTTAAATAATCAGAAAGTCAAATTTATACTAAGTAACTATACGTAATATGTATGTAATATGAATGTATGAATATGTAATTTATTCTATACCTGTGTATCCCGACTTAATCCGGGCAAATGAAAATTAAAATAATTATGTAATCGCTTATACTTTTAATGGTTGCTTAGTGTTCTTAGCAACTGTTTATTCTATTCATTAAATTTCATGTTCTCGTGCCAAATAACACCCCAAATTCATTCTGAAAATCATTAAATTCCACACCATTACACACAAAATCAAACTCTACTGCAAATTTTGTGTTGTTCCTTCATAATTCAACTAAGAACAACATAAATAGCCAAACACAAGCGGCTACTGTAAATTGCGAGATAAGCTGCCAGGGAATCCGGATTCGGGCTTCGGGCTTCGGGCTTCGGTTTATATATGAGATATTACAACCCCAAAGCAGCCACAAAACAAATGTCGCCTGTTTGCCCAAAAGCCCGGCAGCCGTAATTCAAATCGCATTTCAACTCATCCACACTTCAAGCGGGTGAGGTGGAGAAAAATGAAGTCAGTTCGTGTTCATCTCGCACAAAGTGCATAAATTTTAAAACAATTAGTTTCAATTTTTGCCATCCGCAATGGCAAACCGTGCAAATGAGATGGCCAACACCTTTTGGGTTATCCCCTTTTATGGCAGGACCAAATGTTAATGTAGCGAATGACTTTTAGCTATTAAGTCATACACACCCAGGTGGCTCGCAGGGGGTTAGACAGGACAGACAGACCGATAGACAGACAGACATTCACAGCTTCCATTCGGTGTAAAAATGTTCACTTAATATTCCCTTTGATATGCTCAAGTGTTGCAAGCGTGTGGCAAGGGAGGGTTGTGTGCTTTTAGGGGGAGGTACGTGCCACTGCCTAATGAATTTTGGTTGAGCGCCACTGATTGTTTAGGTGTAAGGTTTTTATAATGAGCCAGGCCAGCCAGGAGAGCCAAAACACATGTGTATCGCACAGTTTGCGAAATGTATCTGCCATAAACTTTGCTATCAACATGTCGCCATCGTCGCACGTCGCTTCCCACCTCTCCCCATTTGCCCTGTCTGCGTACAGGTTTTTTTTTGCGGGGGGTGGGTTTCCATTAACGCATTTGCATAAATATTTACATACATGTGTCCCATCCACCATAACTGTGCTGTGTGGCATGTGTCCCGCCCTTTAATGTAACAGCGCCCGTCCAAACTTTAAAATGTTGCGCTATTTCCGTTTACTTTTACTTTTACTTTTACTTTTCCTTTACCTTTTTTTTGAAAAGGGTGTCTAACAATTTGTCTGAAACCCACTTTGCCTCTGTCGACAGCAGACAACTTTGTGCCATTGGGCTTCAGTTTTAAGTTTGTAAAATATAATTTCCTGCCAAATTTATAATCAATCGAAAAGGAAATGAGAATGAAGTTGAGCTATGTGCTTGCAACAGATATGTGACCAAGAATTGCCTTTAGAATGAGAGTAAAGTTAACTTGATTGACAAATTAATTAAAACGCATATCAAAATGGGTAAGTAAAAACCAAATTCGAGTATTACACGCACGCATAAACTTACAAACTTTATAAGAATATATATTAATATTCAGTTACAAATTTTTAACCGATTTAATCAAGTTTCGCACAACTCGCAGAGTATGCAACAATGTGCTCCACAGTCGTGTCACCCTCTCTGACATGCACCCCATAACAATTCAAATTTCCTGAAGATGCGTCACAAAAAAAGCAAAGAAAATTCAAATTTTCGGGCTAAAGATTTTCCGACGCTTTTCAGAAACACAAGAAAAGAAAAGAAACCAGCGGAGACAAACGCAAAATTTAGTTTGCAAATGAGGACACATGTGTGTCTGTGTGTGCCTGTGTATGTTTTTGTGTGTGAGTGTGAGTGTGAGTGGCATGTAAATTTGAGTTAAGCAACAATTTGTCAGCCGGCGGTAACAATGGTAAGGGAAAAGTTTGCAACAAGACTGAAACTGAAATCAAACAAAACCAAACAAAAGCAAAAGCAATTACAATTGGCAAAGACCATGGGTAAGCAGGGGAGTGTGGGAGGAGGTTGGGAGTATGATTTTCTGGTCTGGCATGGCTCAGACAAGAGAATCAAACGAAATTGCAAAATTAAACTGATTTAATGGCAGCTCTCTTCAGCTGTGGATCCATTTACATGACTCAAGCTTGTCCAAACGTTTCGCATATAAGTCATGTTAATGTTGCTGCAAAGCAGATGTGCCGAGAGAAGGGGAATGAGAAGGATGTAGGGTGGGCGGAGGGGGGGTTGATTGACAACCAAGTCGAGACTTTGCCACAGACGGAGGCCCGTTCAATGATGATTTGATATGAAAATTGCCTGGAATTATTGAATTAACATATGCTCGAATTGAGCTCAAGCATTTCACTGTCTGCCTCAAAGCTGGGAGGAAACTTGGAACGCCAATTTGGCTTTCTGATTGTGTGTCAGTGTGTGGGAGTGCGTATGTGTGTATACGTGTGTGTGTGTGTGTAAGTGTGTGTGTGTGCGGTGGCATCTTATTACCAAAGCGTATTAGACATGATTGATTGCATTGAGTAATAATGATTTGTAGCCGAGGCATGTTTAAGTGACTCTCTGTGTGTATTCGATGTGTGTATCTGTGTATGTGTGTATGTGTGTGTGTGTGTGTGTGTGGATGGGGTGGTGTGTGGACGGGTGGAGATCACGTGCAAGTGTGTAAAAGTGAATTGCATAAATAGCTGGCTTGCTACGCTTGCAGAGCAGAGGGTAAACGCTTAGGGGCATCGTTTGTTAAGATGCTCATGAGAATAAAGCGATTACAAATTGTCTTGCAAGCGATGAGTTAGGATCTGTCTACTCGGCCAGAAGATTAGCAATGCCAGGGCGATGCCTACTTTAAGGCGCCCATAGATGAAACTATTAAGGCAGCAGCCTGAAGAGAAAGTAATCGTATTCGAAGACTTTCTCTCTCAGTTTGTTGTTCGATATAAATAATTGATTTCTCTAGAGTTTTTTTCAGGAGAGGAGAAAATAATGACAGCCCTTCATATGATAATACAATATATACATAAAGGGGATAAACTCAAATGAAACAGAAGCGAGCGAAATAGGAAAGTGCTAAGACGTCAATCAATATTTAATAGTTAAGCTGTTTGGTAAGTCTTGAATAGCATATTATATATATGCTAAGGGTTCCTAAAAGTGGTAAATTATGCAGTTGTCAGTTTAATTCAAATGTGACACTGTTTTTGCTGTTTCTCACAATTACGTTCACTTTGTCTGGGATGTGTTTGCTTGTTTAGTTTGCTGATATGCCGTTTTCAGCTGCTCAGCAAAAACTATTTGCAGTCTTTACATTTCACATTTCACGGAACTGACCCAGTTACCCTAGCTAAGCAGCAACTTATATATATATACATATATATAGTAAACTTTCACTTGGTACGTTGGAAAACTTACCTCGAATCGATGCGCTGCAAATAGTCGAGGCGGCTCAAATGCAACTCGCGCAAATGAAACAAGTTTAAAAATGCGACGGCGGGCAAGTGGGCAAAACGATTGCCGCCCAAGTTCAAATAAGTGAGATTTGAAAGTTTCGAGAGCTGCTGTGTGGGCACCATCTGCAAAGATAAAGAACGAAATAGACAGAGAATGAGAGAAAGATCATTTAATTTCAAGCGTTTAAACAAAGTGGGGGACAAGTTTTATAGCAGCTGTGTGGGGAGAGGGTGGCTTATAAAATGTTAATGCCAACCACTCAACTTTAGAAGCGTTTTGCGGCTGCACTTGATAGTTGCCAGTAAGCTGGCACTCCAAACTCACCTCGCCCCTACTCCCCTAATCCCATTTATCCCTTTTAGACGACTCATAGCTTTTATTTATTTCTAAAAGCGCTGGCATTTGAAATGTTACAAGGATGCAGTTTTCAGTGTTATTCAACAATAAAATGTGAAACACTTGAAAATTGCAGCATTTGGCGGCGGCAACGGCAACGGAAACGGAAACGTCATGTACGTCATGTACATCCGAGCGCCATTTTGCCAATGTCTGACGAAATCGCCATACTCGGCGTGTGTGTGTGTGTGTTGGCCATACAATCAATCTTGAAACAATTTGTTAAGGCCAAACAACAACAAGAACAAGCCGAGTAACAAAAGCTATGTGAAGTCTTGAGCGTGAGGCAAAAGGTTTTCCTGGCATGGCCAAAAGCTTTTGCCTGTTCTTAAAAAAAAGTGTAGTTGTGTTATTTGCCTGCCACCTTGCCACCTTGCCACGTTGCCCACCATTCCACCCTTGCTGTTGCTGTTGTCGTGTCGGAAGCTACGTGCCAAATGTCCGGACACGAAAAGCAACTGCGATAACGTAATGAACTGCGTGGCTAAAGGGAGTTGCGTGGTTATTTAATAGCTGCCAAACTCATAAGGCAAACAGCAACGAAAACAACGAAAAAAATAATAATAATAAAGAAAAATTAAAAGCATTACGCATACGCAATGTAGGCCAAGCGCCGCAATTGTTTAACCTAATGGCAATTTTCATTTTACATTTAAACCCTTCGCCGGACTTAGTGTTTGTACTGCACTCAAGCGAGGGGTGGCGGGGAGCGCTTGACTAATTAAAAGAGGCTTGGACTTATAGGGGGCAGTGCGGTGCGCGGGCCGCCGCTTCTCTGGTCATTTCGTTTGGCGAGAGCAGCGCAGCAGAAAAAAAAACAAACGAGAGAGCGGAAAAGCTTGAAGCGATAAAATTGATGTGGCAAAAGGCTAGGGCTGATAAGGGGTTGAAGGGCAGGCGGCAGGCTGGAAGGTACGGCCACGAGTGGCAGAAAGAAAGCGAAATTATATTGACTTTGATTTCTCAAATTAATTTACATTTTTTTTCTTTTGCACTGCCCTTTGACTTTATGGTTGGCATTGGGCTTAGTTTTTGGGGTAATTTCGCTCAAATTTTTTATGGATAATTTATTGGACCAAGCTATGAACTAGATTGAACTCTTAAGAAATGTGAAATGAGTGTGGAGATATTTAAGGGGAATCCGAAAAGCAAATTAAACTGAAGTCATCAAAAGGCTTTCAGTCTGTTTTCAATTCTGGATTGCATTTTAATATTTTATGTACTCTGCATGCACATTTATATGCAAGAAATATTATTTACACACTGAGTTGAAGTAAGAATTTTAAAAATACAGTAAGAATTTTTAAAAATACAATCGAGTTTTTTCAAGCTGTGCACTGATACGAAAACGAATAGCATTCAACAAAAATACACATAAAATGAAAATAAAAATAAATAAAAGAAACTATGATTCGCAATGGTAAGATACTCTATTTTTCTGTTGTTTGTCAAAGCTGAATTTAAGTGACTTTAGTTGGGATAAATATAGAGTTTTACGAGCATTGCAAGCTCTTAATATGCTCAACTATTTCTCGTTTTAATGCACAGAGTATATCGATGAAAGTCACTCCAAAGTATGTGTTTATGTAATTGAGCAAATGCAAATAGTAAAATCGGGCAGAGCAAAATAAATTGGATATCAATTCAGAAACTTCTATTTCTGCATTGATGTTTTTATTGCAATTATTCGGCATCTATGCTGAGTGAAATAATATTTATGCGTAAAATGCAAATTTATAATTCACAACTAAAAGCACAACAAATCGAAAATAAAATATAAAATCAACAAACTCAAATGTACACACAGAGAGGAATATGTATTTTTGTTAAATTTGGAATATGGAAAATTACGCATAAGTAATTTGTGCGCATTTTGTTATTATTTCAATTTTGAGACTTTTGAAATAACAAATATTTGCTTTGATTTATTCAACAAATATGCATTTGTGAAATGAATTGAAAGCGCACTCAATAGTGCGTTATTTGATATAAAAATGTGACAATTTGATATATTGAGGAAAGAAAATAAGTCATGCAATTTGTATTGATATTTTCTATTCTATACAATTTAATATCTTATCAAAAAAAACATACTATTTTCATCCCCTAAAATTTTAGTTAGGTTTTACGATTCTTGGAACTGAAACTTATCTGTAATGCTTTCAATTCAATAGAGATTTTGTGTTGAAAAGCATGTTTTCTTTGAAGTTTGCTAGATATTCTGAAGTAAAAGTCTAATGTAAAATGTTATATCTTAAATAAAATGCTCAACAAGTTCTGAAACATGTCCTCTTGAAATATAGGGCATTAACATTTTTTATTTATAGCTAACGTGAATTTGCCCAAGTATTGAATGTTTTATGTGTGACAAGCTCATAGGATGTTTGATAACAGGTAAGTTTTTATAGTCCCAACCTCATGTTAATTATTGCCTACATTTCAAAAGCAAATTCGCCTCCAGTGTGTGTGTGTGTGAACGTTAACATATCGCCATAAAATTGGCAAGACATCAATTTAAGGTATTCAAGGGTCTTTCATGGGGTGCGGAAGAGAAACCGTGCTCAAAAGTGAATACCAAACATGGGTGGAAGATGGTTTACTGAGTGCCGAGTAGCGTGTACCGGGTACTTACTGCATAGTTGAATGCATTTTTATGCAGCATGTAATCGCAGGTGTTGTTGCTGTACTTGTTGTTATTTTATGCAAACCGGCAACAGAGCTTTGGAAATAAAACAAGAGCTCACAACGCAACATGGACGCAACCTGACGAATGCATTGCGCACCTGTGCAGAATCCACGTCTAGCTACTCGTCTGGCCGGCATGCAAGCATACATAGATATATTTATGGTCGTTAAAAAGGGATAAAGGACTACTGAGCACTGAGCACTGAGCACTAAGCACATGCCTCGACCAGGCCAAGCAAAGCCATGCCAGCCATGCCAGAGCCGTCTAAGCAGATGTGAAGGTGCGCGTAGTCAACGGCAACCGACTGAGGAATTTATGGCGCTTGGAATCAGTTCGAAACTACTTAAAATACCTTTTGGCATTTTACAGTTGAAATATATGGTCACTGGTAGTGTGCACTCTACTACCTACTACTACCACTACTACTAATACAACAACTACTACAACTACTACAACTACTACTAATACAGCTATGGCCATGTGCAGCACAACTATGCAACGGCATGCAACTCTGTGTCCTGCTCCAGCTGCCTCCCATCCCCCTTCTCCTTCTACCACCTTCAGGGAGCGATGGAAAAAATCCAGCTGACTGCTTTTTGGAGCTGCTTATCATGAGGTTGCTGCCTGCTGCACGGCGACTTTGTTTTAACCGTTGCAGCATGTTTTGGCATTTGCCAAACTGCATTCCACTGCCTCTTCTTCTACTTCAGATGCTTCTTTGTTGTTATCCTCTGCGCAGACAGTTGTTATAATGCAGCAATAAGCAGAGGTTCCTTCAGGCTCCTATTATGTATTGCATTCTATGGCTGGTGTATGAAATTTGTTGGCTGCATCTGCATCGTTATCCCCTTTATGGACAGAGGCATTACCATGATTATGTCTGTCCATCTATCTGTGCATCATCCTACTTAGTCAGCATAAGGAGTAACTAATTTTAAAAGAAGAAAACTATAAAGTACTCCTTGTTACAATAGAAAGAACAAATAGCTTTGTAGATATATTCTTTGAAGTTTTTTGCATGATTTTGATCTGAAACTATATCGAATTTTTTTATTGATGGATGGATGAGTTCCAGGTGAGCTACGTATATGATATAATTGTCATACTCTTATGAAATTGGATTTTTTGTTATTTTACTTTGAGATTGTTAATTATTAAAATTGAATGTAATAATTAATTTGTTGATTTTAGTCAACGCATCAGCAAAATGATTCTAAGGCCTCAAAGGATTCTAAGAATCGTTTAACACACGAGGAAGCTGCCTAAACCTGCCTTTAACTTGTTATTTCAATCGATAATATTTAATAATATGTATAAATTTACTCAATATACATAAATTGAATACGGTTTACTGCTGCAATGATGTCCTGTTAAGGGCACATCTTTGAGAAGAATTTACTTTATTCAGGCTGGTGATTTTTGGCAAAACTCTTTTTAAAAATTCATTCCCCACATCAAATATAAGGTAGACTATCTCAACATCTTCCACTCGGTCGAGTGTTCAGCCTTTTTTAAAGTTGCATAGCATGTGGCATGCATCGCGCAAGTATGCTCGAGAGTCTGGTCGTAAACTTTACATGGCTTTAAAGCTGCTGAGTGGCAAGGACAGTAAACTTAAAGCGTTTGCCACCGAAAATAGGAGGCTATAAGAGGCGGTGGCAGTTGTACAGGGGGTGGCATAGGTGGAGCAATGTGAAGACAGCGGCAGCATTTAACGAACGCAAAATGTCGACGAATAACTGTGGGGCCTAAGTAAAGGCAAAGTGTACACGCAACAGAAATCAGCACGGTACGGACATGTTTGCATGCATAAATAGCAAAGGACATGGCCAAAAGGACGCACTTTATATACGAGTATGTGTGTCTTCATGTGTGCTCGTATGTGTGTGTGTGTGTGTGCTCGTATGTGTGTGTGTGTGTGTGTGTATGGGAGTGTGTGGAGTTCTAAGCACACTCGCAGGGTGGCAACAACAACAAGTTATGGTTATTAATTCTGTGTATGCAAACGGCAGCACAGGAAGGACGAACTTAAGCTGTCGTCCAGGACAACACAGGATAGGACCGGACAGGACAAGGGCAGCTGCAATCCGCTTTGCAAAGTGTTGGTCACAGGATTTAGTACTACGACGCAAGCAACACAGCAAAGTGTCTGATTTATGGGTGTGCGTGTGTGTGTGTGCAACTTCCCGTGTGTATATGTGGCTGTGTGTGTGTGTGTGTGTGTGGCAGAGCCTAAAAGGATGCCGCAATATTTTAACTGTTGTGTCTGCTTCTAGTCGGAGTTTCATGCTAAATTATTATATCTAACAAGTATACGACATGTGGTGTTTTATGGTCGACAGACTCACTCACCGTCAAATTGTTATCCGATAGATCCAAATGTTTCAGCGAGATGAGTCCTTCAAAGGCGCCCGCATCCAGTTCGCTCATCACGTTGCCACGCACACTCAATGCCAGAAGCTCCTTTAGGCCCTCAAAGCTATCGTTGCGCACGAACTCAACAAGATTATCGGACATGTCTAGACTCTTCAGGGCATGTAAATGCCACAGATTTGTGGCGGGCACATCTAGCAGGCGATTGTTGCGAAACACGAGCACCTCCAGCGATGGCATGCCCTTGAAACAGTTATCCTCGAGACTCACAATATTGTTGTTGGTCAAGTCCAGCTCGACGAGGGCAGCCAGATCTCCGAGTGCCGTTGGATGCACTGTCTCAATGCGATTGTAGCTCAAGTCGAGCAGCAGCAGATTTGTGAGTCCCTTGAAAGCGTGCTTGTGCAACGCACTCACCAGATTCCTGCTCAAATTTAGAGTGCGCAGCTCCGTCTGATACTCGAAGTTCTTGGATCCGAGCGTCTCGATGATGTTTTGCGAGAGATCGAGCACTTCCAGTTTCATGTAGAAAGGCAGCGTGAACTCCAGATTGCGTATGCGATTCAGTGTCAGATTAATGTACTTTGTCTCCGGATTCAGCTGGATGGGCACATCCTCCAGTGCCGCATCGATGCACAGGGCACGACTGTTCGCATCACCGCCCAAACATTGACACTTTGAGGGGCAGAACGCGTCTATGCCACCAGGCAGCACTAACAGCAGCAGCAGCAGGAGTACATTCAACAGCAGCCAGTACATATCTAATGGCGAGGGTGCCAGAGGATGAGGTTTGCCATCCTGTCGCCACTTTGTGTGTAAGTTGTTTGTGTTGCTGTTCTTGTTGTTATTGTTGCTGTTCTTGCTATAGTTGTTGTGTGTGTCGCTTGCCATTTTGTTGGAGCCTTAGTGAGCCTTGCAGGCTGCGTGCTATCCTTATTGATGTTGCTGTTAGAGCTGTTTAGTTATTTGCGGTTGATTTGAGGTGCTTGTGGTGATGGTGGCAATATCACCAGTTGCTGGATGTCATTGCTTACACAGTTCTAAAAACAAAAGAAAGCAAATAATGTGATTTTTAGTTAGAAGATTACTTAAACTATGACATATTAAGTGATACTTATAGATACTTATAGGCTACCCGAGCTCTCACATTTGATTTAAAATAAGGCTAGGCTGACTTTATGAATATGCATTGTAAATGTTCTTTAAATATTTAACTGCTGCTCATGATCCGCAATAGGAGCTACTATTACAGTGCATTATGCAAAACTTTTCGGACGGAGAAATTGCCGACAAGCGTCGGTTTTAGTTGGCTCTTTGCATCTAAAACCATAAACTGCAGCACGGCCTCAGCACAACTCAATAGAGTTTTCATTTCCCTATTTAACTCACCGTCCGAGCCGTCTGGAAAGTCAGCAACTTTCAATGCGAGTTGTCAGCACTTTTCATCGGCCAACGAGTTTTGACTTTTGCACTGAGTTTCCAGTTTGGTCTCGACTTTTATGAAATATTAGCGAGCAACTTATGCGCATAAATCTTGCGGCGTGTCTCTAAAAAACGAAGCGTGTTAAATAAACTGCCAACAGTCGTAAAAGTTTTCCTTTTCTGTATAAATTCCACAACTAAAAAAAATGGACTGTCTGTTTTAAATACTTGATACAATCTGATTACCAAGTATCTGTAGCATTAAATTCCTTTAATTTAATTTGGGAATTATTATAATTTTTTTTTCAGTGTTCACAAAATGTGTACAAAAGTGTTTGAATAGTTTTTACTGAATCCATAGCGTGTTTATAATTAACTTCTCAAAAAGTGTAGCATACTTGTAGGCTCGCCATTCGAAAACGCTTTCGTTCCTCTCAATTTCTAGTGCGTGCTTTTAGGCGCAGCTTATATTTCAATATCTATTAATTTGGTGTACTAAAATTGAAATGAAGTATTTATTTAGAGCACAACACTTAATTAAATCGCACTTGTTTTAACAAATTGGTTGTGTTTTCACAAAGTTATAGCATTGCAAAATCTTACCCAACCCTGTGAAACTGTGAGACTGTGATATTTGCACACACATCCTTATATCTATATATATATATACACACATCCAAACTAAGCCACTGTCAACCCCGTTGAGCTTGCATACGACTTAAGTTAAATATGTGCCCTTTGGCCAACACTCAATTAAGTAATTAACAAATTACAAGCAAATCTTGAGCCACTTTAACTGTTTGGAAAATCCGTACGTTTTCAGGCTCGTCTGTCTGTCTGTCCGTCTGTCTGACAGTCTCTTATCCTGCGATTTGCATATGGCAAGCGCAAACAATGAGAAGACCTTCCGCAATCACCACACAACCAGCTCCACACCCTCTATCCGCTAACCTCTTAAGCTCTTTCCCTAGTGCACACGCCGGCAATTTGAACAATGCTCTTAACTAGCTGTAAAACAAATAATAAAAGAATAGCGCAAACTTTGAGGTTTCGTACTGTCAACAAAAGTTGAAAGCTCTCCACCCACAAATCTACAAACTGCACACACACGCACACACTCTCTCTCTCTCTCTCTGTTGCTTTTGTTCTATCTGTCTCTCTCTTCCTCTTATGTTTTTCGGCCGCCTTTACAGTTTTGGTCGCCTGGTCTTGGATCATATTATACGCTTCAATAAAATTGGTGAGAGTAAAAAAACAAGCCGAGTTAACTAACCAACCAATCGTACCCCCAACTCTATCCCTTGCTCGCGCACTCAGCTCGCTTGTCAAACCCCAACCCCAACCCTTGCTTCCTGGTTTTCGCTTTGGCAGCAGCAATACACCAAAAAAAAAAAAAGTGAAAATTGTGAAAAATTCACTCCCGTGTGAATTATTAAGTTTCACATGGCCATTGTTGTTGTTGGTTTTGTTGGTGTTTTTGCTCCTGTTGCTTTTGTAACTTTGTATACGCTTGTGTTTGTTAGTGTGTGTGTGTGTGTGTGTGTGTGTGTACGGTGAGTGTGTGTGTGTGCTTACTTGTTTGCGAAAAAAAATATAGGAAAAGGCACACAAAGTTTTTAATAAACTTTCGCACGCCAGCCTCACTTGACTATACTCGAGTCTCAGTCCTGTGCTCCCCACAAACACCCCCACTTATGTCCCCTATATGCTTTTTATGCTCTCCATCAAGTATGCGCTCAATGTGTATGTAGGTTCTCTCGACTCTACTCTAAGTGGTGGCGTGGCACGGCCAAGGCACACAAATATGATTTCATTGTTGCAAATATTTTGATAGCACGACGTCGCTTGCGGTTGCTGCAGCAGCAGCGGCGAAGAATTGGGTTGAATGTGGGTGGGTTGGGGTGGTTAAAAAGTGTCCTGACCCATCCGAATTGGTGGCGCTGTCAAAGGCCAACAAGTTGGGAAATGTTTGTTGTTGTTCATGTTATTGATGTTGTTGCTGCTGTTGCACTTTTGGCGCCCACTTTTCACTCAATGGCAGTTTTAGTGGGGGCAACGTCGTCGAAGTTGCATCTTAATAGGCTTATAAAGAGCTTAAATGTGTACGCAAACTGAACATGTGCGCGACCAGAGAGAGAGAGTGAGATAGAGTAAGAGAGTGAGCGAGCGAGAGAGAGAGAGAGAGAGAGGGAGAGAATGTGTGCTGTGTATGAAAGAGTTCTTATGTTCTTAAGTTCTTATGCCATAATTGAGTAGAGATGACAAAATGAATCTTAATAATACAGTTGCAAAATGTGTAAGTTATGTATTATTTGAATGCTTAAGTAAATTGATTCATTATCGTGTGAGTATATGGGAAAACAGATTTGTAAAGTTGCATCCTTCCCATATCCTAGTGGAGCTTTGTTTTTTGAGCAGGATTACTCAATTGATTGATTCAGCACATTCACTTATTCCAGAGCACAGAACGCCTCTTTCGCCATGCGCCAAGTAAGCTGAATTTATTGAAAACATTTTTGAATTTGCCACATTGTTCCCAACCCAGGTGTGTACTTCATCCATTAACTTTATGACTGCACACCTTAACCGAAAGAAATCCAATCAACAATGTTGTAACTTCACATTACACTTTACTCGCATCGCAAGCTTGTTTTCGTTCCAGTTTTTATAAGCTCCATTTAATTATATTGACATTGTTTGCCTATTTTTCCACACTTTATTTTAATACGAGCGTGACTCTGAGAGTAACTGAAACTGAAACTGTCTGTCTGACTGTCGGACTGTCTGAAGTGCGAATACACTTAGAGGATCTAGGTGTGTGTATAAGTGGAAAGCTGGGAACATTTCGCTCAAGGTAAATGCCATAAAAATGGAAAATAATAGCAAATGCCGAGAGGGAAACTGGCATCAAATGCTGATAATAGGAAAGCGCCTCCACTTGGTAAAAATCCATAGCAGAAGCTGCAGCCGCCGCAACATCTACCATTTCAGGATTCTCTCGCCACGCATAAAACTTTTGCACATAAATTAAAAGCAGGCAAAATCTGGAAATGAGTGTTCATGTTGTGGGGGTGGGGATGGGGTGAGAGAAGGGGAGGCGGAACAGAGGGGCAAAGACAACGCGTTGACTTTAGGGCCACAAATGGTAAGCGGGCGAGGTCAGGGTTCAGATTGATGTTCAGGTTCAGACTGTCGGAAAAGCGAGGAAGCGAAGCAATCAAAGGTGAAAAACTTTGCAAACTATGAGCTAGCAAACAGGCAAACAGGCAAAAAGTCAATATTAATATTCACTTAGCAAGGGTCTCACCGATGGAAAGGGGCAATCGGGACGGCAATGGGGGAGCTGATGCTGACAATGGCCAGGCAAATGCCAAGCAAATTGAAAATGCGACGAAAAACGTGAGACGCGCCAACTTTTCCACCTCAACGTGCCCGAGTGCGTTTATTTTTATCAAGATTAGCATTTGGCTCGCCTGCCTCACAGTTCTCAGCTCTCAGGTCACAGTTCCCAGTTATTGGATAGGCAAACAGAAAACGACAACGGCAACGGCAACGGCAACGTTCTCGTCGTCGTCGTCGTCGACATGGAGACCAGACAATGCAGCAGATTTCTTGCCCCGATTTCGATTCTCCCCAAAACTTGGTATTGAAGTGCGGCACGCACAAATTATATATATATATATATATATATATGTATATCCCTCTTACACACACAGGCTCTTCCACTGAGATTTCTCAGCCGAAGATGCCGTCGAAGATGAATTGTTGGTGTCGTCGCTGTCACCAGGCACCACCACCAGCAGCAGCAGCAGCAGCAGTTCCTCATCCATGCCTCCCTGTTTGTCCGCCTCCATTTGGCGTAGACCACATAATTGAGTGTCTGGCAAAACTTTCAAGTGCCTCCACTGTGGCAATTTGACAAAAGCCTTTGCCACAAAATGTTGCCGCACGCATAATTAATGCAATTGTTGGCAAGCAACGACACAACACAGAAACAGACACATCCACATCCACAGACTGGGGTACACTCACAATGTTTTTGCTTAGATCGTTTCAACTGGTCAGCCCATGGGTGTATATTGCTGAAGGGGGTAGAAGTAGTTTATCTGTCAGCGCTAAATGCAAGATTGCGTTGCACAGAGTTGCTCGGGTGATGCATGTTCTTGTATTCCACACAGAGTCGAATGCTTTTATCAATTTGTGCTTCTGATTTAGATTTCAAATCTAGTTTTTCTTCGAATTACTAAAAATAAAGTAATCAAATATAGTAAAATTACTTTAACTGTTGATAACTTTAGATCTTGATTACGAATGTCAAATTGTTGTCTAAAAAACTTTCGCGTTTTATGTCTTGAAGCCTGCATTTGTTCTAAGCTTAGTTATAATCGGACTGATATATCAGATATATGTGGGAATCCATGTTACTTGTTCGACTGTTTGACAAAATGTTAGATTATCTTTATTAGATTATTTTACTGCACATTTGTCAAATATCTGGCAAGGATGTTTATCTTTGCCAACAATACTATAACTTGTTGTTGCCTTAATATGGAGCGTATTTAAGTTATAGTTTTCAATCTATGGCCAAATTCTCACTTAAGTTGTCATGTTATCTTTT